ATAAGAAAGTATGAAAATACTTTAAAAGTTTTAATTTGTTTTTAATTCATAATAACAAAACAAATCAACATGATGGGTTTGTATCGATAAAGAAAGATTCGAATGTTCATTCATAAATTGTTCCCTGCTATAAAGAAACACTTTGTATCTATATGTTGCATAGACATGAGTTTATTTATTTTTGCATGGTTCGCAAGGAATAGGTTTGGCTTTTGATCATGGAGATGTGAAGGGTACGCTGCGGAGCACATATTTTCGCAAAGCACGTGGTTTACTGATATTGATACGCTTTCCCTTTTTTTGCTTTATTCAGCTTTTGTCAAAAATAATATATAGCATTGGTTTTTTTACATACAAAGTTTTACTATGATAGGCTACGATGCTGAAGAAAACAAAGATGAAGCGTCGCAACACGGAGCCAAACATCTCTAACCCAGAATTGTCTAAGAGCCATGCAACGGACTAACACCCAGCAACTGTAACACCACTATTTATTTCTTAACCATTTCATTATTTTATTTTTTGTATAACCAAAATCAAGGTTGGATTGATATCATCATACAACATACATATCATAGGTTCCATTGTTTGAATTTCATATATAAACAAAGAAAAAATAAAACAATAATAAATACTTTAATATTACCCCTTCTATTTAGAATCCACATATATAGATTTCCTACATAAAAATATAAAAAGTGCATTCCATCAACTAAAACATTATATAAATTCATTTCCTCACATACATGAATTGCAAACCTATTTAAATTTTCAATCATAATGGAGTTTTTGAAACTGTTATGTGATGATAACTATTTCCAATTATTTTTAAAGATAATTTCTAATTAGAACATCACTTAAAGTGAAATAATGATGAAAAAATTATTATTTCACTTTCGCAGATGCTCAATTAAGAAATTATTTTAATCATACAATCATTTTATCATCCATCATTTATTTATTTTTTAAATTTCTTTTATTTTCACAAAGTTTATACCACAAACGTTTGTCAGGTCAAGCATTTTTTTAATTTTGAAAATAAAGAGTCAATAGTACACATTGGAATTAAATAATACTATGCTGATATGGTATATGCATATTATTTAGATATGAATTAATTACAGAAAATAAAAAGCATTGAAACATAAAATAAGTTTAAACATGTAATAAAATGTATGTGGGCCTAAGGTTGTAGAGTTATGTATTAAAAGTATACCGTAAAAGTTTGGTATAACACTCCAAAGGTCTGATATGCTATGGTTCTGATTACGTCATACCATAGCATTATTTCCAGAATTTTTGTATCGCATTATTTCTCAGATTCAGATTTATCCTGATAAATCCTTTCAAAACATTCTTTCCCATTTGCACTTTAGAACTAACAAAAATGTATGATAGCACTGTTATTTTGCTAAAAGCATGCTAATGGATTTTAATTAAAAATACTAATACCTCCTTACTAAACTGCAAAATCTTTCAATATCTTAAAGTCTCCTGCATTGGTTGAAATCCTTCCTTTCTGACCAATCCTAGTATGTAGTCATCCCAGGTCAAACTCTTTCTAAAACACTTCCTGTCTCCTGTGGTGTTCCTCAGGGTTCCGCCCTATATCTTACTCTGTTTGCTATTTACATTAATGACATAATGACCTATTTAAGCAGATGATTTCCAAATATAACCAGTCCTTTCCCCCTTCTGAACTATTAGTAGCCACCAAAAAACTTCAAGAGGACTTAAATATAATTTGTGACTGGGTGGAAGCTAACAAATTGAAGTTAAATATGGAGAAGTCCAAGGCAATTTTGATTGGTTCCAATTGCCTCCTTAATACTGTTCCTAAAATCGTAATTCTGTTCCTACATGAAAATCCCATCAAATTTTATCCCACCCTTAAGAACTTTGGAATAACCGATCAGATCTTTTCCTGAATAGACAATGTATCCAATATCTCCCGTAGTGCCTTTTCTATTTTAAAATATCTAAATTATTTCTGCCACCTACTTCCATTTGAAACTCTGTAAACTCCTGATCACTTTCTTAATATTTCCTCACTTTGAATATTGCTGTACAGTTTATGGGGGCGTCTCTGGGGGTTCTCGAGGCGAAACTAAAACATTCAATAAATTGCTTTGTATGTACGATTCATCTTAGGAATTTCAAGAGACGTATCTGTTTCCTGTTATTGTAAACAGTTGAAGTGGCTGTTCCAGTTCCTTCCTAATTCCAAATCCTTCCTACCATCGCAAGTACTTCCTAGCTTCCTTCCTCTTCCAAGTCATCCAATCTCACCGCCCTTCATACATATCCGAGCTCCTTCAATTCAAATCCTCTCTCTACTCCCGCAAAACTTGTTCCCAGTCTTTGGATTTATATACATGGGCCCACCGAACCGCTACTTTTGACAAATCTTTTATTATCCGATCCTTATCCCTATGGAATTCTATCTCTCCCTGTATCTGTCACTCCATTACCCTTTCCACCTTTAAATCTCTTCATTGAATCACCTATCCGTTCATTGTAAATATGTATACAAATTATTAGCTAGTTTTAAATATTTTTATTTCACTTTCATTTAATTTTTTTTTAATTTATGAAGTTAGAAGATAACTTTGCTTTTAAAAATGTATTATGGATATTTGTTTTATTTTTTGTATTTATTTTCTAAGGCTCCAAAGCCCACATTTCTATCTCCATATATTATTCTAAAGGGACTTGTTCCAGAATAAATAAAGTATTATTATTATTATTATTAGACTATAAAAAATATTATTGTTAAGTTATTCATAGATGGGGAGTAGGATAGCTCAGTAGTAGGATGCTAAACGTCCAATGCTCTAGGTACAAGGTTCGAATCCTGGTTCATGGCGGAAAAATTATTTATTCTGTGGGGCAACTCTAAATAAAAAGAATAATCTTTGTAACCAGTATTGCCACCATATTGTAATGTACACCTTTATTGGAAGTGGGTAAAAAATGTAACATCTCTCTTATATTTTACAAATAATAATATAACCTCGGAAGACCACTTTATACAGATGGGATACTTCCAAAATAAATAAGAGGTTGTTAAATAAAAAAACAAATTATAAGAGTATTAATATATTTATTTATCTCAGGTGTGGGTTACTGACAATCAGATAAAACACTCAGACAAACTATCATTATTTGCACTATTCGTACTAAAATTTAACACTGATTTTAAAATAAAGTCAAATATGGATTGGCAAGGTAATCTTTTTTCTATATATACTATTTCTTCTTTTGTTGCACTAAATTCATTTGTCTTTTAACTTTTTCTTATGTTCTGCCAAATAATTCCAAAATGGTGGCATTTTCTTCTACTCAACTCTCTGGGAGATCCTCTCTCTTGTAATTCCAAACAACTATTCTACCTCCAAACAACTTCCATGAGATATATATTAATTATTACTGTATAATATAATTCTATTACTCGGTTTTATCCACTGGAGCCAGGATACTTTTTCCTATCCTCTCTTCACTGCTTGCCAAAACAAATCCTTTGTTCCATTCCTTCTTTGGAATTTAGGAAGAGCAGTTATTTTATTTTCTCTGAACTAGTAGAACTAGATTAGCTTGCCTTTTAATATTTTTTTATAGTTAAGGCAAAAATACTTCCAATTTCCTTTAAATCCCTTTAATCAAATTTATTATCTCTAACGTTTCGGGACAATTTTTCCATCATCAGAGCAATCCTTATATTACCTGAAACTTGTTTTTTTGATGTGGCACCATTTATCAAATATTTGTCACATTTTGGTGTTCACATCCTTTAAAAAAAAAAAAAAAAAAATATATATATATATATATATATATATATATATATATATATATATTTAAACTTAACTATTTAATTGGGAATAAGGTCATTTAATTATTATTTAATAAACTATTGAATGTTCATTTCTTCTGTTTATTGACATTTCAATCCCGGTATTTCCTTTTTATTAGTCAACCATGGGATCCTCTTCAAAGCTAGAATTTTAAAAAATAGAGCTTCGATCAGGCCAGGGACACACCGACAGTCTCAGCACCGTCCACTAGCACATATATTAAGCTACTCAGTAGCTTTCCCTTTTAGTCAATCAGATTTTCTCCTCAGAAGGAACTTAAAAATCCCTTCTGCTTAAATATACATCAAAATTTATGAGGGGGCACATTTTGATGCAGTTATGAATTTTCAAATAAAAAGACAAGTGGAAACATGGAACACACCGCAAGATGTATAATTGTATACAATCTACAAATATTTAAATTCTACTTTCATTTGCAACGTCTTTAAGAAGAAGAGAAGAATCAAATTTCTTGGGAGAGGTAGAAGTTTATGTACCATCGACCTTGGGGAGGATGGGCACCCTTGCAAATATATACCTTATATTATAAGTAACTATTTTACTTATATTATTAAAAAATGAATTAAACTGTTGATAAATTAAATTATATAAGGAATCTTGTTAAATTTAAAATATCAGAGTTGAAAATTCATTGCCGCTAGGTTAGATTGTTAAAATTATTAAGAATGATTACAGGAACTAGAATAAAAATCATTCTCTCTTCTTTAAGTAATCTCACTTATACCTCTATCCATATTTCCTTTTCTTAGTGTCTTAATTTATGTTGTGTTTAAATTAAAGATTATTTGGTCACTTATTTCCATCATTATTCTATAATTTTAACGATGTTAACTGTTAATCACCAAACAGATTTTTAAATACATTTTATGCCGATAACATAATAGTATATAATAAAATAATTGTATTAAATATACTTTTTATTAGCATAAAGATTGTAAAAAAAAAATGTTTTTTATTTGAATTAAAATTGACAACATGTAAAAACATTTTATAGACTTGAGAATGGCACGAGGCCTTCATTTTAGACAAAAGTGTTTGTTAAAAATATAAAATAAAGACGGGAATTGGTGATTAAATGGTCTTTTATTTAAATGCAATCTTACTTATCACCTATTACTTCTGTTTCAGGCAACTATGCTGAAGAAGATGAAAGGAAAGATGAAGAGGCGGAACACTGAACCGTTCATGCAGCAGGGGGCGGTCGGCCAAGGGGCTGCGGCACTCAGCATCCCAGTCGTCACCGAGACGACGGATAATGTCAACCATAACAACGAGTTCTAGCTAAACCCTGAGTCCTTTCTTCAATCCATGCCCAATCATATATTGATCCTTCAATATACATATTGTCGAATATATATATGTATATAACTTGAGACCTCCGTTAACAGATGCTTGTTATATTCTGTTTCGATTTCAGTTTGGTTTCCTTCCCTTTCCTTTCATTATAACTTCATGGGTGTAATCTTATTAAAAATTAATAATAATGTTAATTAAAATAATACTAATATAGAAAAATATTGTAAACTGTAATGTATTTATTACGATAAAGTATGGTAATTTTTTACCAAAAAGCACAATTTAATTCTACTATTATTAAATCTATAATGAAGTGTTTCGATTGAGGAATCAAGTTGGAAGTATGCTGAAAATTATTGACAATGTAGTAGGTCATTAAATGTGTTTTGAAAATGTACCTAATCCAACTTTTTTACATTCGTTAAAATATTACAAAAACTTTACTGAGTAGAAACGTATTTACTGTAACACAGGCAGAAAAATGTGTTTTGTTAATGTAGATGCTAATTCTATATTGTTTTAAAAGTTATATATATATATGTGTACATATATCCAGATGTAAATATATATACACATATATGATATATAAAATCTAATCTTTCAGAGTTTAGAAAGCAAATATAAATTTTTTTTATTAAACATGACTCATCTTATGGTGTAGCTGTTTGTAAATATAAACAAAATTATAGTGAAAATGTAAGGAAGTGAAGATGAAATAATGCTACGAGTCATCACTTGAGAAAATATGGAAATAAATCTATACCTCATTGTTCAACAACAATTTATTCTAGTCATGTTAATGAACGTTCAAGTTTGTGATTTTTTATATATTGTTTTTGTCTATATTTTAGTATATATTTTAGATGATACATATATATATTTTTTATAGCTTTTGATTAGATTGTATTGTTCTCATTCTTGAAAGACATTATCATTTTTGACTCAAGTTTGTTTTCATAAATTTTGTTGAGTAATTTAATTGAGATTCGTGATTTAAAAAAAAAAAAAAAAAATTAAAAATGACAAAAATTTATAACGTGTCGGATATAGGAGTTATAATTACATTTAAGAATGAACGTTAAATTAAAGATCCATTTGAGAAAATGCCGGATCATATCTAAAACCAGCAGAAATGTTCCTAACAGGTCAATAATAATATTCAAACGATAATAAAATGTTATTCTTGTAGGGACAATTGTGCTCGTTTCAGAAATAGTTCGGAGGTCCAGTGCTCCTTCTGTGGTTACCGGTCGGGAAAACAGGTCGAAGAATCGATGTTACTCTTGAGCGTGAGGATAAAATAAAATTTAAAAAAAACCTTTTGATGGTTTCTCGAAGATAGGAAGCATTAAACAATAATTAATATAAATGAGAGATGAGGAAGGTTCGCTGAGTTATGAAGAAGTAAGAAGATCCCGAAGTGGCTACGCAGGGCCTGGCAGAGTCGGATATAGCAGTAGATGTTACCCGCTATCAAATCCAGCCTTGTCCCCCGCCCAAACCGGAAATGGGAGCGGGACATGTTTAGAAAACGCGACCAACGTGTATGGGGCTCAGCTTGCCACAGCCAGCATCATTTCCGGGGCACAGCTGTGGTGGGCACACACGTCATTCGCGTTTTATGCATCTCTATAATTCTATTTTTATCGCTTTAGTATCACTATTGTATTTAAAGTATATATAAAAAATAAATATATATATAAATAAATATATATATATGAAATTAATCGGTTATTAAAAAAAAAAATATAATTTAAAAAAAAAATTAATATAAAAAGCTCTGTACAATCTTTTCTCCAGAAAAGTTAACCATTCCATTGCTGTTAAATTAAGAGAGATTTAAAATATTAAACAGATATGAAACATTAGAGAAAAGTTGTTTTTGCAAGGAACTCCACAAAAAACTTCCCGAAAGCACTCAGTGTGTTATTCTCACACACCTGACAAAAAATGAGTTCCATTGCGATACGTACATGTTTAAGTACATTGTAACCCTTAATCTCTGAACTTATTATATATGTATATTATGTCATGTTGGTAAATAGACATGTGAGTATATAGAAAGGTATTAAATGTCTCTTCAATGCACACAAGACATATTTTATCCTCATCCCACCAATCCTTTCTCCTTACAAAGCCTCAGTTTAGGTTTCAAACTTGATAGAATCAGCTTTTCATTATTTACAAACAAACACCATAATAAATTATATTGAATGTTTAATAGTTGATCGTTGCATTTTAAAGAAAGGAGATGGTCCGTGGTGGCGGTCATAAATAGGCTAAATAGTTTTGCCACTATTTAGGATCATCTCCTTCCTTTATAATAAATTATAGTATGTAGTATGATTATGATTCAATAATGAAAGGCCGATTTTAAAAAATAAAATAAAATCTGAATACCAAACTTACTTGGTGTAGGAATCTGAATATAGTGGGTTGAAGGTGTCCAAGATGAGATTTTATCTGGCACTCTTTTCTAACCACAACCAAATCAGCCAGTAATCTATTTTTACAATGTAACAAATAAAGAATGAAATATTTATATAAAATAAAATTTCTATATATGAGACAAAAAGTACATTAAAAAATATATTGTCATCAAAAAGTGCCCTTATTTTGTGGTCAGAAGATTCAAGTAATTCTATAAATGCAAAATTTTTTATCAATTTGAAATTTTAATGTTAAACCAATATTTTTTCTCATATTGTACATGTTTACTAACCAATTTTTAAAAATATTTTAAGTATTGCCAACAATTTATTCTAATGTAAAATGAAAGAAAACCTTGTGTTTTCATGGTTCATACTTTGTGAACTTCATTGGAGCACCATACTTTCTTTAAAGCTTAAAAAAATGGAATTGGCTTTATTATGTTTACAGTCACTGAATCTGTTTAACTATATTAGTTTGCAACAGCTTTTTAACATTCTTTGGAAATTTGAAGAACCTCCAATTTGATTATCAGTGCCCTCGCTTTTGAAATTTTATTTAATTGAAGAAAATTATTACTCCATATTTTTATTTTGTTCTTATAAAACAATTTTATAATGATTAATCAACCATAGATTAAATCTGTACTGCTGTGAATCCTCAAAAAATAGAAAGATTACAAAATTACCTGCAAAAGAATCATAAAAATCAGACTATTATTAACAAAGATACAGTCTATTAGTTTTGGTTTAAAAATATTGCATTTAGGAGTAGAATAGTCTAATACACTTTTTTTTCCTGGCTGATGTATTAACTTTATTATTTCTTAAAGGCATTTCTTTGTTCTTACATTTTATTTTTTTTAATAATTTAAAAAATCCCATGATTGGAGCATTTTTTTTAATCTTTATTACTTTTATTATCTTTCAAGCCAGCGTTTAAAAATAAGTCCTAGCAAAGCAATTTGTACAAATATTTTGGTCTATTATGTTGAATGGAATATTGTAATCAACTAAGGAAAAAATATTAATTCCTTCCTTACATAATACATAGGATCTACTCATTTCCATATTGTTTTGCTATTTCTTCACTAAAAAAATTTTTCTGTGAATTTTTTGCACAGGCCAACTAGTTATCACTTATTTTTGAAAGGTCCATTCATGTAAGAGTGTTTTAAGTTAAAGTTTGCTTTCCTGTTTAATGATGACAAATATGGAATTAATTTACGAATATTTTCGAATAAGAATATGTTACCATCCTTATTATTATTTTATCAAAACAGACAAAGAATAGCAGCTTGCCGTGAGTTCTTTTTTTATATCTAACTGATATTTTTATGGAGTAGGATAATTATAATTATAATTTATGTTAATTATAAAATTTGTTTGAAAAGGCTATAGTGGTAAGGCTGAAACCTAACATTGTGTTTTAGTGATTTTCTATTAGTTTAATGTAATAGAAAAATTAATTCTTTATGAGATTTCTATTTATAAAAATTTTGCTTATTTATTTTTTCTTAGGGAAAGGGTTATAATATTTAATCTGCGAAAGATTACTTATAATAAACATTTTAATATCACTAGTATCTATTATACATAACTTAATAAAAAGATAAAAATCACAAAAAGAATTTTAATCAAATTGATATGAAAATCAATGCAATTTTTATTAAATAGGATTAAAAGTATTCTAATAGTTTCTGTGACTAATTTTTATAGATGAAAATTATTTATCAAAGGAAAAACAAAGAGAAATCGCATAAGGAATTCCACAATAAGAATAATCTGAACATAAGACCAGCTGACACTGTGATAGAGGAAAATCATTTGAGGTGATTTGATAAGGTCTGCTGAATGATAGAAAACCAAGTGATCAAGATTAAATTTCGATCCAGGAATACTTGGAAGAGGAGGGTGCCAAGGAGGACTTTGATAGAAGAAATATAGACTGCGAAAGAAGGTGGCAGTTTCAGAAGTAATGGATACGGGTCTAGAAGAAGGCTCCTCTCACTGCTCAGTGGTTGAAGAAGAAGAAAAAATATTTAAAATTAATAATGAAGAGAAGAATAGTTAGGGAGATCAGTCAAATAAGAAGGCAAAAAATAAATGATATTTATTTTGACATTTGCCGACGTTTCGACCTGAAGTGCAGCCCTGATGAAGGCCAGAAGTTCAGGTCGAAACGTCGGCAAATGTCAAAATAAATATTATCATTTATTTTTTGCCTTCTTATTTGACTGATCACCCCAACTATTCTTCTCTTCATTATTCATGACAGTCAACCATTTACCCACAATTTTAAAATTAATAAGTAATATTCTTGACAATAACTAGTTTGAAGAATTTCAATGTATCTATGCTTTTATATTATAAAGGGCATTGTGAAAACCTATAAAAAAGAACAATATAATGTTTTAATAAATCAGGGATATTGCAATACAAGCTTAACATAGGAAACAAGTATAAATGTGTAACTTCTAAGAGAAGAATAAACTAAAATTAGTTACCTATGCTACTAAAAGATCTCTTCTACTAACTTATTAGTCCAAAGACTAGAACTTCAATGTTTAATTAAATCATTAGATAAAATATGCAACAAAATGGCTGACGCATAACGGATTATAGTACCTTGAAGGAAACAAAACGAAAATTAATTGGCTTCTATAATGTTATTAGTTATCATATATAGATAAATTGAAATACATTTGGTTTTTGAAATGATATATAATAAAACTAAAAATTGTTTACCTTTTTTAAAAAAATAAATAGATGCATCCTAACTTCTTCTAGTCTGTTCTACGTGATTTAGCTTCAAAAAAGATTTTAAAAAGCAGTGATGTAATTTCACTGAGTAAAATAAAAATCATAATTCAACAAAGAAAAACATTTTTTAAATGATTTGACTTGAGGTAAAATTTATCTTTTCGTAATGACTAAAACTTGTTTATCATGTCTACTGAAATAAACTATTATAAAATAAGATAAAATATTCTGTATGTTTTTTAATTTCTCTAACTGATTTATAATGGTGCCAAAAAGTATTTGCATGCTCAGATTTTTTTAATCAAGTCGGCATATGGAAATAAAAACTTCACTCATTTTCAAAAAAATAAAAATTAGATTAAAAACTCCATTGTATGAAAATATAAAACCACAACTAAAATTTAATTAAACAAAAATTAAAATAATAAAACTACTTGGAAAAAAGTATTTCCACACTTAAGATTACTTTTAATTAATATATAAATTTATTAACTAGAAAAATGCCCATTGGAGTGAATAATTACCTGTAGACGTCGGGGCATGAAGCTGGCAAGCTTTTGCTAAACCAAATCTAAATTGACTGTTACCCTTTCTTAAACAAAAAGTTGCATAAAATGGATCTTCCTGTGATTTGATTTCGCACATTTTGAACGAGAGCATACTATAAATCTTCAGTTATTAATTAATTCATACATAATCATTTCTGGCACACGAATGGAGGCAAGGTTGTTCTAAAGGTACAGAAGTGGAACGTCGAGTTTCATTCCGAGGATCAGTCATTAAATAAATTTCAACACACCCAGTACGGATTCGAACCGATCCTGCACAAGATTCGGGAATGATAAAACAGGGAACGTTTTGTAACGTTCCCAGTTTTACCACGCTCGGCCATCAAATCCTCAATAGGATGTAGGTACTGTCTTCGTAAATAGAAAATCAACCATTTCTTAGTTTTTGTTTTGGTGTTTTTACTAGCATTGAATATGTTCATTAAGAACTTGGGAGATAAAATGTGAAATGTTTGAAAGAAAAATAACAATTCAACATTGAAATCTATTTTATACCGTCATCGGATTTGCCACAAATTTAAATAAAACATCCAATCAACTATGTCTCGCTGAATTAATTTCTCTTTGAGATATCTTAAAAATATTTTAAACATAATTCTCGAAGTTATTTCATTTGTCTGAATAAATAACAATTTTTGTGAAGAGTATATACATTTTTATTTTGATTCTCTACAAACCTCGGAACAATTGGTTACAGAGTTCTATAATTGCTCTGATAATAAAGAAGGTAGAGAAAAAACTAATTATAATTTATTCGACTCAACTGGCGCGACAACACATTACTCCTTTTTTTTTTTTAACTCTCCATACAACATTTAAAACACGGGGAAATCTGTTGCTAACATATTAGTACGTTGGAAATCTTTGGAATACGATTTTTTAGGAAACATTTTAAATATATTCGAAATATAATCGTTATTTCAATTAATTTGCAAAGTAACTAAAAGTGCGAAGGTAAATCTTTTATTTGCTTTTTTAACACAATGATGTGTTTCCAATGACAATAGAAAGATTTAACTTGGCTAGTTATAAAAAGTACTTCAAAGTGAGTTTTTACTACCTCTTTGGAATGTTTAGATAACCTGCATTCTGAGTGTTAAGGAATGTAGCGCCAAAATTTGTTCACAAGTGTATATAATTAAATAAGTTTATAATTTTAAAATGGATGATGATGAACTGTTGAACAGTTTGTTAGAAAATGAGCTAGACTCTGTTAAAGAAGCTTCATCCAAATCATCTGTTGAAATGGAGGTGGATTTGAGAACAGATAAACTAGGTAATTCAGAAAGAATCGACCTTAATGTATCCAATCTTGAAGCAGATCCTTCTAAGGATGTAGAAGAGTCTGAAAGCAATGCAGATAAGAAACCTCCAGAGAAAACAAGTAGTAAAAAAGAAGAATCCACTAGATATCGACCTTTACATCTTCCTCTCGCCAGAGTCAAACAAATAATTAAAATGGATCCTGATGTGCATATGGCAGGATCTGAAGCTGTTTTCTTGATTGCTAAAGCTACTGTAACTTTTTCGTTATTAAATAAGTATTACATAATTTGGTTTGGATTCTGTTCTAATCTTGATTTAATGTTTTATAGGAATTATTTATAGAACTTCTAAGTAAAGATGCTTATGCATTTACTTCTTCGGCAAAGAAGAAAACCATCCAGAAGAAGGACGTGGATTCTGCTATTACGAATGCTGATGCCCTTGTTTTCTTGGATGGAGCTTTAGATTTCTGATGTGATTTGTTGTTTTCTAGATGTATATATGTAAAAATATAGTGTTTATTTTTTGTATGGCTTTAATCAGTCTTCCTGAAATGTTTAGCCTAATTTTTGATAAATAGAAAAACAACTGGAGAATTCATGGGTGGAATGATATGTTTGCTCAAGGGATGAATTAACCCGCAACAATATCTGTTTAGTCAAAAGCCGGAATCTCACTGGAGATTGCTTACCTACCTATTAAATACACAATGCGATTGAAGTGATTTTTTTTCAGCTGTCATTAATATGTGACCGATGTACTAGTACTTACAGTGACATTAAATGTTTATAGTTTTATTTGATTATTTTAGAGGTTACCTTTTGGTGCTACAGTACACATGTCACTCAACTTTGATGGATGGCACAAGATCCATGATCATACCATAATTGTAATCTTGTCAGTAGGAAATTATGTTTGAAAGCAGATAGAAATGACCGAACGGTCTGGGTCTGGTAAGGTTCCGACCTCAACTGAAGGACCTGTTGCAAGTTTGTTCATCTCAGAATTTTAGTGAGCGAAAGTTGAAATCACCGATGTTATTAAAGCTGAAGAGTCCAGATTTTAACTTAAAATAACCAAGTAGAGAGTTTGCGGTACTATTAAATCACAAGTTAAATAAAGGAAGGCTATACTGTGAATATTGTGTCAGTCCTGGAGTATTCTTGGAATTCCATTTATAGCATGGTCATGGGATCTTGGATCGTTAAAAAAAATGGAGTTGTACTTGTATAATGGTATTGTATTGCGGCTTACAAAAATAATTTTTGACTAGTAGCTTGGGACTAATTAGATACTTGTAAGTTCCTTGTAATGAAATTGAAAAAAGTTAAAAGAACAAGGTAAACTGGCTGAGGACCTAGCTGTAAGAATAATAAGAAACATAATTAAGTAATTAATTATTTTTTGTGTCCAAATAACCGTTAGTTATCATAATTAGAAGAGATTTTCATCTGTTATTGAGTACATAAATGTTAGGTTCTCGTAGAATTGCTTTTCTATTTCTTGTACTCATCTTAATTTAAATTAGGATTTGAACAAGGATTATAAGATATCCTATAATAGGCTGTTGAAATTAAATGCATTGATTGATGTGACAGAGTTTTCATGCAAATACATTTGGTGAAAGACTATTTAAAAATTCACTGTAAAATTATTTAAACAAATTATCATATGAATAAAATACAAGATATTTTTGATAATAGGAAACCACTATACTGAAATCAGCAAGACTGTAATGCGTTTTATTCAACAAAAATATAAACTGCAACAATTAATGAAAATATTATTGTCCAACATAATTTTTGCACAGCGATCCAAAAATTAAGTATATAATATTTACAGATTTAGAATCAATATTGTATATTTAAATTTATTATCACTTAAAACAAATTCAATGCTCTGCTAACGGTGCATTTTTATGTCGGAGATGGGTTTATACAAGGTGAGTCATTACCTCCTACCTTAGAGTATGCAATAAGGGCAATCGGACATATCTTGGTGGCTCTATTTAAATGCATTCATATAAAAATAACACAGCATCTTGACTATGCTGATGTAACCATGGTAATGGTAAGAAATAAAACAGTATTAGCAGGAACTCTTAAAGAATTTAAAATGGCAAAAGAAATAGGATTGCAGATTAATGTATCTTAACTGGAAACTACACCCTAAAATCAGTCGGAACCTTTAAGTACTTGGGTGCCTAGTTATAGAAAATAAAAGTTGGAGGAACTAAAAGCAAGGATGGTCACTGAGAATAGATGTTGCTTAGGCATATGAAAAAAAATTAAAATATAGAACCCTGTATCAAGATAAAGATTACAATATAAGTATAAAATCATGGTTCTAAGACCTGAGAGATATAAATGACATCTGAATAAAAGATACTCGCATCGGCAAAAAGGTTTCTTCATGTGATCAATGGCCTGATGAGCTCACACAAACTGGAGAATTCACACCAATGAGGGGGAGCACCTATATACCTAGGCTAAAGAACCAGCCCACAAAGGTCTGCTTGAGGACCAATAGAATAAATTGAGGAGGACATCTTGAAGAAGATGGATGCTTGCACAGGACAGGAGAGAGTGATGGAAGGTGATAAAAGAGCTCCAGTTTCTTGCAGGGCCACAGCACCAAATATAATAAATTCAAAAATATTAAAATTGAACTTGAAAATAATTATTTTAATATCTAAATTGGATGGGACACCAATAAGTTATGTTAATAGATAAAAAAGCTATTTTGAACCCTCCCACTATTTTCTTTATTATTACGCAATTTTAATTTACATGATTTGATTTTTCTATATTGCATATATATATAGATTGAATTATAGATAAAAAGTTATACATAGTTATAAACCACGGTACTTGTGAGCGAGTTATCTTGTTATTTAAAGTGTTGTTGTTATTTATATTTTTTATTATTAAACTACTATATTATTATTATATTTATATTTCTTATTAATATATATATATATATATATATATATATATATATATATATATATATATATATTAATATCTCTCTCTCACTATATATATATATATATATATATATATATATATATATATATATATATATATATATATATTATATATATATATATATATATATATATATATATATATATATATATATATATATATAATATATATATAGTGAGAGAGAGAGATATTAATAAGAAACAGGAAAAAAAGAGGTAACACCAAATATATTTATATTTCTAATTATAGGAGAGTCTAATTTCATATGAAGATAGGGATTATCAGTGCCTTATCAAAATTATCAGTGATCAGGTTATAAACATTGGCAGATAGGGATTATCAGTGCCTTATCAGAATTATCAATGTTTAGGTTATAAACATTGGCAGATAGCAGTCCATAAAGCTGGCATTGCTCACAAGTATCTAAACCGCATATGTTAAAACATTTTTCAGATATGCTGAACATGGCAAAAGGCCGAAACTTTCATGTAAATTAAAATTACATGATAATAAAGGAGAATTGTGGGACAGAAGATCAAAAGAGCTTTTTTATTTATTAACATATTTTATTTTAATTTAATTCTCTCTTTATACCAATCAAGAGAATTAAAATTGTTGATTTAAATTAAGGAAGTCCAAAATTGAGAAAGATAAATTGAATCAACAAAGATACGGCAGAGCTGCATGCAGAAAAATAGAAAGCAATGGTCCAAGATCTCAAAAGCCAATAAAAATAATAAAATTTATCAATGAACTGATTAAAATTCATTGTTAATTTCATGCCAATTGAAAATAATCATGTCTATAAAAATAAAATCATTATTTTTGCATAAAATGTACTCCTAGTATTAATGACTAGAATAAAAAAATAAAATAAAAAAGCTCATTTAAACTAAAAACCTTCTGAAGATTGCTTAAAGATCTTTGAATCATTGTGCAATATTGATAACATTTTCTATAAAAATATACTGTTAAGTACAACATAATTTCAGTCTGACAATGTCGAAATATTTGTAAATTACAATACACTTTTGGAAATAAAACTATTGTGGTTGTTCATTCTTCAAACTTCTGTTTTTAGAAAAACGGCTGAGCCAAAAGCTCATCAGTGTATTGCTCTCGCCACTGACAATAGCCAATGCAATGAAAAAAATCCATCGCAAGACCTAAGAAAGAAGAGAATAATTAATAATTCTATTTGACTTTTAAGTTTACATTTCAGTTCCATGCAATAAAGATATAAACTAAAGCAGTGTCTTTTTCGTCAATTATTATTAAGTAAATAAGCTTATAGCAATAGCAATAAATAATTTCATAATTCAAGAGTTAAAAAGCCTGGCATTTTCACACCTCTGCCTGTATGATTAAAATTTTAGTTCACCATGGTGATCATTTAAAATTTTCTTCACCATAATTCAGTAATGAATTATAGAAAAAGAATTTTCAATGCCAAATAGGTTAGTTCAGATGAAAAAATTAGTTCAAAGCTCTGTGCAGTGAAATTGTTCAAGTGAATTTATATTAAACGTAATTAATAAAAAAGCCAAGGGTTTCCAAATTTTAATATTTATGTCAAGAACATTTTTATGTTTCACTAAATATCTGCTTTTACCTATGAAAAAAATATTTAAGGTATGTTATGAGGTATGTTAGGATATTTTATGCATTAGATTTTAATTAGGAAAAATATCTTAAATTAAGTAAAATAATTATGGTTCTTATGAATAATTTCAAAAGGTGTGATGAATATTTCAGGGTGAAGAAATAAGTTTATAATTTTTTTATGAAAACTGTTGTTTGATCATGTCTGTTAGAAATAAGCCAACTTTTTTTTCTTAAGAGTAATCTCATTTACCATTATAAGAATTTAAGATTAATGTATACCTTTTCTGAACACAAACTTAAACGAAACATCTAGATGTTCATTTCAAAATAAATATAATTAATAATAAAAAAAAAATAGAAATAAATTTTTAAAGAGAAAGAAAGAATTGATTTTTATGTTCTAGAAAAAATCAAGGTATTAATTTTTACTTTCACTTATAATTGAAATATTTGATAAGGAGAACTATTGCGATCTTGAGAACTTTCAAATTCAAGTTTTCAACGGAAATACACATTTTGACGTCTCATTAATTCAAATAAGCAAGTTTTGCAAAGTCGTCTGGTGTGTGTGTGTTTATAAATATCCTACTTAGCACAAAACGAAAAGTTATACACAACTAATATTATGTATTAACGAGAAAATGAATGCCTGAATAGTTACATCAACTTTTCCTCCGAAATTGACTAATACTTTATATAACAAAATTTACACACATTTACAATTACAGGGTGGTGACCAACCTGGAAATATGGGAAGTCATGGAATTTTCAAAACGGGAAGAAGTAACAGAAACAATTGTTTAAGTCAGAAAATTTGTTTAGTATGTAAATATTTTTTTCAATTTTCAAATATGAATATACAATGGATATTGTTTATAATGACCTTGAAGGGGTAAACGTCATCGTTATAAACGACCATGGTCGCTATATTAATCCATCTTTGACTATCGATAACTGTACCGGTCGTTACATTGAAATCAAACAAGAGTAATGAATACAATTTAACAAAACGGACTTACAACAGTGATTTTTTGAAAAGAAAAACATACCAGTACTATTTACTATTATTTGATTATATTTACATCAGGGTCAAGATCTAGCTGGCAAGCGCTCATCCCTTCGACCCATGGTGCTCCTTAAAAGAGAATTAATTAACCAGAAATGTCACACTTCGTCAAATGGATAATTATAATTCTGCTTATAGTAATAAAGAAACTAAATTAATAATAGAATTTCCCGTAGTTCACCTTATTTTATAATAGAGAAAATCAGAGCTTTAAATGTCAAGTATTAACTTTTACCTCCTCTCAGTTTATGATAGTAAATAACCCTAATCAAGTTTAAAAATGTTTCCTCAAAACATTATATTTGATATTTAAAAGACTGATTTTTTTTTTACTGAAATCATTTTATAGTCAAATTTCTTTCGTGTATAATAAATAAATTTACTTATAAATTATACATTCTTAATATTTTTGTCTTAAAATATATTGGTCAGGGAAAACTATCATTAAATAAGGAAAAGTTAGGAATTTTACTTTAACTTGCTAGTAGCCACTCTGAATTATCTCGAACGGCCATAACGATTTTGTATAGGAACGATTTCGAAATCAGTAACCACAGTTCAGAAATATTCAGCAACACAAGAAAAATTTGAATTTAAAAAAAATATCTGGTGCGGTGTGCGCATCACACAACTTTTACTTAACACCCTCATCTTAGCAGAAATAAGTATTTTCATACAAAGGGGAAGTAAAGTAAAAATTATAAATGCTATATTGATTCATATTTCATTGTGGATATTTTTATTTGTTTAAGTACTTTCATATATACCAATGTTAATATTTGTATCACTGTAATCTATACAATTAAATATTAAATAATACCAACAAAAACATTTAGGAAAGCCGTATATGCATATGTACATAATATTGTCGGAGTCCGTATTATATTAAGCTCATGTTACTATAGAAGCCTTATCTAATCTCCGGGTGAGCTCGGGCACGTTCTCATATCCGTTTCTTTCCTTCATTACAACTATTCTCTGTTATGACTCTGATTTCTCCTTTAGATAATTATCAAATTCTGTCATATTTTATATTTAACTATTTTTTATATTAGAGATCAATGTGAAATGGTTAATTGTTTCAAATAAAAGGCACTTTTATATTGAATATTAAAAATTGGAAATTTAAGCCCTGTTAGATGTACGTCATTAATGTTCAATGAGAATAAAACCTACATAATATTAAAAACTGATTAATTTTACACTGATATACCGAGTTTGATAAAAATCGTTGGAGCCATTTTCGAGTAAATCGTAAAAATGTGTTTCATCGATTATATAAAGTGCCACTTCCGGTTAGCTGATTTTGAAGAAAAAGTTCCTGTAACATCGCAATTTCACTTTTGTATGACTTTTTGTTTTTGAGTTCACACACACACACACACACACACACAAACCATTTTGCGGAACTTGGTTATTTGGACTCAGGAGATCTCAAAACATGTATTTCTGTTGGAAACTCAGATTAAAAAATGTTAACGATCACAATACTTACTCTTACAATATATTGTATATATAGACAAGTGAAAGCAAAAAAGAAATGAGATTTCCTTGAAAACTACACTTTAAAGATTCATATCTCGACAACTGATAAAGATATGAACTACATTTGGCGATGTTGGATTACATTTTTGTAGACTATCTCTTCTTTAATTACCAATATTTCCTATTAGTAAACCTTTTAAAGAATACATAACCTTATAATGAAATCTAATATAATGAATGTACTTCAAATGTATATTTTTTACTTTCTGGTTCTTGCCTTTAATACAGCTCGAACAGGTTGTAAATTTCTAGAGGATATTAATGAAGTTATGTTTGAGAACCCTTGATTTAAGCAGTTAAGAAAGAAAATAGATCAGAAGTAAGTGAAAATGAGAAATGACTTACCTCAAATTTTCTTAAAATCACTTCCTTTTGATTTAAAAATAAAATAAAATAAATACCTGAATGGAATCCAAATTTTCTTAAGATAATTCATTTTTCGATTAATAGATGTGAACAATAATTTAAATTTTTTTATACTCTCATAACAATTGAACAATTTCTTTAAATAGAAAAAATTAGTACACAAATACATTTTAAACGTAACACTAACATTGCACATCTTTGTGTCTTAATCAAAATATATAATAGTATAATCTTAAGTAAAATATTATATAATGTTTAAAAAAAAATCAAATAAACATATAACAAACTCGTGAACAAAAGCAATTTATTAAGAAAACTTGTGACAAAAATAAACATAAATTTCACATAAATTAAAAGCGTCTCTTCGCCATTATAGTACGATTATAAAATTGTTAATTACAATTACGATTTTTGATTTATTTGTTAACAAATAATAAAATTAAATTACTGTACAAAACATTCATTACTGTGATAAAGAACAGTACATTATAACAATAGAGTTTGCATAAGATCTTAAGATATTTTGAGAAAAACTTAATCGAACTTTAAATGACTTTATTAAGGCTACAAGATATACCAGTAAGAACTTTCTGGATTTATTTAAAGCTTTCCATTTGTACAACAATAAGATTAACTTTTGATTACACAAAGATTAAAATCACAGGCTTTTATGATGGCTTGCCGCAATGAACAGATCTGATTTATGATATGATATATATATCTATATTATAAGATCCATATATATAATATCATGTTATATATATTTTAAAAAGAGGCACTTTAATTTTAAACTGATCCCTGAATAGAAATGGAAGCAGTTACAGAAACATTAAGCGTTTGGACGTTTCCTTAACTATATTTCTAATGTTTAGACTGCTTACACACCTCTGCTGTGGAAGAAAGCGACATATTGGAAGATCCTTTTTGATTAAGAGCAGCGGCATTCTTCAAAATCATCTGGTTCATCAATTGCAGCACATGCTGAAAACAAAAAATAACAACATTCCATCAATTTACAATATTGATGATATAAAAATATGGTATACGAGCGAAACATGTAAAGCTCATAAAAAAGACATTAAGAGATTGAGACTGTCAAAGTTAACATTTGGAACAAAGTGGGTGGTGCCTTTGATGTCGTCTCTGGAATAAGTCATTATCACTGTTCAAATTTGACTAACATTCGATATTTAAAGCTGGAACGCTAGCCAATAAAACCTGGTGAATTTGTGCGTATGCAGATGATTTGGTTATCATGACCAGAAGTGAAGCAGCACTAAAAGAAGCCTTTGAAATAATTGTAAATAGAGGTAGGAGGGTTGGGCTACTGCAAATAAAAGCTGCAAATAACCAAAGAAACATCAGCGTCTCTCTTCTCAGTTATATATTTGAGAGCATGACCAGCTTCACTTAGGCTCGATAAATATGGAAAACAAGATTAGCCATGAAATAGAAAGTAGAACAGTGGCTGGAAATGGGGTGTAACGAACCTGAAACTCTTCAAATCGAAGATTTTTTCTAGGAAGAACAAACTAAAGCTGAATAATACTCTGATGAAGCCGGTTGTCACCTCCGAGTCGGAAACCTGGTGTCTATTATCAAAAGACTGTCAAAAAGTGAGTTTTTGAAAGATGAATAATAAGGATATAAGGGGCTGTAAAGATTGATAGAAGGTGGAGGATCAAGAGCAATACAGAAATTGCAGCCAAACTGAAAAATCAGGATCATTATATTATTTAGAAGTCGCAATAATATTTGGAAGTTTTTATGTATACCTATCATCATCATCATCATTTCCTTTCGGAATGGCGGTCGAAAAATGTGATTCGCTTTAGACTGTAGCGCCAATACGGTTTCAACGATTTCAATGAAACTTGGCTAAAGTCTTCCTCTTGAAACCTTTATCATTTATGTATATAACATAGTTTCCCGAAAACAAGCTGCATAAATTTTTATGATGAATACAGTATTTTATTTGCGAATAACTCAAAAAGTACACATTTTTTTACATTACACATTCTCATACCTTTTTTATTTATTTGAAAGCTTTCTTGAACCCCAACAAAATAAAAATAAAAAAAATCATCGAAATCGGAGTATTTGTTGCAGAGGTTATATCATTTTAACATTTAGTACTTTTTCTTTTGCAAATTCCATTTCCTTTATTTTGCTTTTTGTTAAATCGAAAACTTTTCATTTACTGAAGTAATTGGGTCTATTATTTGAAGAGATGAAGAGATTCTTGACCAAAGCTTTGTTCTAGCAATTGTATTTAAGTACTTTGATTTTCAACCACCAGGGGAGATCACAGACTTCATTGAACCTTTTTGTGCCTTAGTTTCTTGAACAAAATTTGGATTGTAATTACAGCCCCTGGTACAGACCTGTTTTTATGTTAATTATTAACATCATAAATGGTAAATGGTTGACTGACGTGAATAATGAAGAGAAGAATAGTTGGGGTGATAAGTCAAATAAGAAGGCAAAAATAAATGATAATATTTATTTTGACATTTGCCGACGTTTCGACCTGAAGTTCAGGCCTTCGTCAGGGCTAAGAAAAGAACCAGATAACAAGGTATGAGAAACATAAGTAGTGTAGGTAAAAAAAAAATTAAAGTAAAATGATAATAAGCGGTACAAAGTGTGGAATGATGAAGTAAACATAATCAAGAAAGGTGACATAAATATTAAAATGGGAATCTTAGAATGAAATGTAAAAACAGAAAAATGTGAAGTTACATAAGAAATGGAAATAAACAGTAAAATTAAGATATTGTGAATAGAATAGTTCGATAGAAAATTGAGACTTCATCATTCCACACTTTGTACCGCTTATTATCATTTATCTCTTTGTTCTTACTATTGTCATTATTCTAACAACTGAATTTTACTTTAATTTCCTACACTATCTAAACTTTCTGGTGAAAACAAATTACTGATCTACAAGACAATACTGAAACCCATATGGACTTACGGACTAGAACTATGGGGAACAGCCAAATTTTCTAACATCAAACGCATTCAATCCTTTCAGTCTAAAGTCCTCCGTACAATAGTCAATGCTCCCTTCTATGTAACCAATAAAACCCTTTACCATGACCTTAATATCCCATTTATTCTTGATCTTATCCCAGCCAAATTTTCCAAATTTCACCAGAACCTTTCTCATCACCCAAATCCCGTTGTACAATCCCTATCAAGCACCACCCATCCCTACAATCCCCTTCGTAGGTTAAAGCGGCAGTGGCCACGAGACCTTTTGTAAATATGGATATTTTGGAGTTCTAGCAATGGCCAGATTCTCCACTCAAGTCATGAGTGTCTGTGGCTGTAGCGCTCTTACTCATCCTCTGCTGGTTTAAAATACCAGTGAAGTGGCTGAGGGAGAAGCATAGGGATCTCCTAAGCCTCCCTTTTCCCTCCACATGTGGAGGGGACAGGATTGGTTCGGAGATCACCTGGCAAATTGTAAATAATGTATATAGGTATGTTTTATATAAGGTGTTTGTTTTACTTTTATTTCTATTTTTATTTACTTATGTGTATATATACATTTTTTTTCTTTACTCTTTTGTTCTTTTTTCTTATTCTTTTGTTATTACTTTATTTATTTATATTTTTGTATATACGGTATGAATGCAATCTCTGAACTCTATTATAAGTGTCCTTAAACTGTGACAAATTGTAATATTTCTGAATAAAGTGTTAAATCTAAAAAAAAAAAATTTCCTACACTACTTATGTTTCTCATACCTTGTTATCTGGTTCTTTTCTTAGCCCTGATGATGGCCTGAACTTCAGGTCGAAACGTCGGCTAATGTCAAATAAATAGAATAATTAATTTTTGCCTTCTTATTTGACTGACCCCAACTATTCTTCTCTTCATAATTATTAACATCAATTATTAACTAACACTGAACATGCAAGACACAAGATATATGCATCCTGGATGCAGAAAGCATTCATCTTTGTTGTGCTTCTCTTACATACTCGCCAACGCTCGGTCTACCCTACCCCTTCTCAATTTTCTCTAAGCTCTTGTGATTGACGCCTTAGTAAATTATTTTTTATTTTCAATATTGTTTTATTTTTTTATTTATGTCCTTCTTCAGAGAATTTCATCTTTGGCATTATTCCGAACATATGAAAATATTTCACTTCCGAAGACGGTAATTGCCAAAGTGTTATTATACCCATTTTAAATAGAAAATAACATAATTTAAATTAAAAAAATAAAAACAATTTAATAATGAGAATGCCCAAGTAACGAAGCAGAGAGTAGTGATAAGAAGAGGTCACATGAGATAAGAAGGTAGGCTCCGTGGCAACCGGCTACCTCACAAGTATCCCATTTGATTTATTTATGGGATTAGAAGTTATTTATGGGATAATCCTTATATAGAGTTGAACCAATGACAACAGTAATTTATTCTTCACTGTTTTAATACACATAACAAACAACATTAATTTCCTGGGACAACTAGCAAAAAAATATGGTAACTCCGATTGTGATTTTGTTTGAGAAACTTAATTGTGTAAAAGTGTCTATAAAGTCTGCGATGATTTTCCCTGGTGATTAAAAATCAAAGTACATACAATTTATAGGACAAAGCTTTAGTTGAAAACTCGATGGTGTAAAACACCCTTTATAGGAAAAAACAAAACAAATTAGTTCACTATTGTCACGTCTAGTTAATTCATGGGAAAATATCACTTTATCACAATACATGGAGTATGGACTTTGATCGAAAACGTATGGAGACTGAAAATATAATAAAACTTAAAGTAAACAATTCAAAATTAAAGAATTAATACAAATAAAATCTCACCTAACTTAAAACATGGTTCTTAACATAAGATGATATGATTAAAAACACTTTGCCGTTTCATGTAAAGTGTGATCGAAGTGATCTTGGCCCAATGACACTTGTGCATAAGTAAGAAATATTTTACATTTTAGAATATTTTCCTACGTTACAAATAAGAAACCATAGAGAGGAATACTTACATTTTTAAGACTGAGACTGTCGATAAACAATATCTTGCCACTGTCAGGAGAAGTGAAGAAAGTTTTGATAGTAGTCTTTTTATCAATCCAGAACTTGATTCCATCATTTACTATTTCGGGTTCTTTGGTTATTTCCAACCAAGTGTGCCCCCATTCAAGCTAAACATTCATAATTAATTAATAAGTTCACTAAAATATTTTAATATACCTAGTCCTGTCATAAATATTGTTACAAGTAAATATCTACAGATTTCAACAGAAAAATTAATTTTTTCAGAAACTTTATTAGAAAATAAAATGTATATCTATAGAGAGTAAAACAAAAAAATAAATTACTCAAAATGTCTTCCTATTGCCTTGACTCAGACATTTAATCTCTGTGACCAGTTATCAAAATCAGCACACAGCACTTCTTGAGGAAAGCGCTCAACTCCTCGGACCAGAGATTGTTTGAGGATTTCCAAGTTGGGGTGTTTTGCATACCATCCCCTTATGCATACCACTTCAGATCAAAGCCGATAATTTAGTGGGTTGAAATCAGGGTTTCCTGAGGGCTGATCCGAGGCAGAGATGAACTCTGCAATGTTCTTTTGCAGCCACTGCTGAGTTGACCTGGCCCTGTGAGTTGGAGCGGAATCCTGCTGGAAAACCCAATGACTTTCAGCAAACAGAGTATCATTTAGAGGCTTGACAGCTTGTATCAAAATATTGTTCTGATAATTTTTAGCGGCTGTTTTAACTCCTTTTTCACAAAAATGGAGCTTTGATGTGCCATCAAAGCAAACTCCCCACTAAACCATCACTGAGGAAGGGTGATGACCTCTTTCCACTCTTCCAATGACTTCCTGGGCTTCTTTAGAGCTGTGAGCGTACACACAATCATTTAGGCGATTAAATTTGTCTTCAATTGTAAAAATTTTCTCATTGCTAAACAAAATCTTTCGATGAAGACCATTGGTGTAACGGCCAAGGAGCACTTTGCCTTTATCCACTCTAATTTTTTTTAGGGAAGTGGTTAGCCTTTGTTCTGTTATTCTTCGAAATGCAGCCATCCTAAGGTTACTTTTTATTATGCGAGACATTGATCTGACACAGATTCCAATTTCCCGAGACATGATTTGTTGTTTTCGAATGGGATTTCTAGTGGTTTGAGCAGCCACTGCTCTCACTGCAGTTGCCATTCTCACAGTGCGGGAACTGTCGAGGTCTGTCACATACAGATAGGGTCTCATTATATCTATTTATATTGTGTTACAAGAACATATGGCTGATACCCAAAGGTTTCAAAGTGTTGAAAACCTCTGACTTACATTTTCCAACTTTGTGTAAGGCGATCACAGCTATTCAGTTTTCTTTATCGTCGTTGTTTATTGAGCGAAAGAAAAATACAAAATAACCTGTAAAGTAACAATATTTATGGCAGAACTAGATACAGGCTAATTATTTACCTGTTACCACAATAATTTTTACTGCAATGGAATTTTCTACATCCTAATTTGAGGTCAGGTATAAACCTACTTCTCTGAAATATCCAGAAGCTTTGATAAATTTATTGAGTAAATACGTTCTAAAATTTAATTGGTGTTTGCATTCTTATATCTTGAAAACTCATACAATTTGTAGTATTAAGAAAGAAAGTAAATTTTAATCTGGGATATTTAGTTCTCTCGGAATAACTATAATGAATAAAGAAATGACAGTTGTCTGGCGATTATGAATAATTAAATGACAATTAAAAATAAATTAATTTACAAAGATGTTTAACCTGAATATTAAAATAAAGAAAAGACACTGTAATAAATATATCATCTTGAAGTAGACATATGAATTTAAAGATGGATACATAAGGGTGAGTTCACACATTTGTACAAATAAGCAATATGATACATTCATAGATATCTGCAAGATATTGGTACAGTGTAACTGATATCTCGAAAGTACAAAGCAACTTTATTTTTACATATATTCGGAAGATTGATTACTGAGGTGATGGAAAAATAAATTGTACTTAAATGAGCTAATTACATTATGTAGTAAAGTTCGACAATAGCTGTATGTTCAAATATCACATCGATCAATTAACCAAGTATAATTTTTTTTAACACTTTATTTTCATATAAAATGTAAAAACTTGCTGCCCAATTATAATAATATTATAATGTCCAATATAACAGAAAAAGAGGGTAACACATTTACAGATGAAGTTGAGTCTCATACTACAGACATTCATCATCAGCCATGTCTTAGTGACATTGTGACAATCCTGAAACGGTTTCCAGACGAATCATCGGATCCGTCGTCAGCAGAGAATCTACCTCCATCAGAAGCTCTGCCAATGCTAATGAACGTCTACATTGTTCTTCAGGTCTCATCGCCTTCCACGTTATTTTCAGGACAATATAATTCCTGAACTTTTAAAATAAGTGGGAAAGGACTATAGTGACTATATTTAATATAATATATACAGGTGGTATTATATGTAACCAGCTGTTATGTACGTTCCAACATTATATATGTAAGGTGTTTTGTGATAAAGCAGTTTCAAGTTACTCAATTGTGTTATTTAATCAAGATCAAAACCAATTCAAACACTCGATTACAACATTTAGTATGATAACCATACACTTATCGTTAAGTCAAAAATGTTAAGATTTCTTTTAATGCAGAAAAAACATCCATAAAACATAAATTTGATCGATGATGACAGTGAACTTAAAATTGATTACCTGGTAACCTCCAAATATCTCATTGTAAGCGAGGTAGATCATTCGACAATCAGTTAGCAAGAGGACATCTTTGTATTTTGTTGCATAGCCAATGGGCATGTGGAAGACATATTCATCAGTCTTTGCGTACTTTCCTTTATCAAGTTCCTGTAAAAATACATAAAACTGTAAGTTAGTTATAGCAATATATTTTTTCAATGATAAGTATTATGTAAAAGAATTTTATTAATACACTATCTATTTAATAGTACAGTTAGTAAAAATAATAACTGTATTTGTTTGAATATAAGTCAACCGTTCCATTATTAAAGTAATTATTAGGAAAAAAGAAAATCGGTATCAGCAAGTACAATACTTCTTCACTAAGTATGTATGAAGCTTCGCTAATCATGAGTGTTATATACAATTTCTCGATAATAATTCCCTAATATTACTTCTACTTTGAATGTATTAGAAAATAAAAACATTTAATATGAGATTTGTTGCACTAAGTATAGTAATAAATATTAATTCTTGAAATGACTGTACAGGGTGTCTCAATTCTAAATGGTCGAACTATGGAAGGTAATTCTAGATGAAATTTCCAACAAAAAATATTCATTTGATATATACTGGGCCGAAGGGAAAAAGAGTCAAATCCAATTTTATCTTTTCCTAAGATGGTCATGTTTTCTCATTCATAGGAAGCGTTAACACAAAAAATATTTAATTCAATACAGAGTTTGTCTTTGTTAAATTATTTAAAGGGGACTTTTGAGGGATCAAACTACGTTAAGTTGTGTTTTTCATTAAATCATAGATTGTTCGCAATTTTTTATTATCCTACAACTGGACTAAAGATACCCTACTTTTATACAAACTTCCTTGTTTAGTTAGCTTTAATTACATATCAATTTAGTTCAGGTTTGTTGCAGAATAGAGTTGAGATTCATCTCGAGTTGAGTTAAAAATTATGTGATATGATTTTTTGTCACTTCAGTGTTAACAATCGATCAAAATATCTGATTTTCAGCAAATATAACAACCAAGAAATTATTACTAAGTTTTAAATCCTTAGTTTTCTTGTGACCTGACATCTATTTTAGTAAATTCATTATGAAAATACACTTATTATTCCTTAAAATATGTTTAAAAAAATACTGCTTTTTAATTTTTACGATTTTTTTTTCACATAAATATAAATGTTAGGAATAAAAACATTTAGTTACTTACCGTAAGGATCAATTTCCACAATAGATTGACGGTGTTATAAACAATGGTTCACCTTAGATAATAAATTCTACTTGTATTTGAAGGAAATTATCTCTAGTTTACTATGAAACAATTCTCTATTACCTAAATTAAATACTTTTTGTGTTATCAATTCCTATAAAAGAGAAATGTCTCGAGTCATAATGTAATTCAAATGTTGAAGTGTCCTAGAAATAGAGGGTCTCGAGACTCGATCTATTAGACACCGTGTTTTCTCTCGTCAAGTGTCCACACTACACTATGAATTCCTCAGTCTCATCTTCGCAGCCCACCGTGGAGGAAATAGTTTTGTGTGGAATGAGTTCCTGCTTAATAATAATTACAAGTGATGGACCCCTTTTCCCTCCGAAATTGGCCCTTACATCAAATGAATTTTTTTGTTGGAAATTTTATCTAGAATCGCCCCCTAAAGTTTGGCCATTATTAATTGAGATACTCTGTATACATCAAAAACCAAGAAGTTATGAAATGTTTTTTTTTTACCTTCTTACTTTCTTACTTCTTACTTTACTTAGCCGATTCGGGCATTCGGGAGAGGATTGTTCTAGAGGTACAACCAAATCTATTCAAACCAGAGTGAGAAGGTGGAAATTTATAATGTGGGTCCGCCACAAAATCATTTTCAACCCTCCCAGACCATGTTTACGCTTTAACATGCTTGGCCATGACAACCTCAATTGATAGAAATGATTTAGAAGGCACAACAAATATTTTAAAATTTTAGAACAAAACATTATTTTGAGACTGACCTGAAGGTACTTGTTGCCTTCTGCTTCTTGTTCACAATATGGTTTGATCAATCCATCTGGCCTTATGTAACGAGGGATTCGTTTACGTGGCAATTCACTGGAAACTTCTGTTGCTCTAAAAAATAAGAAAACATTCATAATTCCCTCTGAAAAAAAAGAAAGAAAATAATAGTCTAAGAGAAGATGGGTTGAGATGATCAGTAAAAAAAAAAAAGTATATTTATTTATTTTTACATTTTTTTTTTACTGATCACCCCAACCAATTTTCTCTTCAATTATTCACTAATCAAACATCAATCCACAATTATGAATATAATAGTCAATTTCATTTATTAAATAAATTAATTCAGTAACATACTATAATCTTCGATCCATTTCTTTTGAGGGTACTACTGTACAAGTGTCACTCCACTTTGCTAGGTGGCACAAGATTCTATGATCACACCATAAATGAAATCTGGAGAAACGTCGAATGCCTCTGAAAGTAGACAAAAGTGACTGAAGCGTCTCGTAAGGTCCTGAACTCAGATGAAAAGGACCTTACGAGGATGAAAATTGGGGATATGGTTATTCCTTTAAGCGAATATGAGTCATAAGTAATTAAAGCTAATTAATCCCCCTTCCTTCCCCGATTAAAACTAAAAAGAACAAGCTCTAAGTTTATCGAAGTTGTGAATCACGATTTAAATAAAGGGAGGTTATAAGGTGAACATGTCAATCCTCGGCTATTCTTAAATCAAATTTGTAGCATGATCTTGATCCACTTGTCAAATTGGAGTGACACTTGTACAATGGTAACCTTTTGAGTCTCAGCCATTCTTACCCATCTTTTAGGAATTATTCAAAGTTTATAATTTTAAGATAAAGCAAAAATTCAAATAACTTAGTAGAATGACAAATAGACAGGATTTGTAATCTATATATCGCTACTGTCAGTGCAGAAGGTCATGTGTAAAAATTGATTTTTTTCACAGAAGTGCTTGAAAAAGTAATTATTTCTTTATGATTTATTAGTATAATTTCATATTTTATTTCCTTCTGCTATCTTCCACACTAGCAGACTACTTATTGCAGTTGCAGACTACAAAATGTCATCTTTAGCACAATTAGAATAAACATGTAAAATTGTTACAAACGACCTTTTGTATTAACAGTAGCATATATACATATACGGCACTACAATTCATTGCTGAATTAGTGCTCTCTTCAAAAGTTTCCAACATTCATCCCTATTCTGTGCAACAGTCATTCAATCTGTTATTGCAAGGATATTCCTGGTATCTGCATGGACATTATCCAGCCATTTTGTTTTGGCTTGTTTTACTCTTCTAGGCATGGAAGGCACTCGACTATTACTCTTCTTCTTCTACTATGTATCTGTTCTGGGGATGCCTCAAATTTTTTCTCCTCATTACTATTATCTTTGTCTTCTTGACGTTTACTTGAAGACCAAATATCTGGGCCTTTTCCTGGAAACTTTCAAATCAATCTTTGATATTGGCGACGTCATCTTCGTCATCAGTATATGCTAGTAATTGGTAGTTTTTATTGAATAAAGTATCCCCCTATACCTAGAAAGCATGACAGATGTACTAGGCAGTCCTTGTCCTGCTCCAATGCTTTTTCCCACGCTTCTCGGTCTCCAGTGAGTGATAAAGAACGGCTATACGCAGCCAGATCTGCAGATATAATGTCCCTCCATCTTCCTCGTGTTCTTCCACGCACTCTCACTCCCTCTGGGAGGCCAGAATAGAGCTCTTTGGCTGTCCGGTCGTTGTCCATTCTCAATAGGTGACATAGCCATCAAAATCATTTTATTTTTACAAATTCTGAGACTCTTAGATCTCCATAGATACCTCTCTCCATTCTCTTTGATCTCCTTCTCCTCATCCAAGGCCACATTTATCCGACTCCCCAAGTATTTAAAACTAATGACATTTTCAAAGGAGCTGTTGCCAACTATGTATCTGCTCTGGGGATGCCTCAAATTCTTTCTCCTCATTACTGTTATCTTTGTCTTCTCGACGTTTACTTGAAGACCAAACATCTGGGCCTTTTCCTGGAAACTTTCAAATCAATCTTTGATATTGGCGACGTCATCTTCGTCATCAGTATATGCTAGTAATTGGTAGTTTTTATTGAATAAAGTACCCCCTATATCTAGATTTAAACGCATGATAATGCATTGTATAATAATATTAAAGAGAAGTGGAGCCAAGGGGTCACTAGACCAGTGTTAACACAGAATGTACGAGTTAGCTCCCTGTTCACTTTGGCATTACTGACTGTACTACCTACACATTGTGCACTCAACTACATACAACACCAAATTTAAATATTTGTAGATGCGAATTTTCCTAAAAATCTGCCAAAATTTTGAAGTAAATATGCAAGTGCATTCTCTTAAAATGTATATGGTTATTTCTATGGTGTTTGTTTTATAAATTAGTTATATTTTTTATTTTCAAGTTAATTTATTATTAGCCATATTTACATTTTTTATTTCTTTCATTATGTAGGATTTTGGCATTTACATAATGAAAGAAATACATAATGAAAGAAATATGAATAAACGTAGAATTAAAATAGCAATATACATAACTAAAAACTTAAAAAACTCAGTAAATAATCATACATAGGTGGATAATATGAATACTTTTTACGCTAGTTCAATTGAAAAAATCAAAATTTGAAATAAATTAGCTAATATTACTTAAAATAGATCCACATGTAATATTGAGTAACAGCATTATATATGTTCATAATAAATAGTCTTCCCCTACTCCTATAAGAATAACCAGTCACTGAATAGAAATGAGATGGATGACATATGGGTGACTCAGAAACAAGGTAATTTTAACTTATTTTGAATCATTTAATAGTAAAGAATTGAGTAATAATAATGTTGTTAAATAATTAAAGGTGAACATGACAATAATAAGGAATTTTATTATGAGTAGACGCTTGCAATTCGCATAAGTGAAAATGACAGGTACATGATGGGTATTTTTAGGTACATAATAAGAATCTTTATATTTTGAAATATGTTAAAGTTAATATATGATTATAAATGAAAAAATTTTTTTAGACTTGAAAATGGCTCGACGAGCCGAAACGTCGTCATTGCGATGAGTAGTCATTAAGTGACAAACATTTTTTTTTTTTTAAATTGGTGTAAATATGGCTAATAATAAATTAACTTGAAAATAAATAGTATGTACCGAAGAAGAATTGAGTAATATTGTGAATATATTTTTTATTTTATTTTTTTTACTTATGCCTCTCTTTATTGGCTTCCGCCATCAGAGATCTTGTAGCTCAGTAACATTCCGATTTGGACGATACGGTATATCTTATGCTCAGCAAGCTCGAGGATACACCTAAATGCGCTCCCAAATCACATAATTACAATGTGGAGAGTATGCCACTCCTATTCTATACAGATGTTTCCTAAGGTAGTCGTGGCCTGTTATCCAGAATTCTGCCACAGCTTCCTTTCTCAGCAGGTTCATGGGAACTTCATCTGCTTCATTGAACAATTTTATCCATTGCTTTTCCAAAATACTGTGCTCTTTACATATTCTAAAAGTAAAGCCTCATTTGTCTTATTTATTTATTTTTTGGCTCAAAGATATGATATTCGATTTTCTGGCTGGTTCAATGTGGAGCCTTCCTTGGTAAATTTATCAGCCATTTTGTTGCCATGGAGACCACAGTGACTTGGTATCCATTGAAACAATACCTCTGTTTCTTGAAGAAGTAGTCCCTCTATGATCTTTTGGCATTTCAGAATATCCTGAGCAAAGGAATCATAGGGCCTTTTTTTATAAAATCTTAGAAAAGTGCACTGTGAAACAATATAATCAGTTAAATTAGTATTCAAGTCAGATTCGAAAAGAATATTAAAAAAGCTAACCTTCTCACAGCTCCAAGTGAACCGCTAGCAAAGTCTACGATGCCAGCTGTTGGTCGCGTGATGAGGCCAACCATTCCTTTGCCAACGCCCTTGAAGAACCCTGACACACCTTCTTGTTTAGCACCAGACAGCGGCTTGGTGACAACACCTCCCACACCTTCTATGACACCCTGTAATAATACAAAAACATTTTTTTTTTTAAATATTTATTTATACTGTGTTTACAACTACACTTCTATTTAATATATTGAAGAATAATACGAAATCTAACAAATCAAAACATATTACAATTTAAATTATCATTTTAAAATACAATCCTTACCGGAGACCTTGTATATAACAAATACAATTTCAATTTTCACTTCTAAATACTGTAAACCCTCATTATAACAAACTCTAAAGGGGCCAGAAATTTATTAGTTCATTATAAAAATGTTCATAATATTAAAATAAAAACAAAAATAATAATGTCGATAATTTTTTATTTACATATATTTCTAAGCCCGATACATTTTGTAGACATTTTTAGCCAAATAAGACCATACTACAAATTTTGATACTGGACATATATTTAACTTAAATGATGTTATAATTATTAGTTGATAAATTTAAATCTTGTTTTTATTAATCAAAACTGCCTAAAAGACATAATATTACTATATTTAGCAACTGAAGCTGGGATCAAATGAAAGTGTGTGCTGCTATAATAAATTTTAAAAAATAATAAGACAAAATAAATGACTAAAGATAAAAATTATAAAAAAAAAATTATGTCTTAAAATGTTCAACTTTGATGATATATTTTACTTCGCAATTAAAAATTAAAATTGGTATTAAAATCGCAGTACTTATTATATGCCAACTAATTTCTCTGAATACTGTCTCAGTGATAGAAATGCATACCATAACTAGACCTTTGCCGCTGCGAGCAAAACCTTCTTGCATCGTCGCAGGCTTGGAACGCTGCATTTCTCTCCTATGCCTCTGGTAATCATCATCAAACGTGAGAGCTGCTAATCCCTTACCTGCACAACGGATACAGAAATATTTTCAAAAGATAAGAGTGAGGTTATAATGTTTGTTAAAGCTAGAAATAAGTTCATAATGAAAAATGAATGAAACAGCATAAAAAGTGAAAGTTGAATGAGTTAAATAAATCAAGTCTTGAATCTAAAAATATTATACAATTAAACTAAGAGCATCGGATAGTGATTTGAGTTTAAAGATAATAAAAAATAATTTTACCTAAAGCTCCAGTCATTTTAGATACAGCGCCGGCCGCACCTCCGACTGTGTGCCCAAACAGCGATCTCACACCTAGCACCAGGCCTTCTGCGAATTCTCCTGGACCACGGATGGCTCCCTATAATAATTTATAAAAAACATTATTAGTACAAGTTTTATTTTTCATACTCCCTCCTCTCATCCTCTCCACTCCACTATCAGCATGAAGATTAAACATCCTTGGTTAATATATGCAATAAAAAAAATATCATAAAGAAAACTTAATTTACTCGATAACTTGCTCTTAAAACTAATTTATACAGAATTGGTTTATTTTTACGTGAAAGTTTAGACCTTTAATTATAAGATGAATATATTATTACATTATTGAATACTTAATAGTTGGCCATTGCATTATTAAGGAAGGAGATGGTCCGGGGTGGCGGTCATAAATAGACTAAACAGAGGCAAAACTATTTTATTAAAAGCCAATGTTTCGAACCGACTTCGCAGGTCTTCTTCAGGGCTAGAACGGACAAGATACAAAAAGATATAGAGAATAGAGGAAGTTACATCATATTTAGATAAAAAATTATAACCAATGTGAATAAACTTATTAAAATTATAAACAGTAAGTACATTAAAATATTAAGAACAATAAGTTGTATAAACAGAGTATGCTAAATAACAAGATCCTAAACTGAAGTAAATAGATGGTAACAATTGTTGCAGTAAAATAAAATATAATATACTCCTATAGAACAACAGGAGGGATTGGAAGAAAAGAAAAAAGGATATGATTTGAAATAATGGACATAAAGGGATGTGGAGAAAGAGAAGAAAAACAAAAAATAAGTAAATAAAATTAGTTGAATAAAAATAGAGACTTACAGATGTGTTCAACAAGAAGTTTCACTTAGAACTGAAAAACCAGGGTAAGGGTTAGTATTGGGGAAATTTGTTGACCTGGTTGGGTAATGGTGAGGGGGTAAGTGTAGTAAAAGTAAAAAAACCTGGAAAATTACAGTATCTAAAATCTGAAGATAAGGATGGATACGAGGGAAAATACTATATCTATGAAATAATAAATTATAAATATATATATATACATATAAAAAAGAATTTAGAAATTATAGATAGGAGCACATTGTGAATAAAAACAAAAATGAAAGAAGTAAAACGTACAAAGAAGTAAAATATAAATATAGAAATAAGAGACCATACATTGCAGAACTAATTTAGAAGTATAGAGAGGAAACAAATATGAGTAATTAAAATTATACTTAGTTGTACATATATAAGAAGATTACATTTAAATATTAGATAATATTGAGATATAATGGTTAAAAAGTAAAATGAATACAAAGTAAAAAAGGATGATAAATATGATGTAACTTCCACTATTCTCTATATCTTTTTGTATCTTGTCCGTTCTAGCCCTGAAGAAGAGCTGCAAAGTCGGGTCGAAACGTTGGCTTTTAATAAAATAGTTCTGCCACCATTTAGTCTATTTATGACCGCCACCCCGGACCATCTCCTTCTTATTATTAAATTATACATTAACAAAGCATTGTGTTAAGTATATTCATTATCCTTGCTTGATTTCTGCATAACGACCATAGCCGCTATAGACAGTCATGGTCACTTACTTTAACCATTCTATTTTATCATTATGTTTTGTTAATTACTTCAGATTATGATTAATAAATGTCACCTGAATAGGTTCATAGAAAAAATCCGTAGCTCCAGTCTTCAATCCAGAAATCAGACCAAAAGGGTTGCCGATAACGTCCAGACCTAAGATAACGACGTAGATTTGCTGCAAGATTTGGCTCACGTAGTGACCTTGCACCTCTCTCAACAGCTGAGATTGAGTCACGAAAAGTGATTGTCGCTCGAAACAGTTGATTCTAAGGAAAATAATTTACATTTTTATAATAAATTAAGACATATATGCTTATAATATAAGAGGGTGGTCCGGAAAAGTTTCTGACAGCAATGTGAAGATGGCAGCACTCGTAAATAAAAGCAAGTGAATTTCCCAAAAAAGAAGGATAACTATTTTCTCGGCTGGTAAAGTGATGGCGTCTGTTTTTTGGGATAGTCATGGAGTTATTTTAATCGACTATTTAAAAAAAAAAAACCATTACAGGAGCATACTATGCATCATTACTTGACAAGCTGAAGGGAGAACTTGTGGCAAAACAGCCACATTTGCAGAAAAAAGATAACCCTTGGCATTTGACCTTCGCGAACAATTATTTTACAGGGAAAAATGGCGAGTACTTTTTGGACAGGTTACAGAGATGGGAGCATTACTGGGCGAAGTGTGTAGAGTTACAAGGAGAATATGTTGAAAAAAAAATTCAGAAAAAATGTCTTGTATTTTTGTAAGGTCGGAAACTTTCCAGACCACCTTCGTATTATTAATATAATCTTGTACCAAACGATAAAGAAATAAATTAAATTTTTTTTAAACAAATAATTTAACATAAGTATTTTAATAACAAGAAAATCCCAAATTTATCGTTTGAAGAAAAATTTATTTTGAACAAAATTATTTATAATCAAGTCATTCAGTTAGTCATTTATCAGAATATTGGAACTGATAAACACTGATGGTAAAATAGTTGAGATACACCAAGAAGCATTTATTTTAAATAAGCAGTGTAGAAAAAAAATAAGTTAGAATGTATTCTAGTTATATGCTAAAAATAAAAAGATATATAAAAAATCCATTAAATAATAAATTTTAGTGAAAGATTATCTATTGATAATTCAATATAAACTTGATATAATCGAAAAAGGTCAATATCCATAAACCAGGTAAGTAAATATGAAATCGGAATTAGTCTATAGATAGCTCTAATTGTAAATGTAATGACACCGTTAATACTGAACTCTACTGACAACAAATGATCAGTTCGAATTGAGTATTGAATGAAAAATGTACAGAATAAAAAAAATCTGGCTTCTTTGCTTTTATAAAACACAGAATGACTAACTCCAATTTCAACATTTTTGAGTGATGCCATTTTAGTGATATTTTAAGTTGAAAAAATTATCTATGCAGACAATGAGTAAGTTGATTCCAGAGGTGGTGATTGCAGTGTTGAAATATAGAACTGAGAATAAAAGTATAAATTTAGGTACTTATTTCTTACGAAAGATGTTCTTAGGAAAGACACTTTATTAAATATCTGTAGAAAAAAGGTTTTTTTAGTCTCAACAATTAAAAAAATATATTTTAAATTTATCCAAATTTTTACCTCTTCAGGGAAAAAAACTGGAGACCATATCTTTCCTCCTAATTGTCCGATTTTAACGATTTTTGTTGTTTTTTTTTAGGAAATTCCATAAACTTTTAAAAAACCATAACAATATCCAAAAAAGCGTATACTTTTTGAGTTATTCGGAATTTAATTTTAACATAAATTCCAGCTTCTTTTCGTTGAAGTATGTTATATAGATAAATTTAAAGGGTATCGAGAAAATGACTTTAGCGAAGTTTCATTGAAATCGCTACATTCGTACAGGCGTATAGGCGCTACAGTCTATAGCAATGCAGGTTTTTCTGCATTTTTATTTTTTTTCTCCTTTATTAACTTATCAAATTCTTTCAAAAGTTATATGTAGCATTTTTTCGCAACTTTGAATAATGCGAAATGGTTAACTTTTTAAAATAAACGATATTAAAGGTATTTTAGAGGAAGACATATAGGAACATTGGGAATTTAAGCCCTGTAAAGTGACATTAACGGGGATAAGACCTAAATGATATTAAAGACCACTTAATTATACAATGATACACTGAGTTTGATCAAAATCGTTAAGAGCCGTTTTTGAGAAAATTGTAAAAATGTGTTTTAGCACTTCCGGCCCATATACAAACCTTATATACTTAATATCAGTTTCGTACTACTTTTTGTTTATGAGCTAGACTGTTAACACACACACACAGACACACACACGGACAGACACACACACACACACACAGACCATTTTACGACACTTGGTTATTTGAACTCAGGGGACCACAAAACATGTATTTCCGTTGAAAACTGAGATTCAAAAATTTTCACGATCGCAGTACTTACCCTTACTATATATTACATATATACGTAAGTGAAAGTAAAAAAAAAAAGAGACAACACAAAATTATTTAGTTTCATGATAATGAATCATCACACACAGCAAAGCTAGTGAAGGAAACTATTGGGATATTTAGTTGGAGAATATTAGTGCATATGGCTTACTCATCAGACTTGGATCATTCTGATCATTATTAGTTGTATCGATGAGCAAGCACTTCACTTCTTATAAAAATTGCTTGATGACTTGTTCAACACAAAAGAGCAATAGTATTTATGCATGGATTTAAAAAATTTCCAGTGAGATGGGGAAAATGCTTAGCTAGCGATGGACAATAAATTTGTATTTTCTACACAAAAATTCTTGTTTCATAATTACATACCTGGTATTGGTGATAGGTTATATTCAATCTTGCATAATACAATCAATAATATCTTCAGATTAAATAGCAAGACAATTTTTGAAAATATCTAAATATAAATAATTGAAGAGAAGTTGGTTGGAGTTTTCAGCCAAAAACAAACAATTTAAAAATAAAAAATAAATAAATGATATTTATTTTTGCCGACGTTTCGGCCCAAAGTTCAGGCCTTCATCCGGGCTAAATACCAGATAACAATATGAGAAACTATCAGCTTAAAAAAATTAAAAGGAAAAATAATACATAGCTGAAAGGTATAGTCTAAAAAATGTAGGTAGAATAAACTTAAAGGAAATATAAAATAACAATAACAAAGTTAGGGAATTATGAATAAAATAATTTCCACTACTTTCTACCCCTAACTTCGTAATCATTATTTTATATTTCCTTTAAGTTTATTCTACCTACATTTTTTAGACTACGCCTTTCACCTACGTATTATTTTTTCTTTTTAAGTTAATAGTTTCTTACACCTATTTTTATCTGTTTTTTTCTTAGCACTATGAAAGATGAAGGCCTAAACTTTGGCAAAAATAAATATACTTATTATTATTATTATTACTTATTTATTTTTACATTTTTTTGACTGATCACTTCAACCAATCTTCTCTTCAATATAAATTATGAAGTCCACAAATTATGGACAGTTCAGAAATTTGAAATGTTAAGAAAGAATGAGATGCCAATATAAAAAGCTTATATATATATATATATATATATATCATACCTGAATAAGACATCATCAACATCTGTAAGTGTCACACCAAAGCTATGCATGAAAACTGACACTATCGGTGGCATGAGGCTATCCTCTCCGGTGGAACTCTCTCCGCTGCTTAACGAAAAGCTTATGTGCATCTGAAACAAACCCATTAGAAATAAATATAATCATAAATATAAAAAATAAATTGACATAAAATAGGAGGATATAATTGGAAGATTCCATATAAAAAGACTTGCGTATCAAAAAAATCTAAAATAAAACAGTTGACAACAGTATAAAAATCATTATATAAATAGGCAAACACGAAACGGTTCAGCCTCTTTTTCTCCTCTGTTATTCAACCGATTTTCTTACTTCTTTTTCTGTTTGATATCTATTGACGAGCTTTAGTGTTATCAATAAATAAAAATATGAAATAGTTTTTAAATAAATATATAAATGGTAGTTTGTTCAAAACAGCTAATCTCCGAAAGTTCTTCACTGATTTCTTTGAAATTTTGACTCAATGTCGCAATAATATTTAAAAGTGTTTTTTTATACATTTCATTATGATCAGGCCTTTCCTTTCGAAATGGCAGCCAAAAAACGTGATTAGCCTTAGACTGTAGCCCCAATACGGCTGTAACAATTTTAATGAAACTTGGCTAAAGTCTTCCCCTTGAGACATTTATAATTTATGTATATAACATACTTTTCCGAAAACAAGCTGCATAAATTTTTATGATGAATTCAGTATTTTATTTGAGAATAACTCAAAAAGTACACATTTTTTTATTGATAATACCAATATTTATTTTAATTTTCCTGAATTCCCTACAAAATAACAAAAAATCATCGAAATCGGACTATTTGTTGCAGAGATATATCATTTCAAACATTTAGTACTTTTTCTTTTGCAAAGTCAATTTCGTCCCTCTATTTTTGTTTTTGATAAATTGAAAACTTTAAATTTAATGAAGGGATCGTGACTATTATTTGAAGAGATGATATCATGGAAAGTTACCTCATAAATTAAATTTAAAAATAAATTCTATAGTTATACTCATTCTTAACTTAAATACTGCACAAACAGTTGTTAATGGAACACAAATGAGAGTGAAGTACTGACGGGAGCTATTTTAAATAAAAGAATTTTAATTCCAAGAATTAATTTATTATTTCTGACACAATACTTCCATTCGAATTTCAAAGAACAATGTTCGTATTAATAGCTACATTTGCTATGACCATAATCAAACCGCAGGGTCAAACTTTTGGAAAAATTTGTGTATTAATGCGACGTCCAGTAATTTCGCAAGGACTATGTAGCAGCAAGTAAAGCACGTTGAAATTAAAATTAAATTTTGAAATTTATATCTCCAATGGCAATGGTCAAGGCTAGGTACTAAACAATAACAGAACATTAAAAAAGAATATTTTTTCAGAGAAGTTCTGCATAAAAATGGATTTAAACGCAGTTAAAATTGCTAATTTAAATTTATTTTTTACTTGCTTATTCATAACATTAATTTATTGTGATAATAACACACATAAATTAAAATAGAAATTGAATATTTCGAATGAGTCTATTTTGTATTACTTATAGGTAATTATAGGTAGTTTAAGCTCGATTTTTAATTTAAATTGAAATTTTATTTATATTAATAAATGAGGATTTTTGAATCGTGATTTATTCTTTATTTATTGAATTTATTTTTAATTTAATTATGTTTTCATATAATTTTTAATGGCTACGGTCGAATTTCGACGACTGGGCAAACATTAGTAATCATAATGGTGTGGAGATGGTTGACCGTAGATTCTAATTTCAGAAGAGTTAGTCGGGAGTGCGGTAAAAAAATACTATATTAAATAATAGTATATTTATTGCATTGTCCAACATTTTGACCTATGTTGTAAGTCTTCTTCAGGGTTATATAAGATACAAAAAATATATATTAGTTATTTAATTATACATAAACAAAATATATTAATTTTTATATAATGAATTAATATTATATATAATTAATTAATGTTTATGTATAATTAAATAACTAATATATATTGTTTTTATTTTATATAGCCCTGAGGATGACCTACAACATAGGTCAAAATGTTGGACAATGCAATAAATATACTATTATATAATATAGTATTTTTTGACCCGACCCCTGACAAACTTCTTCTGAAATATAAAAATAATCAGTTGATGTTTCACCTATTTAGGCATCATCAATATAAAAAAAACAAGATCTCAAATATGCAAAAGAGCAAACATACAACATCTCATCTCCAAAAAAGACCACATTCACCAGAGAAAGTGGTAAACCATACCAAGACACCATAACACTTACTTTTTTGTCCTGATAATGCTTCGCTTATGATCATGACCAGGATTACATGGTTCTGAATTTCTGGACTCATTGCCCTGCTGCTATAATTATATTATAACAAATAGTTATATATATATATAATATAAATCGTTCATCCCTTTTTGGGTACCAAATATAATATTACATTTTGCAGGTAGTTTTAATTAAGAAGAACAACTATATTTAAAATGTATTTATTATTGTTATCAATGAATTTAAACTGCTCAAACTGTTGAGTACATTATATCTTGTTTATTATAATAATGTCTCTTGCTTCAAAACTTCCAACCAACAAATATGTTTCTTTTTATTTTGTTTTTACTTACCCTTTGGCCTCAGAATAATAATATTTAGTTTAAAATGTATCTTATTACATTTTTAAAAATGTGTTTACAAAGTAAAGATGAGAGGTTTTGACACTATCTTGTTTGATATCCATAAAAGTCACTGTACAGTGGACTCACACCAAACCTCCCAGACAAGTCATTTCATGTAAAAGAATCTCCCCCCCACTCCGGCACTAGGATGCAAACTCATCTTTATTTTGTCGTCTGTAACATGGTTATCAGATTGCCGGGCAATGCACGGTGCTTTACATACATTCTTTATCAAGCATACATAATTTTTTCAAGTATAAGCCTGTTTTAACAAGTGTATTTTCAACTTGTAGACCATACTTAATTAAGGAGTGTCTAACTTTCCACGGAAACCAGCTGTACTGGGAAGTAGAGGCCAGGATTCGATCCTATGATCTTCACTTTACTAGTACAGCATTCTAACCACTCCTTTTAGTATCCCATTACATACTAGCGATTAACAATAACTTAAAAGTAACTAACCTTTAAAGGAGACAAATGAAGTTTGCTGTAATAATTTTTCAATTCCTGTTTCGAAGTCTGCCATACAAAGAAACTCAAAGGCTCCTGAGCTCGCTTTACATCTGCATCCATCAGCGCTATCTACGAAAATAGTTGGATTTACATGAATCTATACGTGAGTTAGTATTTACTTGAAAGATAAACACGAGGCTAAATACTTACTTGAGTTTCCTCGGACGCATCTGCGGGTTCGAAAAAGTACATGAGATTGGACAGGACACCGGTATCGGCCCTGAAGTGGAATTCCTGAATTAGGATTCCAAAATATTTGAACTGCTGAAGGTGGCTGAACTGGTTACTCAGTTTGACCAAACTTACTTCTAAGAACGGTTTTGGAGCTGTAACAAAACAAGATCATATTATAAAATAGTTCTACGTATTAAAATAAAATGCTATTTTGGTGTGGGTTGATTTTTTAAAATCCTCTTAATTTAATTTATTTTTTTTGAGCCAATGTGATACTTGCATGAATTTTCAATTTTTATTCATAGGTAAAAATTAATTTATAAAAATAAAAATCCAAAAAGTCTCTCATCCTGTCGTCCCTGATTAAAAATATTTAGTTCAAAATGTATTTTATTAGCTTTTGTAAATCTATATTTATAAAATTGATATGAGAGATGTTAAACAGTATCGTGTTTGGCAGCCTCACAATGTCATGCTACGGTGGACTCAGGACACACTCTCGGTCTTCACCACACCTCTCAGGCGCCCTGTTTTTTCAAATTTTTAACTGAATATTCATATTTTTTATTATTTAAAAAGTGCGATTTCAATCTTAAACAAGTTTTTTATCACTTGAATTCCTTTAAAGCTCAACTTTATATATTTTTTTTATGCAAGATTTTTTTTTCTGTTTTTAAATGTAATGAAAAAAAAAAAATCACACAAACGTATTAATCTACATATGGAAGAAAATTATATTGAAGCAATAAAAGAAACTTGAATATGGCCAAAAATAATTCAGTTCAGGAGACACGGCAGCTGACCTTAACACGCTAAAGAGTAAATTGAAAGAATGTAAAAACACTTTCACTTAGTTAATTGTAACATCCTGACCTAAGCTCTTCCTAAAATTGTTTATAATAGATGTATTATAATAATCAAAGAAGTTGCTGAAGTTGTATTAATAACAAAGTTTGTTGGTAAATAAAAACAAACTAAAAGACTAAAGTATTTAGAAAAAAAAATATTATTAAATAATTAAAAGAAGATTATGTGCTTAAAAGAAACGAACGACGCTAAAAAATTAACGAACAGAAAACTTACTTAGTTGGGCCATCACAGATTTTGGAGGAGGCACTGGCGCAAAAATCACAGGAAAAACGCAATCGTAGACTTGTTGGTCGATCTGGATGCTATTGATCTTCATATGAAATCTTGTCAAATATGTGGAACTCTTAAGATTTATCCAGACCCCATCAACGAAACAGCGATGGAGTTCTTTCTCTGTAGGTAATGTCATCTTCATTGCCGCGAAATCAACCTGTTGAATTAATATAAAGATGAACATTTTGTTCATTTTTTTTTTTTTAGTGTTAAAATAAGGTAATTTCTAAATGTAGTTGGAATTTTCAGTCATAATTTTTTATTATGTTTGCTGATGTTTCGAACCAAGCATGTGGGTCATCATAGAGATAAATAGAGAGTTAGAGATAAAAATTAAATCAGAAATATAAGATGTAGACATAAATAACAAAAGAGAAAAGATAAGTAGCATAATAAAAATAGTATTAAATAAAAAATAAAAAAATTAATAAAAGGCCTACTAATACCAGGCCAAAAATTAATTGGAATGTAATTATTTTTATAATTGAAAAAATTCCTACAGAATGAAAAAATTTTTTAGAATGAAAATCCTAACTAAACATCATCTTAGATAATGTTGAAATAGTTAGTTTCACAGTGTATCTGATACAAAATTCTAAAACTTTGTAGTTAATTATTTGATCTTTTAGAAATTTCAGGATAAAATTTTTATTGACGACATAAAACATTTTTATGTAGATATATTTTCCTTAAAATTCTTTAAGCTGCAGTTAGTTAACTCATTAACAGCTCTGCCCCCATATTCGTTATTCTTAAACCAAATGCCAATATCGAGTTTCAAGGAGATTGTTAATCAACCAGTCAACATCATATCCTCCAAATGCTAATTATAATACTTAAAAACAGAACTTCACCTACGAGAGCTTGAATTCTATTTAAATATAACAAATTGGGCCTACTTTTCCTTTTAAGTTTCAAAACGTAACTTAACACAATGGTTGTTCCAAAACACTTCACAGTAACTATATAACATAATCAACAATTAAAGAAAATCCTTAATCATCCTATTTTCTCAGTTTATTGTAAAAAGTCATTAAGTGACATTTCATAACCTCAAATAATTAAGTCTAATAAATAAAAGGTTTTTTGTCATTTTCATGCACTTATGATGTTTTTGTCTAGATAAATAAGGCCAACATTAGGAAAAATATACCCAAAAGTAAATCTCTATAAAAAATGCTCTTAGTGAATTTATGCATTAAACCAATGATTTATACTATAAACAATTAAGGTACACAAACAGTTTAGTGAGTGAAATAATTATATGTGCCACATTCTATTTTCTACAAGAATTTGCCGCTTTCAAACTTCTTAAGCTTGAATTTAAAAAAAAAAATGGTGTATTGGATGACTGTGCTTTTATCCATCGATATGGAGTAATTTTTTGTTATAATTGATCAATAATAAATAAAAAAATTTCTTACAGTAATCCTGTTGTTGACTTTGACCACTGGATTTGTCTCGAAGCCATAGCTACAGGAGTCAATGTAGTCTTTGTAGGATCGTTCGATGGCAGCGCTGTCATTGACCGACAGCTTTTTGAATGGCTTCTTATCGAGCTTGCGTGCTTCCCATACCACATCAGAGCTTCGTAAAACAAAATTTGAATAAATTTAGATATATTCGAATGGAATAAAATTTATTTGTTAAATATTTATAATCTTGTACATATCGAACACATAAACAACTTTATTGAATACTAGATGGTTGACCGTGGTATGTTATTCAGTAAGAAGATGGTCTGGGGTTTACTTCAGTTTAGGATTTTGTTACTTAATTTACTCTATTTATATAGTTCATTGTTCTTAATATTTCTATGTACTTGCTATTTATACTGTTTATAATTTTATTCACATCGTTTATATTTTTTATCTAAAAATTATGTAACTTCACATTGTTCTATAACCTTTTGTATTCTGTTCATTCTAGCTCCGAAGAAGACCTGAAAAGTTGGTTGGAAACGTTGGCTTAAAATAAAATAATTTTTTTACTATTTTAGTCTTTTTATGACGTCCACCCTGGGCCATCATCTTACTCAATAAATAACTTTATTTCACCCAGATGTAGCTAGTTTATCATAACTGTCCACTTACTCGACTAATTAGAAAAACAATAAATTAAAAATAATAATACTTTAATACATTTTATAATTTAATTAATATGTATCAACGTTATCTATGAAACCAAAAATAAAAAAGATAAAATAACCATGATCAAAATAAAAACAATAACTGAACTGGCCAATAATTATCCTTAATTAGTGTTAGCCATCACAGTTTAAGAAATCCAGTGTGTATTTACATACTGGCATTATGAACCAGTAAATCTTGCTTAGTTTCTCTTAGCTGCCGATTTGAAGTGTGTCTTATGTTTTGTGTACATCACTGGGTGCAGAGAGAAATGTTTGTAAATATTTATCTGTGTCTTCTATAACCTTTTCACAGTCCATAAGTATGTGGAACAGGCTGTTAAAAATTAATTGGTTACAGAAAGTGTAGATTTCCTGGGCTTTAAAGTAGAAAGTTTTATTTTTGGTGTAAAATTTAATTAATTCTGGATTTGAGATTCTTGACTGACTAATTGATCTTAGCTTTTTTATGTTAGCTCTGTTGTCAAACAGATCTCTCAGCTGGAAATATTAAAGCTGGAGATAGTTCTATACATGGGATTGTCTTTAAATTTATCAAAGAAATGTAAAAATTAAAATATATTTATTGCATTAATTTAAAAAAAAAATTAATCTATGCAAGACCATTTTTACATTTATTTTTTCCTGTGGCAAAGGACCATGTTTTAGTCCATTTTACTACTGGTAAAATGTTAATTTGATCGCTTCCACATATTTTAATAGGCTTAAAGGATTACAGCTTCCAGGGTTGTCCACTTGGTCCTCCCCAAATATTGGGATGGCAAATAAGTCCTTTCGGTTTTTCTGTTCATTTTTATGTCACTACGACACACTTCTAATCTGATGAATTAATCCCTAAGGCAGATTGTTTATCCTGTTCGTAATATATCAACAACTATATCTGTTAACTCTTGTTGAAACTAGCTAAGTATTATGTTTGCAATAGCACTGTGAATAAGGAAGAAAATATCATTCATTATTGGCACATTTTGATGTGTTATTGTAAAAAAAGTAAGCGTGCTGCAGAAGCTCATAGAAAAATTTGCAGTGTTTATGGGGATGATGCCTTAACTGAACGCACCTGTCAAAATTGGTTTGCCAAATTATTTCATTCAGGAAATTTTGACATCAATGATGCTCAACGGTAAGGTCGCCCACATGAAATTGAAAATAGCAATGTTAAGACCATTGTGGATCAAAATCCCGCCCAATCAGTGTGAGAGATTGCTATGGCTCTAAATGTGTCACACACAAGCGCAGAAAACCATTTGCACATGCTCAGCTTTGTTTCCAGGCTTAATATTTGGGTCCCTCACATTTTTTTTTTCAAAAATCACAAAAAATGTTACAACTTCAATAAAAATTTAGCTATCTACAAAAAAATTTAGCAGAAATTTAGGGACACATAAACTACTCAAAATGACATTAACAGGATTTTTGTAAACAAATTAAAAATGGAGATAAAAAATAAAAACCTATAAGGAGTTTTTGTTAATTTATTCGTTATATAGGCATTAAATAAAAACAATCATTCATACATCTTTGAAGAGGAATAACTGAGATTTCCAACAGATATAGTAACATGATATTGTAACATGAAACGATTTTAGAGAACACCCTAAAGAGTTATGAATTATTGGAAGGATGTTGTGTTCCTCCAAGACAACGCTGGGCCCCACCCCTCATTGGTTACTCACAATAAATTATTGAGCCTTGAATGGGACCTTTTGCCCCACCCTCACTATTCACCAGACCTAGCTCCAAGTGACTACCACTTATTTCGGTCTTCGCAGAACTCCGTGAATGCAAAGAAATTCCAAAAGAAAGAGGGATAAAAAAAAAAAACAACTTGGATCAGTTTCTTAAGAATAAACGCCAGGCATTCTATGAACATGGCATTATGCAGTTAGTGGAAAGACAGGAAAAAGTCATATTAAATAATGGTCAATATATTGTAGATTAAAATAAATTTTGTCTATAATACATTGAGTTTTATTTAACCCAGAAAAACTGTAAGGACTTATTTGCCAATCCAATAGCTTAAGTCCTTAGGCTTACCATGCAAACCTGTCACGTCGACCTACAATGTGAAAAACTGTCTAATTCTCCTCATGACAGAATCTACATAGAGTGTTTCTAGTCACTCAGGGATTGAACATGTGATAATTTAACCTACAGTGAATGGTTAAATTATCATTAAAAAAATACTGGTCAGTATAGATCACTGTAATTTTTTTAAGGACTGCTCTATTCAAGCTCAGCAGCAGCTTTTACTTCTTTTATCACAAGCCTCTTTAAGGAAAAGTTTCAAGTGCCGTTGTTCCTTTTCAGACCAGTATTGTTTAAATTGTTCGCCATATAGATCCTTGATCCTTCTTTTAGCAGTACTAAGGCTGAATTCACAGACATGTTCAGGAGATATGGGAATAGTGTCTGAGCTTAACCTGGCTAGTTTATCAACCACTTCCTGGAATGCCTGAGTGACCAGTCACCCATTCAACGACAACTTTCTTAAGATCATCAAGATTGTTCAGCGCTGTACTGCAATTGTTAACAAACTGCGAATAAGTATGATGATGATTTTTACACATTTAAATTTTCCTTTAGCTTTGGGCCAAATAAGATTTGTCCTTTTTATGATATAAAAATAAATAAATTTAATCAAAACAAAAATAAATTAAAAAGAAATCTAACCTGGACAAACTGATATAGAGGAGTTCTCTCTTCTTATTGTTGTCGACAAGGGAAAGACCAATACCTTGTAGTCTTACCTCGATCGAATTAGAAATTATTTCATAATCGGACAAATTTATTGATTCGGCAGCGATGATTTGAGAATCAGTTATCAGGAATACCCTTTGCGGCCCATACAGGAAGGTGCTCCAGTATAACTGTTGTTTGTTTCTTACAATAAAAGGACCCATATTATCCTAGAAACAATAATAATAAAAAAATTTATATAATAAATTTTCAAGTTCATTTATCATCAGCCAATTTTACACCAATTTTTATATTTTGTCAACTTAATGACTACCCATCACAATTACCACATTTCGGCTCGTCAAGCCATTTTCAAGTCTAAATTTTTTTTTTCAATTTACAATCATATATTAACTTCACATATTTCAAGATATAAAGATTCTTTTTATATATCTAAATACCCATCATGTACCTGTCCTTTTCACTTATGCGAATTGCATGCGTCTGAGTATATAATAAATTATTTATGATGTACGGCTTATTAAGGGACAATTAATGGATAATTTAATACTTTGGATAACAATAGGTAATTCATTTTTAAAATGTTATCCTGCCTACAATTAAGAAACAAGCAGTAACAATTATTCACGAGTATTGGTATTAGTAGGTATATTTTTTTCTCAATGGTTATTTTGGGATAGAAAATTTCACTTTTTTCCCTTCTGAAAACAACATCGCTTTCTAAAAACTCTTGAATTGTTAAACATTTCTTTACAGGACTTACACGAATATAGAATTATTTGAAGAATTATTGAAGGAACTTAGTCGACTGTTCTACTAATCATGGGTGATAAATAGTCAGGACGCAGTCATTCTTAAGTTTTTAATTGGTGACGAAGTTTCAACCCAAGCATGTGGGTCATCACCAGGGCTTGTTTCGAGCACTGAAGGTGTTTAAACTGAGTACTTGAACACCTTCAGTGCTCAAAACACGCCCTGATGATGACCCAAATTCTTGGGTTGAAACGTCGGCACCAATAAAAACCTTAAAAATGACTATTTATCACTCATGATAATTTGAAGGATGAAAGGAACAAAATTTTTTTTTTTGAAAGAAGTTAGTCGACTGTTCTACATATCATAGGTGATAAATATTCAGGACGCAGTCTTTTTTAAAATTTTTTTTATTTTTGCCAACGTTTCAACCCAAACATGTGGGTCATCATTATTTGTCAGCAAATTATATATATTCTACAAACAACATATGTTACCCTCCCTTCCCCTCTAACCTTGTTTACTTACCTTTTGCTATCTGAAAAAGGACTAGTGGGAAATCCTCTCCCCCCCCCCTGACCCTTTTACTTACCTACCAAACATGTGTCAGTACATGAACAACCTCAGTGCTCAAACCAAGGTTAGTAAGAGAAAATATTACAAATTTATATAAATGGATTATATACATTATTTTTTATTTTTAGTTTGTATAACTATTTTAATATGTGTATTACAATATTAGTTAAGATTCATGTGCCATCAATCACTATAGTTTATTATTTATAATTAGCGGTCGTATACTATTATATCTCTGATTGTAATTTTAAAAAAACATTTTCAGCCCTGAAGATGACCCACATGTTTGGGTTGAAATGTTGGTAAAAATAAAAAAAATTTTAAAAAAGACTGTGTCCTGAATATTTATCACCCATAACATTTTTTTTTTTTTAAATCGATTTATTGATATAAATCGATTCAGAATGAAAAACTGCATTCATCCAAAGAGCTGGAATTAAAAAATAATAAATTGAATAAACAATATCTACTGTTTCTTTCATTAGCTTACCTTTACAAGAAGTCGACAGTGACGAAAAAGACATAAATTTAATAAATTAAATGGTTGGGAAAAATATATAATAATTGAATGTTCTATATCAACATCTATAATTTTACTTTCACTTCCCTAGAACGAAAATACCTACTTCCACTAAAAGTAGGGCGGTAAGTGAAACTTATGTGATGCATGCTCTGTATCAATTTTTTTTTTTTCATTTTAACTTCCTGGAAGAATACAGCCAAAATTCTGTCCACAATGTTCTATCTTAAGTTGCTTGCTTATACTTATAATTATACCGATAATAAATGGAAAATTACCTCTTTAAGATCACTTGTGAATTCTCCTTTACAAAATGATATGTGATGATTATCACTTATTTTTTCCCACGTAAACAGCATTTTTTGCCTTGGATCCAGGGAATAACTAAAAATCATAAATAAAAATTCTGGTTATTATTAATGATTGTAATTAAATAAAGCTGCAGTAAAACCTCTATTATCCTTAATACTTTAAATTAACAAGATTTGATAAATATTAAAAAGAAAATAATGAATTCAGTTCAGTGTTATATTCTAATCTCACACTGTAGATGAAATTCTGAAAATAGCCGCGTGTATTGGAACATTGAGAGAGAGAAAACCAATCTCCAGCAGGACATTTAATTTTTTAGCAATAAAAATTCTATTTATTGGCACATTTATTAATAGCTAATATAATTATCACCACTTGAATTAATTATTCATATGAGCAAGGCATTGGTATGAAATGGCATGACTTAGCCACATCCACTCTCATGACTTTTAGCTCCATCCTCACAACTTTTCTTCAACGCTAATTATTTTGTTAAATCTGCATCAGAACAGAAAAGTTAGAGACTTTTTGCTTATTTATCATTATAACCGATTAAAAATTAAAAATTTATGAAAGCACCCAATTAATTACAGTGAGATATATGTGATCGTGTGACCAGGCGCCATATTACAGTAGCACGTTAGAGATAAGAATTGATTATCTTCTTATATATTATTTCTGAATACATATCCCTTTTCCGGCTCTCAAGAGTGATGGATTTTGACGCATGAGGCATCAATCGAAAGGGAATATCAGGTAGAACGAGCGAATCATAATTTTGTTTCCTAATTTTATATTAGGACTTAAATAAAAGCGAATGTAAAAATGGGAGGTTTCAAAACATGTGAAGATGCCATCTCAACAAATCGAGATACTACGAATGAATTTATGAATAACTCGAAAAGTAAAGAATTTTTGATCCATTATAGCTTACCGAATTCCCTACAAAAACATAAAAAAAAGCATCAAAATTGAAAACAGTTATGTCCAATAAAATTTTTTCAATTTTTTTAAACACTTATTTTCAGTTTATATTACTCAAGAAAGCTCTATATAAAATTTATAGTTGACATATAGCTACAGTATGAGTAAAATGTTGAAATGGAACAATTTGTACTGACCCAAGGAGCAAAGTAAGTTCAAATATTTTTTTAAGATCAAACCAAGTTGAGATATCTATTTCGCATCTCGGAAAACTTCTAAATAGGAATTTTCATAGAAATCAATAAATAATTTTTTTTTTACCGAATCGGAGCCAAGACTCCCTTGACTTTTTTTTATTGAAAATCACAAAAAATGTGATAACTGCAACATAACTATAGCCATGTGATGGTGCCATCTGAACGAATCGGGACGTTATAAATAAATTCATAATTTGCGAATAACTCGAAAAGTACAATATTTCCGATTATTTGAAAGCTTACTGAATTTCCTACAAAATGTAAAAAAAAATCATAGAATTAATCGGACGATTTGGTGACGAGTTTTAGAGTTCTGAACATATAGAATTTATTTTACCACAAACATTCAGTTGCACATAGAATTGAAAATTTAACATTTGGGCAATTTGCCATTTTTTCCTAGCTACAGTATAAAACGTGTCAATCAGTAATTATTTTATTTTATTTCATAACATTTTTTTTATTAATTTTATTTTTATTTTTATAAATGTGTTTTCCATTAAACACTTTTTTTAATCTTTGTCAATGTTCTTCAATTACATTAGCTTTTAATTGTATATCTTTATTATTGAAGTTAATCATTTTGAAAATTCACTTGATATTTTGTTTTGTTTTTTAATGATAAAGTAACACACAGCCTACTATGTCTAATTACTCCTTTCTGATAATTAGTGCAGAATATTCGTAATGATAATAAGTTTACTTTAATAACATATATTATAGTTAAAAGAAATTACTTACATTTTATCTTTGGCTGACGAGTCACACAAGTCCACGACTGTGTTTGTTTGGTTCATAATGAGAACAGGAGCCATACCAACTTCATAATGATAAAAAGCTATATAGGCACCCCCGTCGCTGAGTTGTACATCAACATCAATTGCTCCGTACTTAAACATATTAAGAGCTAATAAGAAACATTAAAAAGAATATATGTTTTAGAAGATAGTGTTAAAAGTTATGTACCATGTTCGCAACTTTCAAGACACTATTGTGAGATTTGTTGAACGGAAAAGCAATGGTTGCTTCCTCTCTTCCTTCTATCCTCACTTGGAGCTTAGAAGTGTCAGGCTTGCCATAAGGCCAAAATGGAATACAGTCTTCCGCTGGAACCTGTAAAAATAAAAAAAATAGATTAAAATTCTGGCACGGTACGCCCATCACACAACTTTCACTTACCAACCTTAGACTAGAAAGATATTTTCATACATAGGGAAGTCAAAATGAAAACGTTGGTATAACTTAATTTACAAAAATTAACTATTATGTTTTTGATGCAAGTTAGTATCACTTTCCATTTCATTTCACGACTGTGTATAGTACCAAACAATACTAATAATTGAGGGAAAAATTAGATATTTGAGAAAAATTCTGAGTTTTATCAGGAACAGTTATCATAAAACTCGGCGAAAAAATAAATTAATGTTAGTAAATATTGTATATTATTAGAGGAGAGAAGAATAGTTGGGGTGATCAGTCAAATAAGAAGGCAAAAATAAATGATACTATTTATTTTGACATTAGCCGACGTTTCGACCTCAAGTTCAGGCCTTCATCAGGGCTAAGAAAAGAACCAGATAACAAGGTATGAGAAACATAAGTAGTGTAGGTAAAAAAATTAAAGTAAAATTCAGTTGTTAGAATAATGACAATAGTAAGAACAAAGAGATAAATGATAATAAGCGGTACAAAGTGTGGAATGATGAAGTAAACATAATGAAAAAAAAAAAAAAGGTGACATAAGTATTAAAATGGGAATCTTAGAATAAAATGTAAAAACAGAAAAATATGAAGTTATATAAGAAATGGAAATAAACAGTAAAATTAAGATATTGTGAATAGAATAATTAGATAGAAAATTGAGATGTTGTAATGTCTATCAAGATGTATAGACAACGTATAATATAACACAGAGTTAAAACAGAGTAGAGGGATGAAAAAAAGGAGGAAGGAAACTGAGAAGGTTGAAATAAGAAAGAGAATAAGAAAGAAAAATAAAAATAAAGAGAAGACCCACCTGATTGCGGAGATGTAAATCTACGCAAGGGTGTTAATCAGGGTGGGGGTGGAGAGAAGGAATGTATAGTGGCGTCATCTTCAACGGTTATCTGACGAAGTTTGAACTAAAGTACCGAAAGCGTAAATAAGGAGGAGAGATATATTCATAAATATTATGGATAATTAAACGAAAGTTGATAGAAAGAGGCAATAAAATAGTATAGGCAATAATTTTGTATATTATTAGGCTCATATTAGTATATTCTCAATATCTTGCGTGAAAACCTTTTTAGAAAGTTATGGATTAGCGATATATAAAATTTAAACTAACAATATGAAAGCTCTGTATAGAGGAGTATCAGGTATCAGTAAAGGGAGAGGATCGGCAAAGGTCGGACGCTATCGGCTGTTTGCGTATAGCTTCTGATCCTTATTTCTCCTTTTGCTACCAATCAATTTTCCTTATTTATTATATTTAACCAATTTTTATATCAGTTTCTAATGTGAAATGGTTAATTATTTAATAAAAAAAATTAAGGGTACTTAAGAGGAAGAAATTTTGGAAATTAGATATTTAAACCCTGTTAGAGAACATCAATCAAAATAAGACTTACATGATATTAATACCCGCTTAATGTCATACCAATATAATGAATTTAATCAAAATTGTTAGAGCCATTTTTGAGAAAATTGTAAAAATGTGTAAAATCTATGATATAAAGTGGCACTTCCGGTTAGTCGATTTTGATGAAAAAGTTTCTGTAATATATCAGACATATACAAACCTTAAATATACAATTTAAGTTTTCATTTTTGAGCTAGACTGTTCGCATAAAGCAGGTTGAATATAAATAAAATAACAAACAATAGATATTATTTAAGTTATACTCACAGTTTGCCAATTATATTCCATCACATCTGTAACTTCTCTGACTTCAATAGGAAGGTTTTTGAAGTTGTTCATGAACACGTAAAACGGAGTAAAAACCACCTCTTTTGTTAGAGGATTATTTGATAATTCTATCTTAACACCAATCTGTAACAAAAAATATGTATAAAAATTAATTAAAAAAAATATATATATATATTGAAATTTACAATTGTATTAACTAAAAATACAACGTTTAAATTTGAATTGGTAATATGACTTGAAGAGGAACTACTCATAGGTAGAATTCCAATTATAGTTCTATATTAAAAGATTCCGAGGCCATTTTCTTTTCAGATCCCTCAGGGGATAATCAGGAATTGAAGAGGATGCTATGTTAGAAACAAGTAAACTAGTAAAATAGTTTGGCCCGAAGTTTATTATGGAAGGATAGATTATCTGGATTCTCCTAAAGGAAGTAAATTGAGGAAATACTTTCCCACGGTACAGTCAAGGCTTCAGGCAAAGTGGGTCGTCCCGGATTACTGGATTTCCCAGTTCCTCACTGGGCATGGAGAATTTCGAGCTAAACTGCCAGGTCTGAGCATTAATGTAGATCCTCTATGCCCAACCTGTAGTGTTCCGGAAACTGTGGTCATGTGGCATGTGCCACCAACCGGCCACCGAGAGCGCAGCGGAGCTGAGCTCAGCATACCTAAGTCGGATTCCAAAACCGAACCAAAGGCTTTCGATGAAAGGCCGGCCACCAGAAGCTGAGCTGCGTGCAGTTGAGCGACGTAGCAAGGGTCAGCTCAGGTCAGCTTTGGGTCGACCCTGGTTTGGTTTTGGAAGTTGACTCCGCTAGGCTCATTTGACTCACAACTGTGGGGCTTTGTTCCTCAGTGTCATTCATTTTTCCAGCTAGTTTTCACTGCACAACCACTCAAATTATTTTATTTTGGTTCAGTATAAAATATGCTATCGATGTGGAAGAATTCTTAATCGAATACGTAAGGGAAAATATTCTATTTTATACACAAATATTCAATTTTTCTTTTCCACTCCCACAAGATCAACTTCACTATTTTTTAAAAATGTTACACGGAATATGAGAAGGGTACTAATGCAAGGCAAGTTGCTGACTGAGCTGAGCTCCGCTACGCAATCGGTTGCCGACTTCTTCTTGCTACGTTCAGTTGAGCTTTCAGTTGAGCTTGAGTCAGCCTTAATATACTTCTATTAGGTCACTCAGTAGCATTACTTTAGCAAGCAGAATAAGATTATTATTAACTCTAATGTGATTAAATAAAACAAATAATAATAATAACAATAAAGGTGAAAAAATTAACAAAAAAAAAGAAGAAAATAGACATATTTGTTCTCATGAATTACCACAATTCAACAAAATAATCTTTATATATATATATTTTATCAACGAGGCAGTATATATTATAAAAGTTTACTTAAGTAAATTATAAATTGAAAAAAAATAACAAAAATCAAAAAGTCAATCAAAATTTTGCAAATTAAAGTGTACCCAACAAAAGTAATAAATTTGGACATTTTTAAGAGAAGTATCAATATTTTTCAGTTGAAAGCAGTATTTGTGATCAGAGCTTCAATTTTAGACTTGATGGAGCTCAACTTAATTCCTCAGTTCTCTCTAACACTCAATAATTTTATTACCTTAACTGTAGATTATTATTGTTAACAATAGGTAAATCCTGATTATATTGATACATTCAATAATAATTTTTTAAACAATTATAATCACATATTGAACTTAGTTTAAATAGTTGTAGATTGCGATGAGATGAAACTATTTAGGAAGTTTCAGGCAGATGTTAACAATTGGATAAAAAGGGGTCTGTATCACAGACTATGTGGCAGGGCTAATATTTTCTTGAATGTCAGAAAAAAATTAAAATCTGCAATTCAACATTGTTTTAGATCAACAAATCAGCATATGCTACCACATTTTAAAACTTCAACAAGATGGATACATAATACATTGAATAGTAGAAAACTCTGCTTACGTGATAAACCTGATCTCCATGCTTACAAATGACGACTCCGGAACTTCCAACAGCGTCCAGGGAAAATTTATCTGACCAGGGCCCATCGAGAACCTTTATAGAAGATTTCTTCTTGGCGAAAAATGATTTCGCTCTAAAGGAGAACATGATTACTCCAGCATAGTTTTCAGGATGGTAAAGTGTGTTAGCCTCATCTGGATGCTGAAACATTCAAGCAATGTGATGATAAATTTTAGCTAAAGTGAAAAGAAATATAACTATAAAAGAGGAGATAGTTAAGAAAGTACAAGAAATAAATAAAATTAATTATGATATAAATGAAATTATTAAATAATTAAGCCTTCAGTCTCTAATATATTGGTGAAAAGTTAACCTACAAAAATCTCGCGGCGGTCAATACAATAATGGCCAGGAACCTTTTTTCTTGAATGATAAAGTAATTCTTTTAACTCCTGCAAGAAAATATGTTAAAGTATACATACAAGAAAGAAGGTTCAGCAGGTCTACCAGGAAATCTCAAAGTGAAGATTGACGAAAACTCCAGATAATGGAAAACTATAATCCGGGAGGATGCAATAGAGGAATGGAATCAACGGTGGGTGACAAGCCAGAAAGGGGACACCTTGAGGAAGTACTTAACCATCGTTCAATAATGTTTGGAAGCCAAGAGAGTCCTCCGGAATTACTGTATCTCCTTCCTGAATTCCTTACAGGACATGGGGGCTTTCGAGCCAAGCTCCGTGGCTTTGGAAAATACATCGATCCCCTATACCCTACCTGTGGGATCTTAGCTGAAGACATTATCATGACTCGCTAAGGACCAAATTACTGCGGGAGAGCGGTCTCTATGTTCCCACAGAGAACGATTTCCCTCAGCTTGTCACACAAGAAAACTACCCATACTAAAAAGAATTTGTGTACGGGTGGAAAGAAGCAATAGGTCCGGCACACTTTAACTTCATAAGAAGAGGACCAGCTCCTGGAAGGCCACCGGGACGAGGAGGAAGAGCGGAATAAAAAACACACAGAAACAATAGAGTACACAGATAACAGTGAACAGAAGACTGATTATAATATGAAACTGATTTTCATACAAGAGTAGGAAGTTGTGCAGTCATGCGTAACAAATCAGTTCTGCAAAACCTGTATTGCCTCAATGAAATGGAAGGGCTTAAATAAATAAATCATATGTAAGTCAAGAGGAAAATGGGCCAACGTGACGATAGACTCATATGTGAGTCGAGAGCCTGTCAGGCTCTTTTTATTTAAATGACAGGGTGCTTGGTGATGAATTATATTTTCTATCTTGTGGCCTCTCCCTCAATTGTACAAAAGTAAAATAAAATAAAAAAGTTTAGAATGATGCCCTAAATAAAAAGGCTTATGTAGTGTAGTGAGTAGAAGGGATGAAAAATATTCTGTCACAGGTACATGAAGAGCTGTTAGCTAATGTCCTCCTCGAGGTCGCTCCTCTCTTCCTGTTTATCGTTGCTAACAGGTTAAATATTGTGAGGAGATAATAAATTTTAGAATAATTTATTTTGTTAGTAATTATTATCATCATTAAACTGGTATATCTAAAGGGGCATTTGGTGCTAGTTTATTACTTCATAAAACATATGAATAAAATGAGGGAGAGACTGGTCTCTTGGGGTGGAAGATAAAAGACTTATCTTAAGCTCAATTGTTCTGTCACATGAGGTCAGCTATATATACCTGATGGGCTGGTAAGTAAATAGCAATTACTATGTTCTGGACCAAGGGATGGAGTGCCTATTTCTCTGACTTGGTTTTGAAGAGTAAGAGAGTGAATTCTGTCAAAACAAGCTAACCAAGCTACGATGGGAACGCTCAAATATAAAGGCAAAATTTACCACAAATGAAATTGAAACGTTGAGAGCTGTAGCAAAAGCACACTTCCCAAAACATTGTATGACAGAAACAGAACTTGATTGATCGTCGTACTGGTGTACGTATATGGCAAATAGAGTGATCACAAACAGCAGACTTGAACGGGCAGTACATTTATTCTCTCCGTTTACGTCTGCCGGCACTGATGGAATCTTTGCGGCACTACTGCAGAAGGGTCTCTCAGAAATAAGGCCATAGCTATTGGAATTACTAAGGGAAGCATCAGGGTGTTCTCTCTGATCTCAAAACAGTAACTGACATAAAAAATTACTTGACATCAGCCGGATTTAAATCTGGGACAAAAAGATATATAAATAAATAATAAGTATCTTGTTTTTTCTATCCTGATGCCTGATTGTGGAAATGATATACAATACAGGATTAACTGTTCACCTAAAGGTTATAAACTGAAGGTTTTATGGTTAGAAATTTGTCATTTATATGAAAACAAACATTTAAAAAAATTAATAATTTGAAACATTGATTAGTCAAAAAAAATAATATTAAATTTAATTTGTGAATTATAAGGAAAACTAAAATAATATGTGACAATATTTTAAATAAATAAATAAAAGTCTATTAACATTCTCCTAAATAAACAAGCTGCTAAATTAAAAGTTAAAATAATGATTGCCAACCTATGAGATAACTTTTAGTAAGTTTGTGTTAGTTTCTAAAATGTTAAAATTTTTGCTGCTACTGTAAAATTTATAATGCTTTTAATAATACATATGTATTAAAATTAAAGTTTTTAATAATATATTATAATTAAATTAAACTGACTTTTTAGAACGGAATCCTAAAAAGTACCCTGGTAGCCAACGTTAATCATATATTTCTCTTATATCTCATTTAAGGATATTATTATTAATATAAGTTAACATGCTCCATGCTATACTACATTTATAGAATGCCTTTATATAAACATAGATATTTATTATAGTGATTTTGCTTGTGTTCATTGACTATTTGTAATATTTAATTTTTGATATCAATCATAATTTGCTAAATTGTAATAATTATAATTTTTATATAATTCTATAACGGTGTTATAAAAAAAGCTATAAAAATAATGAAAGTTAATCAAAACATCTATACAGTACCTACTGAATGGAATATGTTTTTTAGAAAGTGTCAAGAACCTAGAGTCGAAGTGGGGGGTATATAAGAGAGGTTACAAGGAGCTGTCTGGTTTTTAGAGGAATACAATCACGGAAACTTAGGAGTTGATTAAGGACAGTTATGGATTTTCGGGTAATCTGGGAGATATGATTATTCCAGGAGAGGTTCTGGTCAAAGGTAACTCCTGTTTTTGACTGTAGGGCAAAAATGGATGGGACGGTTATTGAGGTAAAGTAGAGGGAAATAAGGAAGGGAGCTAATGAGATGTCTGAAGCCATTGAGAATAGCCTTACTTTTATCTGAATTCAGCTTTAACTCACTTATTTCAGTCTATCTGTTGATGCAGTCAATATCCTCTTATAGCTTCAGCTCATGCTTCTCAGAAGATTGGAATGATTGGTAAATTTGGAAATCACCAGCATATAGGTGGTAACAGGAGTGTTGAATGGTGTCAGGAAGGTCACTGATATAAATAGAGAAAAAGGAGACGATGGAGGTTTGTTCGGAATTACAACTGAGATCGATTGTATAACAAGGAGAGGAATCATTTTAGGACACTATTTGATATGGCAGCTTTGGAATTTGGAAAAGAGGATCTCATGATTAACGGAATCAAACGCTTTAGAAAAGTCAATAAGGATTAGAATGGAGATTTTCTGTTTACCTATGGCGGATCGCTGATCTTGGGTAACCTTTAGCAAGGCAGATTGGGTGAAATAATGGGAACGGAAATCAGATTGTAAAGAATTGAGGAGAATGTTTTGTTCGAGAAAGCTGTTCACTGAGAGCAGACTAATCTTTCTTATATTATTTTATATTAAGTAATTGTTCAATAAAAAACAATGACATGTTGAAAAGAGGCAAGTCAGTATAGGTGAGATGATAACTTATAAAGCTACCATATTTTTTTATGGATTTATAAAATACAGATTTTAGAAGGTTTCGATGTAAGCTAACTACGTAGATAGTTTCCTTAGCACAAAATAGCGCTACTACTCTCATACTACAAATCATAATAATAATAAAAGGCTTAGCGAACCCGAAGGTTCGATGCCGACACCACCAATCGCTTATTACACACCTCTCTCCACTGTTCGCCGTCCAAACTCAGTCCCTTCAGATCCGCTTTAATGCAATCTTCCCACCTTTGCTTCGGTCTACCCCCTTAACGCTTACCTTTCGGCACAGCAAATATTAACCTTTTAGGAATTCTCTCGTTACTAAGCCCAAAAACTTTACAAGCCCATTTTATTCGCCGCGAAGAAATTACCTCAATTATATTACCCGGATACAGCTCACGCAATTTGGCATTGTGTAAGCGTCTGAACTCTCCGGTTAACTCATCCTTCTTCGGTCCGAATATTCTACGCAATACTTTATTTTCAAAAACCTTAAGACGCTGCTCATCCCTTAATGTAAGCGGCCAAGTTTCGCATCCATAAAGAACTGTAGGCAATATAATTGTTTTATAGATTCTAATTTTTAAGTTCCGGGACAAGAGGCGCGAACTAAGTAGTTTTGTCACAGAAAAATAACAAGCATTTCCCGCCTTCAGTCTAACCTTAATCCCTTCTTCAATTTCGTTTTTTCTAGTTATCGTAGAACCTAGATAACTAAATTTCTCTACCTGTTCAAACATATTACCATCTATATCGATATCACCAGTTGTATCGCCATTTTTGCAGCTAACTATATATTTTGTTTTATCCACGTTTATTTCGAGTCCTAATTCTTTACCGGCTTAGTTCTTCGTTGTCGTATTTAGTTTTATAGTTTCAATGTCTTCGCTTAACAGTACCAGATCATCAGCATAGCCCAGCACGGATGTTGTCCCACCCAGATCCAACCCTTTCTCGGTAAACATTACCTCCCTAATGGCATGTTCTAATGCCAAACTATAAATCATAATTACTAATATAATAGTAAGCAGTGTAAGTACAGAGTCTGAATGTACAAGTGTGAGTAAAACCATATCCAGAGGCATGCATATGATTACAGTGATAACTACAAAATATATACAGAGAATAATAATTTTGTGGCATGCAGAAATCGGTACCTCTGGGCTACTGGGCTCTCTCTCAGGTTTACTCGAACGCTACATGAAGAAATCATAAAATGTTTTCAAATTCTTAACAATATTACACAACAAGATACAAAATAAAACAAAAATATAAAATTCTGTAATTAAAACATAAAAGAAAATCATTTAAAGTAGAACATCTATTTTGTCTGTTGTATGATAATTTAACCAAATGTTCATAAACTATAATTGTAATATATTTATACACTGAGAAACAAATAATATTGCTCATATACTTCAAGGAATTTTTTGTTAATATCTAAACAAAGTTTACATTTAGAAATGTTTTGTTTCATTGAAAAAATGATTGAATTGTTTATGGCGGAAATGATCCAAGTGACATTTTTACTGGTTTAGAGTTAAGAATAGTTAAATTAACAAATAAAAAGCATCCGTTGATATTCTGTTACACAAAATCTCCTTTATTCTGTAATTTTAATTAAAATATAGGTTCGGCCATTGGCCATCTTCAGCTTATCTGCTTTCTAATCAACATAATTCCGTTTTGTGGACAACAATTTAAGTTTGTCTTGTCTAATTTATCTTGTCGAATGGACAACGGTCACTTTATTTAAATTAAAAATAAAATCTAATAAATTATCAAAAATTTAAATACATATATATAATAATTTAAATGGATCCAAATCACTTTAACTAATTTTAACAACAGGAGTATGGAGTTATTAAATTATATCTGGAGATAACTTTAGATATAGTTAAATAATTTTTTATCTTCTTATTTTTCTTTTTTTATTAGGAAGCCTACGATTATAAATTTTTTCATAGTCAAGGCAATAATACTTCCAATTTCCTTCAAATCCTTTTAATTACATTTATTATCTCTAACGTTTCGGGAAAATTTTCCCATCATCAGAGCAATCCTTATCTTTAATGAAACTTTCTTTTTTTGATGTGGCACCATTTGTAAAAAATTCAAATATTTGTCACATTCATTTTATATTTTTTTGGCGTTACACATCTTTTCTTATTCATTGTTACACTAACCAACATCTGGGTATCTTCAGTTTCATTTCTGTACTTTGTACCTGTCCTCTTATTTCTTATTATGGCTGTTTGTTGTGTTGTTTTTTTTTGTCTATTGTTTTATGAATTTCAATATTGGATATTATGTCCGAATAGTGTGTACCTAAATGTTATGTATCTGTTTTATAGTTTACTGTTATATTATTGTTTTTTGTTATATGTATGGCTTCCAGCAGTTTCCTATTATTTGTTTTTGGTTCTATTGCAAGTATTTGTGGGTTTTTGAAGTCAAAAGTGTGTAGTGATTTAATACTATGGTTTGCTAGGGCTGTTATGTTAATTTTTTTACTATTTTTGCAGTTTGATGTATGTTGTACTATTCTGGTTTTTAATTTTTTTGATGTTTCACCGATATATATTTGTTAACAACATATATTTTGACAAATGGTGCAACATCAAAATCAAAGAAAGTTTCAGTGAAGATAAAGATTGCTCTGATGACGGGAAAATTGTACCGAAACGTTACAGATAATAAATGTAATTAAAAGGATTTGAAAGAAATTGGAAGTATTATTGCCTCAACTATGAAAAAATAATTTTTTATATATAAAATTATAATCTTAGAGAAGTGTATGCATACATAAATGTATTTTCTTATGTACTCAATCAAAAAGCTTAGTAGACATTATGTATGAATTTTTTTTTATTTTCCATTAAAGTAGAAAATTAAAATTAAAATACATAAAAAAATAAAGGTTTTTACATAAAAATAAAAAATATTTCAGAGTTCTTCAACTGCTATGCTAAAAATACTATTATTTCTAATCTAATTTATACAAAATGCAAAGAACGCATACCTTATAAGCCAGCCCGAGGCCGGTTTTGTTGATCATCCAGAATGGACAATACAATGTGTACATATGAGTCCCGTGGCTCAGCTCCATGTGAATTCCGAGATCAATAGTTATGTGACGATCTGACTCGAATGAGTCGAAACTCCAAACTGAGAGCTCAGGCGGATCTTCCAAAAGCTCATATTTGCAAGACCATTCTCTGTCCAAGTAATCTGGAATCTTATTTGGAAAAAAAAAATGCAATTATTTACTTTTAATATATAAAATGTTAATAGATTTTTATGTATTATACATATGTTAAATATTAAAGAGTAAAATAAAAGTCATCAGGGCGAAGGCATAAAACTAAGGCTGAAATGTCGACACACATTAAATAGGTTTATTTCTTGATAGAAAAATTTGTTACCATAGATCGAATATATCCCTTATTTTAAATAAGAAATAAAACATATAAATATACTGAAGTGATTTTGTAAATGGAATGTTCTCTATTAAGTAATAAATCAATAATAATTTGTTAACTTTAATGCTATAATTATTACTGAATTATATTATAGTTATAATGATTTTGAAAGTCAAAAATTAATCAAATTTTTGTTTATTCTAGACAGATCAGGAAAGATTGAGATACAGTGTTGTTATGCACAGCTACATAAGAAAGTTGTTTGTGATCCAAGTGTTGTGATTTCTTTATGAAGAAGATTGTTACCAGGCATAAGGCTATGTCAACAAGTATCAATTATATTTGTATTTAAAATGATGTAGAGATGGTTGACCGTGATATAATATCATAAGGAGTTGATCAGGGGGTGCGGTCAAATAAATATTAAATTATAGAAATAGTATTATTTAATTTTTATGCCGAAATTTCGACCCACTTTGCAGGTCTTCATCAGGGCATGGGATGTGGCACTGCGGGAGACAGTTAGTGGCCAGTGTTTCAACTGCCTCTCGCAGTACCACATCCCACGCCCTGATGAAGACCTGCAAACTAGGTCGAAACGTCGACATAAAAATTAAATAATACTATTTCCATAATTTAGTATTCATTTGACAGTACTCCCCAACCAACTCCTTCTCATATATTTGTATTTTTTAATACAAGAACTTTGGTAAGGATTATAGTTTGAAATAATAATTTAAACTGCAATCATAATCATCAATAAATTGTTAAATTTATAATTAAATATAATTGTTAATCAAATTTGCCTGAAAGACATATCTTCATAAATAAATATTTTTAAAAAATTAATATAAACAGTAAAAATAGAATTTCTCAATTGTGTAATTTCTGAATCTGTGATACAAAACCGAGACCATGTTAATACAGTCCGGTTTAGCAAGGCTAGTTTTAAGTTTTATACTAAGGTATTTTTTATGGAACAGAGTTACCAACTATATTCTCAACAATCAACATGTCTCCACTGACTTTAATAATTACAAATTGTTCCAAAGCAAACATTAATTATATTACCTTACCCTGATCACTACAGATGAATTCCCAGGCTCCGCGGTAGGTATCTGTATAGTCATCGCGGGTAGGACAGGATGTTCACCAGCGATACCTTGTATCAAAATGTGCACCTTTATAGGCAAGATGTTCTTAAATGTAACCGTAGGTCTGATACTGAGTTTGAAGCATCTACTGAGCATTGTGTGTCGTGTGGTGTTCTCGAAAAAGATTTGTTCTAATTCTCCATCGACCTAAAAAAAAAAAAATTTAAAATCAAATTGAGAAGATAACAAATAGATATAACATAAAAATGCCAATGAAGATAACTAAAATTAACTGAAAATATATTATATTGAATATTTAATAGTTGACCGTTGCATTATAAAGGAAGGAGATGGTCCGGGGTTGCGGACATAAATAGGCTAAATAGTGGTAAAACTATCTATTTAAAAATAACTATGGTAAAAATAATTTATTTATTTTATTATGGTAAATGCTTTATTGTTCATATATAATTGTTAATAGCGATATGTTGTAATTTCTAGTCTGAAGATGGGATATAAGTGGATCCCGAAAAGTTATATGTAATGATATAATTGAGTAGAAAAAAAAATGGGAGAATAAATCACTGGAAAAATATATTCTTACTTATATACCAAGAATGATACTGTTGGTAACATTGCAATATACTTATTTTATAACAAGTTAAACCCAAATCGCTTCTAATTAATTTTTAGTTCCAATTAAATCTGCTAATCATATTAGTAATAAAACCATATTATTGTGAAATCATATTTAGTGTCAATTAATAACATAATTACACTTGCAGTTTTGACCTTGTTTTATAGAAATATGTTTCATTAGTTTTAGAAATAATAAAGATATATATTTATTTTTATTGATACTTTTTACATTTTCTTTTTAAATATTATAAACAGTAATCTTTCTGCAATTAACATCGAATAAAACTACGGAGCCCGCCACGTTACATATAAACTATAAATGTACCCATAGGTGAAAAAAAGTTGGGGACCCTATTGTTAGAGCTATTAACACTACTTACTCTAAGAAATAACGGTTCAGTGTTACTCTTGGATTTTGGGTTGCATTTGAGAATCTTAGATTTTTGGACACAATTTTGCAGATCCTTCCATAAGTATGGCACTATTGATACAGTATATCTAAAACAAAAAAACAAAATTGTATTCATTTGATTTTTGTATAAAACGGTAATAAAATAGTCCTGTAACATATTTTTATGAAGCAATATTAATAACGTATGATTGCTAGAAACCAATACTCACCCATCTGCACTGAAGAAAAGTTCAGTCGTTTGAGTGTAAATGGAATCCAAAGGCAGATTTAACAAATCATTAGGTTTTACCGTTCCGATTAGATGAAGCTCATTTTCTTTATCAGTCATTGAATATACATTTATAGGCATATTGTGAGTATTTTCAACCTATATGGAGAGGTATTAAAGATAAGACAAATAGCGATCATGACTGAAGTGTAAATAAAATAAACTATAATAATTTACAGTACCTGGATGATTCCTCTTAACGTAACCATAGTTTGACCGTTTGTAATCATCACATCGGTTACTATACCCCACTTATCATTGCCTGGTCCTTTATGACCAATTAGGAAGAATCTCTTGGCAGATTTTAGAACAGGTATCATTATATGACATTTATAATCTACCACCTGTAAATATGATTATAAATTATTCATAACTAAGGCCTAGATATATATGCAATAAAAAAAAAGTTTAAAAAAAAAACTAAAATAGAAATGTAATTTCTGATAATAATTTATTATTTTAACTTATTTTAAAATTTTAATAAGTTGTAATTTGGTTTGGCCGGACATTGCAAGGTAAAATTAATATTTCAGAAGAAAATTAGAAATTGACTTAATTAATTAGTGTGTTCTATCTGTTTAATCCTATATAAAAGATTTTAATATTTTAGAAAGTTTTGTCAATAATTTAAGCAGTTATTTTGTAAGTTCATTGTATATAAGATATGGAAATTATATAGTAATTTTTTTTTTGTATGAGGAATGTTACAATATATATAATACCAACAGCCCAATAAATACCAACACACCAGAATATGAATAAACTTTTCTTTAGTTTCTTCTGAAAGCCCAAGGTACTCAATCTCGCTGCTAGATTTAAGTCCAATATAGGAATCATGATCTAAGACAACAAATTTAACATCAGCATTCTCCTCATCGGAAGAAGAGTAAACCTGCAATAAATAGATAATATCTCATATCTTGGTGTTAATATTACTATTATTTTTATATTGCATCGTTAAGAATCAAATTTATTATTACAAATAAACTATTACTTAAACAAATATATTGTAAGAGAACAGAAAAATCAGTCTAACCACAAATTCATCATCAAGCAGAATTTTCACTGAGAGCCCGCATTCGTTTTTAACAACATACGGAGATTTATCACCCTCATACTCTTCTGGTTTGAAAATAGCAGCTGAAAGGGTAGCACTCAGTCCAGTCAGAACCTCCAAAGATTTTTTGGAAACAGTGATGTTCAGAATATCCTAAGGGAGGTAATAAACAAATTATTATTATAAATTATAAATAAAATCTATTTATTAGCAATGATATAGGTAATGTATAAAAAATAAAAAAATATCTGTACCACTAAAACCCATGAAGGGCCTTGGGTTCAGTACTTAGTAAGGAATTACTGTTTCTCGGTCAACGGTTGTGCAAGGAGGTGATTTTGACTGAGATCAAACTCAACCGCCAGATTTTGTCCCTTAATTAATTATTTAATTAATGGAATCCACTTTATAGAGGCTGGGTGTGCCCCAGAAGGTTATCCTGATCTGAGGGTCGATCCACAGCCAACGCAACTGAATAAATAATTTATACGCCATCAGCACGATTCAAACATGTGACCTTTTTTTTTTTTTTTTAATAGAAAATAACTTTATTCTGGGACAAAGTCCCTTTAGAATAACTAAATAGAACATAATTAAAAGACTACATCTGGCCAAAATAATAAAAAAAGAGAAAGTAAAGAAAATATTAGTTAAACAAGCTATATACGAAAAAAAATAAAATCTATATACAAAATACTTAAAACTATGTACAGTAGGAAAAATTATAATTATACACTTTTGAAAAATAAAATAATAAAAAATACATTGAGTTCTTCTTTAAAATAAGGTGTGTTTCTGCTAAAAAAAGAAAGACAAAGCTGAAAATATAAAATGTCAGAGTATTTAAATAATGAATAATATGTAGACTCATCATTGTCTAATTCTAGCTATAGGTACAGATTTAATTATATAAGAATAAAAAAACAAATAAAAAAAACAAACAATAGATGCATTCAGCAGCATTAAGAGCAGGAAGATATTGCAATATCCCTAGTGAAGTTTACAGTATAGAATGGTACTATCATTTGATGATGAATGACATAATAGAAATGTATAATATCAAAAATTTAGCAAGCATCTGACTGTTTTTGGGATAGGAATTGGAATAGGAGGGTTTTGAATGTAGATATAGAGGGGGAATGTTGAATTTTGATAAGTAGAGAATTCCAGAAATTGACAGCGCGAGCTATAAAGGAGTTTTGAAATGAGGCAGATCTGTGAGAAGGGATGTAAAGGTCAGAAGGTCGAGATCTTGTTGAAAGGTAGGCGTAAGAAGGACGATGGTTCGTAAGCATTGGAAATCAGCGCTTTTACTTCAGGAAGTACGCTTTCCAGTAATATATAATAAAATATTAATTATAAGACTAGGACATATAAATATTATGTCATAACAATTGTTTTATGATATAATATGATAATTAGATTTTTTTTAAACAGCATAAAGTGAATTATTTCAGCTGATATAGATAATATCATCGGTTTATTGTAAAAAGTCATTAAGTGCATTTTTGATAAGGTTGACTTTCAATTATGATTTTGTGAATTTCGACCATATTTATCAATATAAGTAAATAAAAATGGCCTATATACGTAAAGTAGATGGCCTCTATTTACTCCTTTATGTGACACTGAGTGAGGGAATGAGGAGTGTAGGGTTGCACTATGAATAGTACTCAATTGTGCAGTGGACAATGTGTTGAGTGAAAAGTATCAAATCTATAAACAATCAATGAAAAAGGTACAGAACAAAGAATGCAAGAAGCCTGAAAAAGTTGCGGCAGGTGTCAGCAGCTCTGGAGAGGGATGCAAAGAGCACTTGAGGCGAGGAGACGGAGACGGAAGTACATGACGGCAGGAGAGAAATCCATTCCACTGAAGATTAAGAACATCAAGCCAACAGTTATAAGATTGATTCGTTCATTATAGTTGTTAAAATAAATTTTCTTGTCATACAAGAGTGGCTGATATTTTTATTTAGTTGTCCTATAGGCCTCACAAAAAACCAGGTTCGACAATTAATTTCAAAGAGTATTTTTTTATTATTTATTTATACCTCCTTTCCTTGCCTTTCGGCTTCACGAGATTTTGCAAGGATGGAATATCACACACGTGCATGCCGTTCCTGCTATTAAACCACAAATTAATTATTCAATTTTGTTTTTTCAAATATCTTCTTTTTTCATTACTTTCACCATATTAGCCTGGCGGCCTTCCATTAGCAGATCCTCTTCTTCCCAGATTAAAGTGGGACGGGTCCAGAGCAGCTTTCCACCCGTATACAAAATCTTTGTAATACGGGTAGTTCTGCTCTGTCACTAACTCGGGAAATTCATCCTCCGTGAGGCCATAGACTCCAATTTTTCATTTCGGCCCTTAGTCCATCAAAGGCAGTGCAGTTGACGATAACATGCTCAGCCGTCTCCGGTACTCCGCATGTGGGGCATAGGGGATCTATGTCTTTTCCAAAACTATGTAACTTAGAGCGGAAACCCCCATGCCCAGTAAGGAATTGAGAGACCCAGTAGTCTCGGAGAACCCACTTAGCTTTCAAGCGACTTCGGAGGCTGGGGAAATATTTTCTTAAAGTTGCTCATATTTCAAACAGTATTTGCTAAGTTTAACATTTCATACATGTATATAAGATAAAGACCGGAGACTGGCGATATCAGCCTTAATACCATCTTGTAATGTAAATAAACATAGCAATTGTATATAAGGCAGATTATTGAACGAATAAAGTAGTGTTAATTCAGAAGCCGTGAGTATTGTTTCTCGTTCCTCTTTCCTTCTTTTTTTTTATTTACAAAGCCCGGAGACGCTTAACTGGTGCCGAAACCCGGGAGAACGTCAGGAGAACACGGAAGTAAAATTTTTTTTTCCTTTCTTTATTTTAATTTTTTTTTCTCTTCTCCTAGTCATAAGGAAAAGACGAGATGCCGACAGAGGGCATAATTCGACCAGGAGTGTTGAACGCACCTGAAATGCCGCAACCTCAGGAAATGCCGATAGCGCAGATTCCTCAGATCGCCCCTCAGGTTCCGCAGATTCCGCAGATACCTCAGATACCTCAAGTACCGCAGATACAAGAGATCCCTCCCTTACCTAGGGACACATTGGCAGAGGCGCACGCCAATGCATTGGAGTGGATGAAGATAAGGGCAGCGACCACGCAGGATCTACGAAGAGCAATCGCAGACCTGGAGCGATTCGGGGGCGAGATAGGTGAACTTAATCACTTCCTGAAAGGTGGAGACCGCCTCATATCAAGAATCGAAGCAAAGGTGGCGGAGGACCTCGTGAACCTGGGAGACGCAGAAGCACTGAAGGCAGCTCTCGTGTGCCGAGTGAGGAGGAACATCCTCAACCAAATCCAAGCGGACGAGGAGACACCATGGCCAGTGATTAAGGAGCGTTTGAAGAAGGCTTTCGGAGGGGGCCGATGGACGCCGGAAGAAGATATCTTCCAAATGTTTAGGGAGTGTCGGTCCCAACGCCAATCAAGAGGACAGTATGCGGGGGTACTAGTGGCGAAGTACAACCGCATAACTGAGAAAATGCGGGAAACCATGAGTGTGGGAGAGGTCGAAGCTAGGATGGAATTCCTTTCGACAATACTCAAGGTTCAGTTGGCTAAGGAGACTGGGAGAAGGGACGGACTGCCCAGAGAGCGATCGTTCCTCGAGTGTGCCCAAGAAATGATAGATCTGAGTGCAAGAGAGGAAGAGACGCGGATGGAAGTAGAAGAACCAGGGTGGACCCGGGTGAGTGACAGGCGACCCCGGACAGCCCAGATCGGGTGGAAGAAGAGGGAAATGAAACACCCGAACGGAGAAAAAGCCACGACGGGCGAGAGAAGATCCGGACAGTCCAGGCCTAGGAATGGACCCCGGAGGGAAGACAGAAAATGTCACGGGTGCGGGAAACCGGGACATTTGGTAGCACAATGTCCGCGCACTAGATGTTTCGAGTGCGGGACGGAAGGGCATATTGCCAGACAGTGCCCGTACATGTTTCGCAGGAGAGAGAGACCTCTAGACGAGCCAATGGAGGTGAACGCTCAAAAGTTGAAAAAACGAGCTAGGATGCAGCAGAGAGACGGATCTTCGGAAGAGGCAACCGAGGAGTCGGGGACGTCGGGAACGGAGACTGACGAGCCAGCCAGCAGTGGAGGCGAAGGAGGCAGGAGCAGCCAACGGAGCGAGCAACGACGAGCGACGGTGGTAAGGAGGAAGCGAGGTGGCATCTGAGAAGGGTGTCAGCAGAGAGGCGACCGCACAGCAACCTGCAACAATATTAGAGGTAAGCCATGCTGGTTGCCGATTATTGAGGTAGACGGGGGAGTGAAGTGTCTCGTGGACACAGGGAGCTCGAGTACTATCTTGACTCGGGGGGCGTTGGGGAGAGTGTGCGGGAGCGAGAGGGTACTCCGGATACAAAACTGTGGCTGCCAGCTAATCACTCTGGGTGGTCCCTGTAAAGTAGAAGGGGAAGCGTCAATTACGCTTGATCGGTGGGCAGGGAAAAAGGGGGAGCTAAAGGTGCATGTGGTAGAGAGCATGACGCGGGAGTACCAAGTCATAATAGGGTGTGATCTGTTAGGACAGGTAGGGGTAAGCATTAGAAACCGTAGAGGAGCTTGGAGTATCAGGCTGGGAAAGAGGAAATTTGGATGTATAGGGGTCGCGAGAGAAAGAAGGGTGCGGATAGGAGCGGTGAACAGGGTGGAGGACTGGAGAAAGGCGTTACAAGCGGAGTTCGTAGATATTTTCTTCAGGGAGGGCGAGGTATTGGGGGTAACAGGGAAGACGGTACACGAAGTTCCACTGAAGCAAGATAGGGTGACCTACGTAAAGGAAAGGAGATACCCGCAGGCGCTGAGGCAGCATATTCGGGAGGAATTGGAAAGCCTAAAGGAGCAAGGGATCATAGTCGATAGCACCTCGCCATTTAATAGTCCCCTGTGGGCAGTGAAAAAGAAGGCAGCGCCGGGGGATAATAAGGAAAGATACAGAGTGGTAGTGGACTATCGTAGGTTGAACGACAACACGGTAGACGAAAAGTACCCGATCCCTAGATTCGAGGATATACTTGATAGGTTGAGTGGGGCCGTGGTGTTTAGCACGTTGGACCTCAAGGCGGGATACCACCAAATACGGATGCACCCGAAGGACCAACATAAGACGGCGTTTACATTCGAAAGGGGGCATTACGAATTCACCAGAATGCCGTTTGGTCTGAAGAATGCGCCCATAACGTTTCAACGCCTGATGGACGAATTTCTGAGGGGGATCGACGACTCCGTATGTCAAGTATACATGGACGACCTGCTGATTTTTAGCAGAACGGAAGCCCTACAAATCTGGATACAGTTTTACGGAGTTCCCGAGAGGATCACATCAGACGGTGGCAGAGAATTCGACAATACCGCGATTAGGGAGGAGGTGAAAAGGTTAGAGGTTGTGTGGCATTATAACACACCGGGACACCCTAAGAGTAGAGGAGGAATCGAACGTTTGCACAGCACGCTGAGTGACCACATCCGTGTATATCAGGGAGAGAAAGGGTTGGAGCCGGATGTCGCGATGAAGAAAGCCGTAACAGCTTACAACCATTCGATCCACTCCGTAACGGGGTTTTCACCTGTGGAAATACTATTCGGGATGCGCAGGCCAAGGAGAGATTGGGGGGAAACAACGACCGATGAACATCTCGTAGAGCAAATCCAGAGTACTAGGGTAGAGGTAGGAAAGACGTGGGGAAAGGTAGCGGGGAGAATTCAGCGGGAAAAGGAGAAGCGGGTAGCGCGGCAGAATGTGCAGGTACGTGACCGAATGGGAGAATTAAAAATCGGAACAATAGTGTATCGTAGAATTGGAACCAACAGAGGGAAACAATTGTTACGGTACGAGGGCCCATTCAGAGTGGTTGCTATTAGGGAGCATAATCTAGTAACCATTGAAAGCATTAACGAACCTAAGAAGAGGAGAACTGTTCATATTGAACAATTGAAGCTCCCAATGTTAGAACCGGTACAGAAACCAACTGATTCGTAGTACCCTTATCGCGTATTATGAAAAAATATGTTTTTTTTATTATTATTACTGTTGATGATGTCATTTTTTTTTTTTCTCTCATTATTTTTGTTGTTCTTGTAAATAAAGATATGGCAGCATAATAGAGGTGATTGTAATTTTTATAGGATTAAGAGTTCTGTCCATTGTTAATAAGACGTTGTGTGTTTACTTTCTGTGGTTTATTTCTTTTTATTTTATTTCTCGTTCCAGCGGAGTGGAAGTGAGGTTTGGTGTACTTTAAGTTTATACTGGTACGAATAAATTGTAAAGGGTTAAGGCTGATATCGGTGGCTCCGATCTAGGAATTTATAAGTTTCCGAAAATCCCATTCGTAAACTGGTGGGGGGGAGATAAAGACCGGAGACTGGCGATATCAGCCTTAATACCATCTTGTAATGTAAATAAACATAGCAATTGTATATAAGGCAGATTATTGAACGAATAAAGTAGTGTTAATTCAGAAGCCGTGAGTATTGTTTCTCGTTCCTCTTTCCTTCTTTTTTTTTATTTACAAAGCCCGGAGACGCTTAACTTATATATGCTCATTATTTCTTGCCACTCAGTGTCACAAAAGCATTAGGTTCCCGAATTTCCAACGACAGTAAACACTCTCAAAAAGTTTATATCCAGAGTTTTAAAGTTATTTAAAGTATTAAAGTCATTTAATGACTTTTTGCAATAAACCAACGATATATGCATAATTAATAATGCCACAAAATAAACCAGTAACTAGGAGGAAGGAGTTGATCTACATTAATATGAAGTTTTATTTATAATAATTAATTTTTTTCAAAACATTTTGTTTTTTTGATGTACTCAAATTTTCTTAGAAAAAAATTTTACATTTCATTTTTAAAACATATTTTGTAAAATTTTTAAACTGGTAATTTCAAAAGTTAGCTTTTAGATGCAATGCACACAATAAATCAATTAAGTAATCTTTCAGGAAAAAAAAAAAAACTTACTTCAGAGCGAACTGATATCAATGTCAAAGCATGTTGTTTAGCGCTTTCTGAGTCTGTCTCAGAAATTGTTCCTTGTTTAGAAACATGCTGTACTGCCACGTCATCTTCAGTAAAAGTATCCACCTCAAAAAATAAAATAAATTTTCATTCGATACAGAAATAAAGATTATACGGAGGATGGCTAACAGAAAGTTGAAATGAAATTATCTGACTTTTCCCAATTTATGATACTTTTCCCAATAATGATACTTTTCCCTAACCAATATGTCTGGGGGACACAAATTTTAATAATGTATAGTGTTTAACTAACTTCTTTTCAATATACCTACAGCGGTCAACAATCAATCCACTATTATATCTAAATTTATTTATCATACAAGAATGAAAATTGACTACAAAATGATTTGAGCAAAAAACATTCAGTCTTTTAAATATCAATATATTAGAGCATTAGGATTTTTTATTTTGAAAAACTAAACTTTTACCACCTGTAACCTGTAACCTGTAACCTGTAGCACTAACAACCCATGAAAGTTCTTAGGTTCAGTACAATGTGAGGAATTACTGTTACAAGGCCAACGGTTGTACAGGGACTTAACGGGCTTATATCACGCTCAACCGTCAGGTTTTCCTCTTTAATTAATTATTTATTTAAGAGTACCCATCATTTAACAGAGGCTGGACGATGATATGGCTTGCAGATCAAAAATACCATCGATAAATAATATAAACTCTTCTCTCTATCATAGAGACTTCAAGTCGACGAAATGAGACATGTATTCAATAACAGTACTACAATTAATGTAAGGTTGCGCAGATTCGAACCCTATGCCTTGCGTTATCTCGAAAATAGTACATTTTTGGGCTTAAAAACGCAGGATCCGAAAGTTCTGGAGGAACTATACGGGTCTTGCTATACGCATCAAAATCTTCAAGATCTAATTTGTCCGCATCGATTTACAGACCTAACACCGTTCCAGTATCGAAGCCTAGCAAAATGTTTCTATCGACTTTATTTATTTTAGAAAGAAAAACAAAAGTGGAGAATACGATTTGCTAACCTCCCGTGAAATTCTGAATCGAATGGTATTTGAGCATGATAGGAGCTTATATTTGGTACAAAACCGATTTCAAGCCTTACTGTAATAATATATGTGGGATTATTCCTATAGTTTTTGAAATATCTAAATGCTTAGGTTAGGTTTAAAAAAAAAAAAGATCAGATTTTGCGAGAGTCGCCTCTCGATGAAGGCGATATCTACACAATATCCACTGAATATTTATTTCCAATTTGAAAAAATTTTCTGACTTCTCCTGTTTTCAAAATTCCCTGACTTTTGCATCTTGCATAAAACTATACCAGTGCCTACGTGTCTTACAAATAATACCTTAATCATTTTTGAGATTAAAATTGTTTTTTAACCAATATTTCAGAGACTTTATTTTCAAGCATTAAATTTTCTATAGAACTTTCCAAGGATTATATATATATATATATATATATTTTTTTTGGAATGGCTCTCTGAATAAACTTAATATTCTATTTGCAAATAAAGAACATACATATGTAACTAACCAACACTTTTATCTTCCAGGGGGAATGGTCAGTCTTGAACGTGTCAAGGTTTTTCTTGGATGGTACTGGTTCCAATAGAGGTTCCCACATCGCATGCTGGCTGTTGTAATAGCTCATCTCCAAAAATAATTTTGCATCTATGTGGATCTGAAACAATGAAAAGATATATCAAATTAGAAAAAGTAAAAGTAAGCTTTTTAAGGAATCTAGATACATACGGAAAAATGTTCTATATTAGCCCGTGGTATAGACCCCTTTTATCAAATTATTAACATCTGTCAGAAACTTCATAAATATCTTCATTTCATCCTAACCTACAAATGTTTTATTTACGTAAATTCTCGGAAATGGGGCGTTTTCAACCTGGAGGGTGGCAAACTTTATCTAATTAATTAGATTTTTTTTTTTGTGTTGGCCATGAGCACGTCGACCCCTAATGGGTCCATTGTGCGCCAATTTCAGTTGGTCGTTTTAATTAAAGCGTTAATCTTGCCGCTTCCGCGTATCCAAGTAGGCTGATTGGATTGACCGACTCATAACTTCTGGGGAGATCCATTCGTTCCTCCCCAAATACCACCAGTCTCAGCCTTGTAAATCTATCACTTCTGCATATGATGTGAAGTGGATTCGTCATTACTCAGAGATTAAACATATGGTAGTTTAGCTTACAGTGACCTGTATAGATTGCTGTAAGCTTTTTAAGGGCTGCTCTGTCCATGTTCAGTAGCAGTTTGCTTCTTTTTTCACATAGACCTTTAAGGAACAGCTTCGAATGTCGCTGTTTCTTGTCGGTCCAGTAATTACTAAATTTGTTTCCATAAATCTCCCTGATCCTCCCCTTGGCAGTGCTGAGGCTGATTCCACAGACAGGCTCGGGAGTTATAGGAATGGTGTCTGAGCCCAATCTGGCTAGTTCGTCAGCCACCTCGTTGCCTGGTATACCAGAGTGACCTGGCACCCACTCTACTGCAACTCTATTGTGCTCAGTTAGTTCGTTAAGTGCTGTGTTGCATTGCCTTAACAACCTTTGAATAAACGTAATAGTTGTTAATAGCACCTATTGCTGCCTGACTGTCGGTATAGATGGTAATCTTTTTCCCCGTCACATTGCTTCGCAGTAGGTTTTGTGCACAATGGCAGATTGCCAGTATCTCAGATTGAAATAATGAAGCATACCTGCCAAGTGGTATAGACATTTTTTCTTTAATGTCTTTGCAATAGATGCCTACTCCAGAGCCGAAGGCTGTTAGAGAGCCATCTGTGTAGCAATTTATACCACTATTTGGTTTATGTTGTCTGCTGCTGTCTATCCCAACCTTATATTTTCAGTCCTGATATTCTCGGATTAGAATGTCAGAGTGCATAGCTAGCACTCCTTCACGTCCAATTATATTCAGCAGTATTGTGTGTCCTCCCTGACAGGGGACTATCTAATATTTAATTAGATACTAAAAACTCGTAAATACCCATCTGCTTTCAACTTGAATCGTAAGACAATTTGATCACAGAATTGATAAAAAAGGTGGCATACAAAAATATTGCACAATTTGGCCTAGATAACCTCGTTACTTTGACAATTTAGGGGTGTAGGTCACGGCAAACGGCTCGATATTTTTGAAGGCCATCTTTTTTCTCAACTTTGTTCACAAATATTTAAAAAATCCGCCAGCTTCCCTCTCTCTCACAACGATACTTCTGTCTGTCTATCTACGCTTCTTAGTAGAGCAGGTTTGTTTACTTGTCTTATCATAGTTTTCTCCATCTTTTCCTCCTTCCCAATACTCTATTTTCTATATCTCCGTCTCTATTTTGTATGTATTGATACATTTGCTCATTCATCCTTTTTACATTATTTTAATTTTTTATTCTGTTATACGCAGTCAGTATTTTTGATATATTTTGCAATATCTTAATTTTATATTTTTATCTATTATTTCCGCATATAACTTCATATTTCTTATCTCTGTTTTATACTTTATTCTAAGATTACCATTTTTCATTTCTTATGTTACCTTATTTTGATTATACTTATTTCAATGGTCCGTGCTTTGATACGGTTATTATTATTTATTTTTTAGTTCTCTGTTACTGCTATTATTCTATATACTTTTTTTTTACTTTAATGCTCACTCTATCTACTTCATCTTACATTACATTTTTCTAACTAAATTTTTAGTATATACCTTCCACTTTTTAATTTTAATTCTTTATTATTCAATGTTTATTGTTTTATATACCTATTGTTATCTGGTCCTTTCCTTAGCTCCGATGAAGGTATGAACTTCGGGGCGAAACGTCGGCAAATGTAAAAATAAATATTATTATTTATTTTTGCTAGTGCACGTTTACAAGTTGTATTTTTTTTTATAATGTAGTTGTAGATATAAATAAAATAAAAAAATGTTTGCTATTTTTTATTTTGACTGATCACCCCAACCATCCTCTTCAATTATTCACTGCAGTCAACCATCAACCCACAAATATTTAGTTTTAGTATTATTATTTTTCTGTTATTTCATTTAATTTATTTTTATTATTTACTATATTTATTATTATTACTATATTTATTTATTTTTACTATTTATTTTACTATACTATTTCTATAATTTAGTATTTATTTGACCAACTCCTTCTCATATTATATCACGGTCAACCATCTCTACATCATTAATTTATTTTTATTTATTATACAATTTGATGTGAATGGAATCCTATATCACTAATACTAGTGTCCTTAATTGTGACAAAATGTAATAAAATTCAGTAAAAAAATTTCAAAAGAAAAAATAAGAAACTTAAAGAAGTGAGATAGCACATCCCCCTCCACCCCTCCTTTCCAAAGATATCACATTATCAATTTACTTAGATAACCTAGATGGTGGTACGCAAGTAAACGACAAAAAATTAAATTCAAAATCAGGAAAAAGTTCTTTTTGTGAAAAGAAACAGGCGTTCTAGAGGTCATGAAACTAAGTTAAAAATTATCTCCCTCCTTCCCCATCAAATGACCTTCAGATATATTCGAGAAAAGGATGACAATAAATAAGTTTGAACTATTATACCTTTGAACTCCAATTAAAAGCTGAAACATCCAAACTAGCATCGGCAAAGAGCAAAGGCATAGTTGTTCGACCAAACCCTGCTTCCAACGTAATTGTAATTTGCATAATTTTTAAGGATATAGATTCCATCTTGTTTGATTTTGTCAATGTCGAACGACGAGATGATGTCCGACCAGTGTTTTCAACTTCAGCAAGTGCATCCTCTGCAACTTCTACAAAACAATAACAACAGAAAACTTATTAGTTAATATGACAAATTATTAACATTATACAATAATATCAATTATGTGATAATAATATTAATAGTTTGTACAATAAGTTAATAAATAAATTAATAATAATGTATAGTATAGTATTATATTGTAATAGTATATAATTATAATCATTATATAAACAGGCATAGGCAAAATAGTTCAGTCCCTTTTTCTTCTCTGTTTCTCAACAGATTTTCTTTTTTTTTTTTTGTTTAGTAGCTATTGATGAGCTTTAGTGTTATCAATAAACACATTTTGGAAACAGTGTATATAAATAAAAACGTAAATGTTAGTTTGTTCAAAACTGTTAATCTCCAAAAGTTCTTCACCAATTGCTTTGAAATTTTGATACAACGTTATGATCTACAAGGTTAACATAAAAGATCTACAAGCTCTGAAATGCTAACAGAAAAAAATAATAATTTAAAACTATGATCACTTAACATGAAATTATACATATCTGATAATAACAAAAGTAACTGAAAATAAAATTCTGAAACCTGTTTTGAGAAAAGAGAAATCGGAATCGTGGAAATCTGTAATGTCCCACATGGTGCTACGATCTATTGGCTTGATTACCGTGTCCTCGGCAACTGTTTTAGAGCTGGCAGTTAGAGTTGAAACAACTTTACTCAGAAGCATTACGACACCTAAAAAATTTTAATTTCATAATTTAATTATTTCTTTATTATAATTTTATGCTAGACGAATATAACTGATATTATACATTTTCATAAGCTTAGAGGACTAAATGTTCTGGAATATAATTTATTTTCTTCCTCTCTAAAAGTATTAGCAAACCTCAATTACCTGGCGTAACTGAGACTTTAATCCTTGTCGAATCAATTTCTATTCTAGTGTTGCCTTCCTCTCCGCAGCCAGAAACCAAAAATGAAACTGGATTTAGAACCTAAACCATAAAAAGTAATCAGTAAGCTATTCATGCAATCGATATATAGATTTACAACACAACTATCATCTAAAAACACTCAAATTTTTCATTTAAATATATGCCAGCCGACTGTCAACAATCAGATAGCTGGTAATGATGTATGAAGTAACAGTACGTTTTATAACAATATGTTAAGTTTTATAAAATAATTTATTTTTTGCCATGTATATAACAAGAATCTTCTACATTCTATGCCACTTAATGAATTTTTTTTTTATTTATTTATGATTGAAATCTTACTAATTTAAAATTGATAAACCATCATACCCTTCAATTAATATCTGATTAATTTTGATGTATTTAGATTACGATCTTTCCCTAATTCTTTATACATTTTGTTTTCTTTAACGGTACGATTATAAATGTACATATAACCATCCAGAGAGAATATCTTTATTATCATAAAAGGGTGATGCCCAATTACATTGGGTTGCTTTAAACACAGCATACTTACAATTTTACAATCGCTACAGACAATTTTCCAAAACTAATATACAATTATGTAGTATTAACAATATGTATGAGCATAGTATACAATTTTTTTAAACATTTATATATATATATATATATATATATATTTTTATTATATTTTTTTTCCTATATTTTTATTTTTTTTACTATTTCCTTCATTGATTTATTAGCATTATACATTCCTTTCTGTTTCTTCTCTCCCCTTATACATTTTTCTCATTCTCTAGATTTTCTCCTCTCTTTTCCTAACATGCATACAAATACATAAAATGCAGTGGACGTAGTCAATAAATAATGTAAAAATGCTGTAAAACACGCATGCCTCCCCCCATGAACAAACTCTCTCTCTATCCATGCACATGGTGATGGATAACTCCCAGGGAATCGAGGATTATATTCTCCGCCAACCTTGCCACGTCCTTTAATTATCGTCTACATAGGATCATTCTCGAATGGACACTGACTTTAAATCCAAATTTAAAAAAAAATCTGTCCAGTAGTTTCGGGAAAAAGGCACAGACAGTTTACAGACAAAACATTTTTTAATCTATTTTCGAATTCTATGTATCCTGAAACATAAAGCCTCAAATTTTGAAGGAGGGTTAATTTTTTCAATTTTTTGGTCGATTACAATGGTTCATTAATAATAAACCAAAATGTTTAAACTCAATAAAATTAAAATATTCAAATGTGTTATTAAAAAAAAAAAAAAAACTGGATAATTTTACCTCACAGTCAAAATGATGACACCTTACTTCATTTTAACTTTTAAATACTATTAATTTAGTTCAATACCTCGTAGACGAGGCATTATTTTCTACCACTTCTTTCAGTCTATTTTTAATGAAGTTGACCAATTTTTGTTGAATTTTGGGATTAGCCTGTTCCACTCTTCGAGAAGATATTTTTAAAAGTCTCCTTTGCTAGAAATTTAGTGTTTTCTAATTTATATCTCCAATTTTGCCCAGAAGTGTTCTATCATTCTAAGAACTGGTAGCTGTGGTGCAGTTTTTCCTTAACTAACATGGCAGAGTGTTTGGGGTCAATACCCTGATAAGAACTAAATTTGTTTTTTAGCCCCAGATTTCCCCAGATTTCTTTTAAGTTTCTTCTAAAAATGTCTATGTAAACATATTTATTCACTATACCATGTGAATATTTCCACTATAAAGTGAACATTTCCTAAACCAGAATCTGTCATATACACTCACAGCAAGAAACAGAACATAAGAACAAGAAAAAAAACAGGAAAATAATGTATTAATAGAATTTTTATAGATTACAATAAATTATTGTTTTCATTTATGTAATGTAAATTGAACTATTTATTCATTCAATAATTTCTATCAATATCCAGGGTGTTTGAGGCTTAAGTGGCCTCAAAACAAGAGAAAAATTTCCTCTGAAGGTATGTCCACAAAAGCTTTGTTTAGGAGATATTCACACTTAAGATTTTCATTGTTATGAATTATTTACGTTATATGAAAAAAATAAAACCTATTTATTTATTCTAACTACTTAATAATTAAATGTAAACATTAAAATTCATATTAAATGTTATTCAAAGTGATTTCCTTGAGCATTAAGACAGACTCGGCATCTTTCTTCAACAGCAGCAGTGGCAGAATGGCACTGGATATGTGTTATTGTTTCACAAGATAAGGAATTAAGGTCATTGACCGGACTTGTTCAATCATATCCCAATCAATGGATTGGCCGTGCAGAACAATTGGCTTAGCACACTTGCACGCTTTCCACACCTCACACCACTGGATTTGTTTGTGGTGACATTAAACAAAAAGTCTATGCAAGTAATTAATCCCTTATGAAGAAGGATAATTGTATCTTGTGAAACAATAACACATATCTAGTGTCGTTCTGCCACTAGATCTTTAATGTAAAAGAAAGATGCTGAGCCTGTCTTAATGCTCAAGTAAATCACTTTGAACAACATTTAATATGAATATTTATGTTTACATTTAATTAATAAAGTAGTAAGAACAAATAAATAGGTTTTATTTATTTCATATAACGTAAATAATTCATAACAACGAAAATCTTTAGGCATGAATATCTCCTAAACAAAGCGCTAGCGGACATACCTTCAGAGGAAATGTTTTTCTTGTTTCGAGGTCCTTAGTTGATTTTTACTGTTTGGCCATTTAATCCTGAAATATTGTTTATTTTCAACAAGAATGAAATAAACCAAACTCACACATAACTATGAACTTACAGGTGATTTAGTTGCTTTCCGTTTATCAGGATTATAACAACAGGTGAAGAGCTGAAGGTCGGTGAGCGATCCGGCAATGAGGCTCTTATCAGTTCCCAAATTAGCTGTTATAGTCAGCTCGAACTAAAAACAAACTGATATAAATACAATACAAATTGAAATAAATTTAAATTAAAAAAAAAATGAACAGAGTATACTCACATCCAGAACAAGGGCATTTGTATCTATGTCATCAATGTTTTCAATAAGGATAATGTCTGGATGTTCCACTTTGAAATTCACTGATATCCTCCCGACATCAGGCTTGTCCTCGGTAACCATTACCTAATTAAATAAATTGACACGTTTATTTCTCAAGCTGATTATTAAGGAACAGATATCCATGTAAAATAAAAAGTTACAAACAAAAAAAATATATACATATATATATATATGACATGACTTAAGATATCAATTTTAGTCGGATAATAGGTCATTAAATACACTTAAATGAGCTAAAGTAATAGTGTGTATGCCAAGGAATGGTGGAAAGTATTTTTTCGACTAGATCATCCATTACAAATTCTACGAGTATAGGGGAAATTGAGAGTCGCATCGGGAGTCCCGTTATCTGGAGGACCATCCACCAGAATAAGCGACACACTCCTCGCTATGAGTATATATATATATATATATATATATATATATATATATATATATATATACACTTTATTTCATTTTTTTCTTCTCCTAATCTTTATGCGTAATCACTTAAATATCTTAGGGAACATATGTATATCATTTTTTTTTTTTACAATTTATGTTTTTATACATTAACAGTTATTATTTTATTTATTTATTTTAATTTGTATATACCATCACTAGAATGCTTTGCCTATAAAATTGATTTTGCGTTCCTTTCTAATTTCATTTAATGATTATTATGCTATTGTTTTGGCTCCAATATTGTAGTATTGAACCCCTATTAACCAACTGTTCTCATTAATTTAACCTAAGAGCTATTATACTTAATTTATTACTAGTATTTTGTCATTATTCATTGTAATAGGTCTTTTGGCCAGATTTATGGTTAATTTATATGTACAATACTGTTATTCTAAAGGGACCTAATCCCAGAATAAAGATGATTTTTCTATTCCTAAGCAATTCAGTCCACAGTATTACTTCTCCATAGAATATATTAAACCCTTGGCATTAAGAATAAAAAGAATTTTTCATGGACACATTATCAGCATAACATATAGATATAGAAATAGCCTTAAAAGGACCCTCTTCTCAAAACTAAATGACAGGACGGGACGGACTAGCTGGAACAAATTATCAAATGTAATTTATGAAATAAAATGCTCCGATTGTGGTGGGAAGTACATCGGGCAAACATCGTAGTACTTATATAGGAGACTTAATGCTCACAAAATACAGCGTCGACAATAAAAAAGAAGAGACGGCTTTAGACAGCCATGCTGTTAGAAAGGGGATCACATTTGATTTTGATGAGGTGAAAGTCCTAGATAACGAACATAATCAACAAAAAAGATTGATTCTGGAAATGATGTACATTGGAATGACAACAAAATAAACACGCGTAATGATTTAGCATAATCGTAATGCCTATAATAATATAATGGAATCAATATAAATTGGCCAGAGGGTTCAGTACGTTTATGTGTGGGTGAGCATATATGTGTGTGTATATATATATATATATAAATGTTTATGAATGTTAGTGGTGGAAGTAGACAATGGACAGAAGTAGGAACTATATTAATTTGTTTTATTATTGTATGTTATGACTGGCTCTTTATACATTATTTTATTGTAATTTGATTAAATTTTAGCATTCGACGTTAGTATAAAATATATGTAAGGTTGTTTTAATTCATCATTTTAGCAATTTTAATTACAACCAAACAGAGATTGTTGCGTACACTGTTATTGTTGGTATTGGTATTATTCTCGGACTCCAGGATCAGGGTGCGCGTTGCGGCCCCAGTAGCTTGATGTCCTTATGGCGGTACCGCTGGAGCTGTCAGCGTACTGCCCGGCTTGGAGTATCGATGCTCAATTAAAAGTAATAACAAATTGGTATTATTGTTGAAATGTATGAAACTTTTAATTGTTGTACCAATGATAGGTATTGTTTTTCAAGAACTGAAGAGGATCCCATTATTTATGTTAAAAAACGGGGATTGAAACATTTGAATAAAAGAATAAAGAGAAATTGGTTTAGCTCATTTAAGTGTACTTAATGATCTATTATCCGACTAAAATTGATATTTTAAATCATATTATATAAAGGTCTAATTATAAAAACATTGTAATATTATATATATGTAATTATATCTTCACAAATATGAATTACAGTAGGAAAAAACAATAGAGGCAAAATTTGCCGATGATACTGCTTTCTTGGGGGTATGTGAGAATACTAAGGAAACTATAAAAGAACTCTAAAGCTCAATTATGGTGGTATGTAAATGATGGAGAATCAAAATAAATGAAGGCAAATCAGTACACATAGTTTTCATTAATAGAAAAGTAGATAGGCAAAAAGTTTACATTAACAGACAGGAAATTCAATATTTTAATGTTGTTAAATGGAATGTCAGGAATGACGCTGGATGCAAGACAACTGGAACTCGACTTTATAACAGCATGCTCTGAGATAGTTACAATTTAAAACAGCATTCTGTGGAACAGTTACCATACTTACCGATTCCCTCTTTTTTGAGGGTTCAGGTTTTGAAATGCCTTTTATGTCCTCAACAGAAGCAGGCGAAGAGTCAGAAAGTTTACTGAAGAATTCGGCAACTTGAGTCAAGTGTTCGAGATTCAATATCAAGTCAATACTGGAAATTCTTACGTCAGCTTAAATAATTAAAATAAAACAAAATATGTCAGTGAAATTAAAAAAAAAAAAAAGTGAATAATAAAAAGATAATTTTAAACAGAATTTACCAAACTTTGCTTCGGGTGTTTGCTGATACGTAATATCAATCATACTTTTGCCACCAATCTCATCAGCAGGCCCTTTTTTACGTTCCATATACCTTAGGAAAAAAAAAAATAATAAATAAATAAAAAAAAAAAATAGATTTTAAAAGATATAATAAAATAACTATTGAAGTGACTAACACAAAAATGAATAATACGAATATACATTTTTTTCATTTATAAATAAACCTATATACCAATCATTCCAACCTTCTGAGATGCCTGAGGCTGCCCGGAGGCTACAAGAGGACATCGACTGCATCAACAGATGGGCAGAAATAAATGAATTAAAGCTGAATGCAGATAAAACCAAGGCTATTATCACCGGGTCCAGACATCTCATCAGCTCCCTTCCTTACCTTCCTCTACTTTACCTCAATAACTATCCCATCCATTTTTTCCCTACAGTCAAAAACCTAGGAGTAACCTTTGACCAGAACCTCTCCTGGAATAATCATATCTCCCAGATTACCCGAAAATCCATAACTGCCCTTAAACAACTCCTAAGATTCCGTGATTGTATTCCTCTAAAAACCAGACAGCTCCTAGTAATCTCCCTTGTATTCCCCCACTTCGACTGCGGCTGCTTGGTATATGGAGGGCTATCTGCCAGGCTGGAAATGAGACTAAAAAGACTCATGAATTGTTTCATAAGATACATTTTCAGGATCCCCAGGCATTCACATGTTTCACTATGGTACACCGAGTTGAAGTGGCTTTTTCCTACTTCCTGACGACAATTCCTTCTTGGCGTTTTCCTTTTCCAAGTGTTCAGAACCAAAAACCCTCCCTACATCCTGGAACTCCTTACTCTACGCTCCTCTATCCACTCTCTCAATACTAGGTCTCAACCTACAGACTTATATATTCCCTCCCATAAAACTTCCTCCTTCAGCAAATCCTTCGTCATTCGTGCTGCTTCCTTATGGAACTCACTTCCTACCTCCATGCGTCAATCCTCATCCACAAATTCCTTCAAACAACTCCTGTTCCAACACCTACTCCACATTCAAACTTCCCCTAACATGTAAAATTACTTGCATCTATCCAATGTTTAATTTCAATCCATTGCACAATTGAAATAACAATTAACAATAAATTAGTTGGTATTTTTACTATGTCAGACTAAGATACATAAATTTGTAACTCTGTTATTATTCTTAGGGGACAGTAGTCCCAGAATAAAATTATTTTTTCATTTCATTCATTTCTGAATATTTAAAAAATAAAATATCAGCAAAGAAAAGAACCATTGGAACTAAAATTTCATTAAAATATAAAGCATTTTCAAAAACATTGTAAGGGACTGGTTACACAGTAAGAGTTGCTGACCTGACAGTGGACAGCTACAGCACCTGCATACTCACGTGACAGTAGCTTGACTCACCTCACCTGGTCACACAATCAGTTCTTCGCAAATGTTGTACTGTGCGCTATTATGCCGCATGTTTGCAATGTCAGCACAACGTACACGTTTGATCACAATTTATACTGTTATAAAAGCGTATTGTATTTGGAAAACAAGAAGACGGAGTAGGCGAATGAAGTGAAGCAATCTGCGGAGAGTCGGAGCTTTGGTGAAGTTAGGGTAAAACCTGAAATGTGGATCTGTTACCTTGGAGTCTGGAACTGCGGTGAAGAGGTGTTGAGTTTGTATCTGACCGTTGTTGGCCCCGTGGTTTTTGACTCATATTGAATACGTAATGGTTGACTGTTTTACATTTTAAAGGAAGGAGATGCTCTGGAGTGACCGTCATAAAGAGACTAAAATAGTTTTTCCACTAGTCTCTTTATGACAGCCACCCAGGACCATCTCCTTCCTTTAAAATAAATAATATAATATAATATTTCAGCAATAGAAAAGTGTACTTAGTTTATAATAGAACTCTATTTAGAAAAAAGAACTTGATTTATCACAAATAAGATAAAACTAAAATCCTCAATATTTATCTCTTCTACTTCGGTGCATAATATTTAGTTTCCAATTTATTGATTTTGGTCAACTTAATGACTACAAAATCTTATTATGACTAGCCGAAACATCGTAATAAGATTTTGTATTCATTAAGTTGACCAAATTAAAAATTGGTGTAAAGTGGCTTAAAATCAATAAATTAAAAACTAAGATCCTTCATACTGTTCGAATAGGTCAAAATTGGACGATTATTGTTTCATTAAATAGAGTTATAACAGAGGATTTTCCTATCGGCTTCTGATTTAAAATCCAATCTTGTAAACTGTAATTTTCATTATACTTTTATTATATATCATACACCAAATATAGAATTTTATTTAATTGGAAAATTATGTTAATATTAAAAATAATTAAGAATGTCATAAATCATGATCAATACCTGGTAATTTTACCAACTTTAGACGGACGTGTATCGTCCATCACAAAATCAAGAAGTATAACGGCAAAGTGAAGAGATTCATCGGACATCATGGAACCTTTCAAAGAGACAAGTTCGAGTGTCAGTCGAGACAGGCCCTCTTTAACATCTGGCTGAAAAATAACAAAATATATGATAATATATAATTTTAATCATAACATAATAAACAATTAAAATATTTAAAAAATATATTTTAATTGTTTATTGTTTATTGTTTATAATTCTTCTCACTCACAATCTTCCCCCCTCTTTCCGGAAACCTAGAAATATGGTAAGTTCCTAAACCCATCAATGGCAAATTTTAGCCCAGTTTAAGGTACTATTTCACTGATACTACACATAGCGACCATCATTGCTGGCTGCCAATCGTTTATGCTTATATATTTCGCTGAAACTGCTCACTGTAGCAGTTGAATTATGAGATTGGCTTATGTTTCTACTATAAAATGTTAACCATCCTACCTTATATGCTCCTTTCTATTCCACTAAAGCAGTGCTCAACTGTTAGCAGTCATGGTGGGCATAATCAGCAAAATAGTACCTTTAGAGATTACAAATCTGAAGTCATCAATGATCTCGGTTCTGAATTTAACCGGGCTATAACAAGCTCTCGGTAAAAAAGCTGATGACAGGATTGAGAGGGAGAGGGTGTAGGGTACAGGAGTAGAATGGTATCACTCAGAGAATGAACCCGATGTCTATCAGTTCTAGTAACTGAAATCTTAACTAATTTCCAATTTTTTAAGAAGTTCCCCCAAAAATCGTTGGTCAGTAATTTTTTTGCAACCCTGCAAAAATAAAATAAAATACGATTTCAAATAGACATATATAGCAGCCCTTAACTTCGAACGTGGTATATGTCTATTTATGTCAAAAAGTTAGTCAAGGACAATAATGAATGCAATCTTCTATGAATGAAATGAAACATATTCTGGGACTAAAGTACCCTCAGAATAATAACAGAGTTCAGAAAATATATACTTCAGTCTAGCATGTGGATATGATACCGATACATAAAGAAAATACAGATATATACAAAAAATACAGGGAGAAAAATAAATATAAAAATAAAAAGGCTCTTATCATTTATCTATTGATAAGCAATTGTATGTACATAGCCTAAAAATTCTTTTAAGCTGGCGGGAGTTTGAATATGTACTAGATGGTGGAATAGGAGTTGTTTGAAGGAATTTGTAGATGTGGTTTGGCGTATGAAGATAGGTAAAGAGTTCCAAAAGGAGGTAGCACGAATGACAGAGGATTTTCTGAAAGAAGTTGTTTTATAAGAGAGAATATAAAGTAAGTAGTTCTGGGATTTAAGGAGGATTTTTGGTTCTGAGGACTTGGAAAAGGAAAACACCAAGAAGGAATTGGCGTCGGGAAGTAGAATAAAGCCACTTCAACTCGGTAGAGAAGAAACATAGGTACACCTGGGAATCCCAAAGATCAATCTTATAATACAATTCATGAGTCTATGAGCTTTTTATCTGAAAATAGTCTCCCCTCCTCCCCAAAAAAGTTTAGAAGTATAAATATTTTTTTGAGGATGTGGACATAGATTAACTTACAAACAAACAAGAAGAATTATTCTGTTTTACATTTTATTCTAAGATTCCCATTTCAATACTTATGTCACCTTTTTGATTATATTTACTTCATCATTCCACACTTTGTACCGGTTATTATTATTTATCTCTTAGTTCTTACTATTGTCATTATTCTAACAACTGCATTTTACTTTAATTTCTATGTTTCACATACCTTGTTATCTGGTTCTTTTCTTAGCCTTAATAAGGGCCTGAACTTCAGGTCGAAACGTCAGCAAATGTCAAAATAAATATTATCATTAATTTTTGCCTTCTTATTTGACTAATCACCCCAACTATTCTTCTCTTCATTATTCATGACAGTCAACCATTTACCCACAATTAAGAAGAATTATTCTATTGCGTCCCGACATTTTAGGCCAGATAAAGGATAAAAGCATAGACAGAAACGTCAGCATACAATAAAATAATTCTTATCAGTGTGTAATTAATTTCATCTTCTGATCGCACCTCCAAACAGCTTCTACTACGAAGAGTGATAGCTCTTTTGATCATTTCATTAGCAGATTGTCCATCTCTAACTTCCATAGTTTATCCATTTAAGGGTTCCCAATAAAATGATTATTCCAATTATCCAGTGAGCTGCTTAAGTAGTTTTGTTTATATTCTAATTCTTATTAATATTAATAATAAAACAGTAGTTATTTGAACTTACATTATCAGCGCTGTTATCCTCAAGTTCCAAAATCAAACTTTCAAGAGCCATTGTGAATTTTAGCGTACTCCTGACGACTGCATGTTTGCCAACTGAAAAACATATTAACAAAATATTATATCAACTAAATATTCTTCATTAAGTTCTCTAAAAGATTAGAAGACTACAAAAAATCTTGAATAACATGTGAAGATTTAAAAAAAAAATCATTTAATAAATTAAATAATCTACAACAAAAATAAAAAAGTTAATATAATAATATTACCGTTAGGCGTTCTTGCTTCTTCTTCTAATTGTGCCACACTTGTCTTTTTAGGAGCTGGTTGAGGGGCTTTTGAAGGTGGTATTTCATCAGGAACGCCCGAATCTCCAATATTATCTTCCAACATTTGCATTATCCATTTATAGTCCGATTTGTTAAATTTAATCTAAAATTAGTAAATACTCAATGAATATTCAATAAGTTTATTATTAAAGAGGTAGGGGCAAGTCCCACCTTCACCATTTGACTTGTGGCTTGGTGCATTAATTGGTTTAGTGCATTAATTAGTTCTCTGCAGCTGACTCAGTGCAGTTGTTCCCGAATCTGATAATTTGGAAGCAGATTTATTCTGAGCCTAAGATATGTCCTTTCTCTGTTATTTGTGTCATATACATGATCTTATTTATGATCTATTTAAATGTTTTATATATCAAATAAATGTACAAGTAATAAAGCTAATTGAAAGGTTTACTGAAAAGTTAGACAAAATAGATAATAAACCTACAAATATTTCAAATCTTCACAAAGAATTTGTTTTAAAAATTTAAAGATAATGAGAACACCACAGAATGGTTAAACATTTTTTAAACAGAATGCAATAGATACAAAATAATTAATGATGAAAATAAGCGCCTATTTCTAGTAAATTAATATTTTTAGTACACCTTTAGATTGGTATAGCACAACTTTATGCAAACTGATATTACAAAGTAACTGGAAGGAATGGAAAGCATCGTTTTCATGCTTACAATTTCAAATACATAAATGGACCACTGTTAGATTATGATATAAAAAAAAGAGGTTATTATTACAAACTGAACCTACAATGTCTGATAAGTCACGTATTAATAATATTGTTGTAGGCCTTCCATTTTACATTCAAGATTGACTTGATAAAGAAGAAATACATACAACAGAACTTTTAATGAATCAACTTCGGCAGTACTCTCAAGCATATCCGAAGATAAAGAAAGATGAAAATAGGACAACCAATATAAATAAGAGTGATGCAAGTTCATCTGAGAAGAAAACATTTATAAAAACAACTGTGTAAAATATGTCAGTCAAAGGGTTACCCAGGATGTTATCACCCCCACCTGAGCTTTGTGTAAATAAAGGTTACTATGAAGAAAAGAATGAGAATTTAAATGAAGTTGATGAAGTTAATCTCCAAGAAGAGGAAACAAGAGCAAGTACACAAGACTAATTCGATCAAATATCACTGCCAACTAACATAAAGTTACTGGAATTTATGAGAGCGGATCTAATATAACACTTGTAAATCATAAGATAGATAATAGATAATATTAAAGATGAAATGTTAGAAAATAAACTTATATTTAAAACAATTAGTGGAGTGCAAAAGAATCTTAATAAAAAAAAATTACCAATAAAAATTCATAAAATAGAAGCTCATGTAATTAAGAACAACAACTTTTCCTACGACGCATTACTGGGTTTAGACGCAATTCAAAAATTTTGTTTAATACAAGATGTTTATTGATATATATCTTTATTTAATATGTTCCTTGCATACTTTCTTCATCTACTAACTTCCATAACAATTTATGGTTTTCTTAAGAAGAATACAATTTTTTGGTAGTTGCCACACTAAAAAAATTAAACTATTTTATAATGTATAGAAACCTATACATTAATGTCTGAATTGCAAATACCACTAATTAACAAATATAACATTAGGAATCCATGCCTGAATTATTCGAAGTTTCAAAATAACAGAAAACACTGGGATACGAAATTCACAGAGTAGTTACATAGATAGCACAATACATGATTTACGCTCAACAATGGAGCACTAATGACCGTAATAAGCCTGGCTATGTATGACGTTTATTTACATGAAAAACCTTGACCAAAGAGCTACTTATTTAAAAGTAAATTAATATTTTAAATGCTCTGGGGTGTGCTGTTCTAGGGTTAATTGATATAGTAATTACAATAATATATATTAGTCTTACAAAATGAATTAAATTTCAGCTATGTGAAAGAATTTTTCGTGAAGTATAAGATCCTTCAATAAATTAATTGACTTACCTTGATAGTCTGTAATTTTCCACCAATTTCTATATCAGGTACATCAAGAAACCATCCACAGGATAAGTTACGCTGCAACGTTAGAACAAAACTGATAGGTTCAATAATTGCATGACTTGATAATTCTTTTGTCACATCATCTTCATCAAACAAAACTCTGTTAAAAAAAACATAAGTGTAAATTAGATTTGTTGATTAATCAATCAATCTTAATTTAATCATTTTTGATTCAACAATATTGATATGTGGAAGTTTTAACAATTAATGACAAAATAAGGCGTAATTGGAAGGTTTAAAAAACAAAGCCTTAAGTCCCTTTAAAATTAGTAAATAAATAACCACCCAAAGTCCTAACAATTATGGGTGATAAATATTTAGGACGCAGTCATTATAAAGCTTTTATCAGTGCCAACGTTTCAACCCAAACATGTGGGCCATCATCAGGGGGTGGTTCAAGCACTGAAGGTATTCATTAAATCATTAAAATCAGACAATTTAGAACAAATGAGAAGGAGTTAGTCAAGGGTGTGGTCAAATAAATAAAAAATTAAAATAATTAATATATTTTAATTTTTTATTTATTTGACCGCACCCTCGACTAACTCCTTCTCATATTATATCAACAGTCAACCATCTCTACATCAATTTAGAACAAAGATATGGTGTTTCGATATGTTCGATTGCAAAGGATATATCCTTTTTTGGTTTTTATTTTAAAAGTGTTACTGAAGCAATGCTATTTTTTTTTAGCAAATTACTAATGATGAAAAAAAAAAAATGTTTAGGCCAATAATAGGAATAACCTTTTATTTCTTTTTCTTTTTTTACTAGAAAGGTAATGTTACTTTAGATGTTTAATTGTTTGGAAATAATAAACTATTATGAAATAATTTTCAGCATTTTAAAGTAACTTTAACAATGTAAAAAAATTATATAATTTTTCTAATACCTAATATCTAAATCATGAACAGAAAAAAAATTGAATGAATTACTGATTAAGTTTGAGGTTACGAAGATCAACATTCAGCCGATCAAGTACAGCATTTTCTTCACTATTCGGAACTTTGACGTCCATAAATGAATTGTTAGCTGTAAGTAGACCTAAATCTAGGATAAAAGCTAGAATACTTTTATCACTGACTGGAATTACAATCTTCGGTGCCTGAAAATAAAATAATAATGCTACAGGTAAAAAAAAACATACACAAAAAACATTTATAAATGAAAAAATAGTTTTAAGTATGCAGAGTGGTAACGATTTAACTATTGAGTATTTAAGTTATCGACTAATAATTAAAAAAAAAAAAGAAACCTATACCACTACAACCCACGAAGGGTCTTCGGTTCAGTACTATTTAGGGAAAGTATTGTTTATTGGTCAACGGTTATGCAACGAATGAATGAATGAAAATAACTTTATTATTCTTTAGGACAAATTATAAATACAGAATTTAAATAAATATGTTAGAGCGTCCATAAAATAAAATTAAATATTTACAAAATAATTGGTAATATAAAGTAAAAATATAGGTAATAAAAAGATATATAAATACAAAATAAACATAGAAAGATAAAATAAATAAACAAAATAGTATCTGGGTACTGGGTTGAGCATCTTATGACTTAAGATTCTGAAGTTCATTTCATGATCAATGGGACGGGAAATGGAATAGGTCCTTAACAGGTTAGCTGCGATATCTCTTAAATGTCTTTTCCGATGGTATCGGTCCCCAAAGACATGCATCAGTTCCGAGGTATACCGCTATTTTTTTACAACAAAGATGAACTAATTCCCTATTCAGAGCCTTTATCTGTTCTCATTACTGGCCAGCAATCGTAGGAGTGGACTCTGACGTCCGATGCCGTTTATACGACATGTTTTTTATTATTTCTCTTTATTTTAGTAAACCAGTGTTATTTTTAGGGATATAAATCTTAAATATTGAAAATGAAATGAGAAAAAGTTTATTTATTACATATAATTATAATTTTCAAGATATAATTTCTGCATTATTTATATGTATGTTATTTATTATTTATTTATTTATACATGTTAAATAAGCAAGGGGACCAGTCTAAGATGAACTCTCAAGAGCTACTGTGCGACAGAAACCCGAAGATGACAAGACCATGCATGTGCACTGTTCTGCCACAGCAGGAATATTTATCGGACGTCAGAGGGTGATACTTATTTATTTATTCTTATACTTATTGTGATACTTATTTAGTATTTATTTATCTCAGGTGTGGGTTACTGACAATCAGATCAACTCAGACAAACTATTATTATTTACACATTTATACTAAAATTAAACACTGATTTTAAAATAAAGTCAAATATGGATTGGCAAGCTAACCTTTTTTCTATATATACTGTTTCTTCCTTTGTTGCACTAAATTCATTTGTATTCAAATGTTTTCCAATCTTCTGCCAAACACAACTTCCAAGATGATAATACTATTACTGGGTTTTTCCTACTGGAGCCACGATCTCTTCTCCTGTCCTCTCTTCACTACAGTCACACAACAACTGCTTGCCAAAACAAAAACCATTGTCTCTCTCCTCTTTGGGATTTTCCTTCTTGGGAAACTACAGAGCAGCCATTTTCTTTTCCATGCACAAGTAGAACTAGATTAGCTTGCCTTTTAATTGTTAAACATCAATTTATTAAACCCTTTTTACTCACTTCTAATAAAGGTGTATATTACAATGCGCTCGTATCTTTACATCTATCGAACTCCTATTCAAATATTTTTAAAAATTATCATTTTAGAGACTTCATAAGATAAACAAACTTCGAAACAATCCTGGTCGTTTGGTAGTCAAGACGAATATCAGACCCCGGGGACCGTAACCACAGCTAACGTGTTAAAGACGAGAGATTTGAAGGAGGAAACTGACTTTGCGTTTCTGAATGGAGGATTTAAATTGAAGGCTCTGTAGAATATAAGGGGGTTGCCGAATTCTAAATGCCTAGTTCTACTTTAAAATTCTTATTAATTTTTTCAGTTTAGCATTAATGGAAGAAAATAATCCTTTTTCACGTTTTTAACAATAAAAAAAAGAGGAAAATGGGACGTTTTTTAGCTTATGTAAAATTAATATTAAACTATTTATTATTACCTCCAAATCAATTTTCAGAGATATCCTTGTAGCTTTTACAAAAACGTCCTGAACATTCTGTTTAGCTGCTTCAGCTGCGGCAGTAGAGGCATCAATAATTGTTTTACGTGCTGCCGAAAAATGATCAAGGAAACTCTGAAAAAATTTAAAATAAAAATCTAAATACCAATCATTGAAGAGAATGGTTGGGATGATCAGTCAAATTGAAATAGTAAAAAAATAAATAATTGTATTTATTTATTTACCATTTCATTTTGACTGATCATCACAACCCAACCATCCTCTTCAATTATTCACTACAGTCAACCATAAATCTACAATTCTAAATACCAATAATTTTTTTTTTCTTTTTTTGTGGAACTAGAATAACTACATTTTAATATCTTAATTCGTACAATAAAATATATGTTGCCTTTCAAAATTGATAACATTTTTTACTTTTTAAATATTATAAAAGTATATTAATTATAAAAAATTTAATTATTTTTAAATTATTATAAATATTCATAAATCTTAATAAAATATTTTTATTTCAAAACAATATAAATTTAATTAACTTAATAATATGAAATAAACTATAAGCATTGTTCCTTACCAATAAAGACATGATGAATTTGTTTATAAAAACAAATCTTACAGCAGCAAAGCTGAGGTTTACAGACATATCGACTCCACCGCTTCTTTTACCAATATTTTCAAAGCTAACGAAACGTAGTGATAACACATCAGCTCGTTCCTTGGAAGTCAGGATCTATAACATTTTTTTTTTTAACTATATATTATTATTATTACAAATAAAATGAGTGACAAATAACAAACAAATGATATGGTTAAAATAAATAATAAACCTGGGTAAATATGGGTTCTGATATAACAAAAATCCTTTTGTATTTTAGAAATAATTTAATATATTAGTAAAATTTAATTTAAAAAAATAAAATTTTATTTTATTAATTTTTTTAATAAAGTTATAATACCTGTAATTGAAGGGAAGATTTATTGGGATGATCAGTAAAAAAAAAAATATATGTAAAAATAAATAAGTATATTTTTTGCTTTTCATTTTTTTTTTTGCTGACGTTTCGGCCCAAAGTCCTTCATCAGGGCTAGTCAAACGAAAGATTTCCGCAATACCATGACCTTTCATTTGACCAGCCCTGATGAAGGCCTAAACTTTTGGCCGAAACGCCGGCAAAAATAAAAATAAATACAGGGTTAATGTACCAGTAGCTGAGATGCTTAAGGAAATTTCTTTGAACTTTTACGTGTAAAAACTTAAATATTTATGTTATTATATTTTTTATGGATTCATTTTATAGAACTATTTCTCACCTTACCAAGATATATTATAAATTCATGAAACATTCATCTAAATTTTAAAAAATTGAAAATTAATAGAATAGTTTTGTTGTACAAGTAGCTGACACCGATTTGGAATGTGCCTATAGATGGAAGGGATGAGAACAAGTATGTAATTAAGTGACATTTCATATTATTCATTTTAACATGAACAAAAATTACCTTTAACCTATTAAAAACTAACTTCTTGTGTTTCCTTCGACTAACTTCCTTGTGTTCAACTTTAAATTTATCAATAAATGCTGGTCACTGGCAAGAAATTGTTTTTGACAATAGGAAAACCTTTTTTACTTTCCTACCTATACTAGGTAAGGAAACTATTGTGATCGGGTCAAATTTCTGATATGCGATTTTCGATGGATCTATATGCTTCAGATCCCCCTGAGTTCGAAAAACACATTTTTAGCCACTGGTCTGTCTGTCTGTCCCAAGATTTTCTCGGGAACTAGTGAACTGATTTTGTTGGTTCTTTTTTTATTTTTTAGGGTTTTGATTACTGATTCCTGAGAAAAAATTGGGTGCTCCATGCGCAATAAATGAAAAACATGTTTTTCTATAGACTGCAATGCGAAAACGGTTCAAACAGTTTTGATGAAACTTTCCTATAATGTTCTAATAACTGTCCTTTCGTACTTCAACTAAAGTCCTGAGAAAATTCAGGAAAAAAGTTATAAAAAAAAAGAAAATTGTTTTGGGACCTAACTAGCTAAGTACATATTCTATAGTAAAATTTATAATAAAACTTTTGAAAGGTAATTAAATGACCAAAAAACCATGATCGGAATCAAACCAGTATTAGCGATGATACAGCTTATTCTAGTTTCTACACATATTTTAATTTATCAATTTCCTACCTATACCAGGTAAGGAAAATATTGCGATCGGGTCAAATTTCCGATATGCAGTTTTTGACAGATTTGTACGTTTGACAGCCCCCTGAGTTTAGCCTCTTTTTTTTTTTAAAGGTAATGTAATTCCCTACAAAACTAAAGAAAAAGTAATAGCTATTCAATTTCCAATGTAAGATTACGAGTTCATATCATGGTGTCAGAAAGGGGAGAAAAATATAACTAAGGAAAGTAAGAAAATCTGTTGCCCGCATCACTATTTCCGCTACTTTTAACAGAAATTATTGTTTGACAAAATTAGGCTATGGCTTTTTTGATCAGCAATATTAGAGGGTATTGAAATTTTTACACTGATCTACCTTCAGCCGGTTTACATCGCTTTAGTTTATCAAATAAATTGTACTCAAATCTTTTCTTTGATCAATTTTCAGGAAAATAAATCTAATTCAATTTTTTTTTTGTTTCTTTATGGACATATGTAAAGATATAAATACTTTTCTAAAAGAGGTAGGAAAGTCGTGTGAGTGGATACACCAGATGTTTTGCTTTAAATTTAATCTAAATCAGCATTTTTTTTCTAATAAGACAGTCTGGTCCCATTTTTAAGACTCGTTATATTCAGTAAATCTCTTTAAATTTATCAGAGTACAGACCTGTCAACAACTGGCAAAATCCCCATTCTAAGGCTCCACTAGCTGACACCCATTAAATATCCAATTTCTCCATCAAGATAAGTTAAAAATAGATAAAACATAATTTAAAAACAATCCAGAAAACAATCAAATAGAAATTTTGGGATAAATCAGAGTAGTTAAAGAGAGAAAGGTAAACCTAAGGTGCTCTTACCGACAGATGGTTGTTCCTGGGACACTAAGTGGACCGTGAGAAACCTTCCTAATTCGTCACTTATTATTTCAGTGGTGAATTCTGGTAAGACTAAAGCAAAGCAGACAAATAGAGGTCTAGGTGTAAATAACAATGTTAAAAGATTAATTGTAAATAATTAGTTTTGGCGGGAATAGTAAATATTCCTTCCGCTTAGTCAGGGGACTAGGTTATTTATACTCGTGATTATTAAAACAAAACCCCGGCACTGGATATCGACTATTTGAGGATGTTTAACTGTCGTTGGGAATTCAGGAACCTAATACCTTTTGTGGCACTGAGTGACAAGAAACAATAAGAACATATATATCTGAAATGTGGGACTTTGTAAACACACTTTGAATGAATTGACTCACCTGGTTTGTTATTCTTCAACTGTGAGGTATATAGGACAACTAAATGAAATGACTTTTCACTCCTGTATAATAAAACAATTTATTTTGATAACTGTAATAAATTAATGTATAACAGTCTTATAACTGTAGGCTTGATATTCTTAGTCTTCAATTTAGTAAGCCTCTCTTCCCAGATGATGTCTTCTCGTCTTCGTGTTCAGGCCTCAAGTGCTCTTCTCGGCGTCCTTCTGCCAGCTGTTGCTAGCTACCTGCTCTGACCTTTTTCCAGTGTCCTTCTTCATTGATATGAGACATTTCCATGAATAATTTGTCCACTGCATAATTGAGTACAATTCATCGTACAACCTCACATTACTATATATTATATATTCCTTCTCATTCCCTCACACAATGTCACATAAAGGAGTAAATACCGGGAGATGTCTATTACATAGGAGATCCTGAAATTTTCTTATTCCCATTTTTCGAGGAGGAAGTCAGGTATTGGTACACTATTGGTGCTTTTAACCTATTTAATTATTTTTCCTTTTTTTTTTTTTACTAATCACCTCAACCAATCTTCTCTTCAATTATAGATATTATAAGTTTATTTCCATCAATTCACAATTATAATATCTATAAATTTTAACATATCTAGTTAAGAAAATCAAACAAGTATTACCTTATTGTAAAGAGTGTCGGGGTCGTGATTATTCAAGTAAATCCCTCTGAGCTTGAGATCCATTTGAGTGTAAGTTAACTTTACACCGAGAACGCATTCTCCGCCTGTCACTCCAAGACTAGAAAGAACCCTTTTATTCTTCCACAGAATTATGGCTATCTCTCCGAGGCGAACTTTTATCTTTATTTTTATTTCATCCACTTTATACATACTTGCCAATGTGCTTTTCCTGAGTTTTCCAGATACTAAAACAAATTTATATTTGTAGGTATCAGGTCATCTCATAAGTAATGGTTGTTTTTATGTTGATATTACTAATATCTCATTTATTATAGCATTACATATTCTTTTACTTATCATTAGTCTGTTGTAAAGCCCCCTTTTTATTGAATTATTAACATCCGCCTGAAACTTCCTAAATACCTTCATCTCATCGTTACCTACAAATATTTTATTTATGAAAATTCTCGGAATTGATGTGATTTCAATTTGGAAATCGGCAAACTTTGTCTATTTAATTAGGAACTAAACGCTTGTGCATACATTTTTTTTTATTTATTCATTTTTTTAAATTTGTGTTGTATCATATTTTATTTCATCTGTTTTACTAAGCTTTCTTTTTCTTATTTTTGTTATAATTTCTATTGTTTTTGTAATTGTATATATTGTATGAATGAGTTTCTCACATCTCAAATACTCAATGCCCTTGACTGAGCCAAAATGTTTTTTTTTTCTCAATAAAATAAGATTAAAAAAAAAAAGCACTTGCTTTCCACTTTGATCGTAAAATAACAAAATCGAGAAAAAGGGCGGCCTTCAAAAATATTGAGCTGTTAGTCGTGAACTAAACCTCTAAATTCTGAAAATAACGATATTATATGGCCCAATATTTTTGTAGGCCACCTTTTTTATCAAATTATCTTATGATTCAAGTGAAAAGCTAATGGGTATTTACGAGTTTTTAGAACCTAATTAAATAGACAAAGTTTGCCGAACTCCAGATTGAAAACGACCCAATTCCGAGAATTTTTGTAAATAAACTATTTGTAGGTTATAATGAGATGAAGCTCTTTACGAAGTTTCATCTGGTTGAAATAAATGAAATAATAATAACTTTTATGTTATATTTTTTTATTTCAGCTAACTAAGAATTTAACAGGGTTTAAATAACCTCTGTCCTGAATTAAATAAAAAAAAAAAAAATAATAATTGCCTCTAAAAACCTTTACAGTAAACCCTCATTACAACCTACAACAGAAACCCAAAAAGACCAGAAAATCATTATCCCAAACCGCCTACAATAAAAACTATTATTGAATAGTTTAACTACTAGTTTAAATTATTGAAGCTAATGCTTCAGAAATATGTTTCCATTACTGTTTATAAGACTATTACTCACATTTTCCAGTACTCCCTCGGAGATCTAATTTGCTTCCAAATTTAGAAGCAGCCATGTAGATGGAAGAAGGTTTGTTGTCACCAGTTTTTCTTACTTTTGATTGCTAAAACAAAATAAATAAGTAAAAAAATTTAAAAACATTTATTAATTTATCGATTGAACTAATCAATTACATGAATTTAAGGCAAGCCAAAAGACAGTACAGGTGTCTACTGAAACCTTTTTATTTATATTTCCCGACTTTTCCAGGTAATTTTTGAAAAAAATTCATAACATTAAAATAGTAATGATAAAAAAATTATATAACTTTATGTATTTACAAAATAAAAATGGTGCTGGAAATCAAAAGTGTTTTATACAAGATGTAAAATAAAACAAACTTAAAACGAGATTCGTTCTGATTGGTATATACAACCTGAATAATTAAAAAACGTAAGTATTTATTCAAACGATACATACAATGAATGCAAAAAAAAATATATAAAAGATTTTTTTTTTTAATTTCTTATAAGCTCACAAAATAACAGTATAAGGGATGTATAAGAGTACAAAAAAATAAACAGTAAATATAATAAAATATTAAATAAAAAAATCTACCCCAGGAGGTTGAAGACCCTTGGCGAAATCATCAGCCCAGACCATGAGTGAACATAAAGCTTCGCAATGCAATGTCAACTCAAGTTTAGTAAAATCTATTTCAATCTGCTGTAGGGTTGATTTGTATTTGGAATGAAACTCAGGGATGTTTTTATCAACCTTAAAAAAATAAATGAAATGTTTAATAAATTATAAATCATTAATAGAATAGAAAATAGAACTCTATTCTGGGACTAAGTCCCCTTAGAATAACAAAGATAAATTAATACAAAATAAAATACAAATCTGGCCAAAAACTAACTTATAAAAATTCTAACATTAAATACATTATTTAAAAAGTAGTATGTAACCACTAAGAAAGACACACAAAAAAAAAAAAAAAAATTATATATTCATATATACATAAGTGCACAATTTGTAAACAATAGGCTATCTAATAGAAACATAATTTAATACAAAATGTAATAATATTTACAGTGATTCATATAATAATAAGCAACCACTAAGATAAAATAAAATCTCAGGATTAATTGTGGTATAAAGGTAAAAAAAGGAACTATGTATACGTACATACTCATATTGGTACAGAGAGAGACAAAAAGTATAAAATATAAACATATATACCCGAAAGAAAAGGCACAACCTGAGGTGAAGAGAAATACAAATAAATAGTAAAAATAATAGTCAAACTAGGTAACAAAGATCATTGGTGTTTTATGTTAAAACTTAAACAGTAGGCATCACCATTTACTTCTCATAAATTCAGTTGATAAAATTAAATTTATGGTTGTGAATCGTCTATTTAAGATGTGAGGAGATATTGGAAAAGGAGGTATTTGAAGGGTGACAGTGAAGAGGCATGACGGATGTTATGTGGCAAAGAATTCCAGTAGGCGACGGAGCGGGCTAAGAAGGAACGTTCATAGGTTTTTGTCTTGTGGAATGGAATAAAGAGGTCAGAATCACGGGATCTCGTTTTTATTGAGTGGACTAAGGGTTTCGGCTGGAGGAGACAGTAGATATAGGAAAGGTGCTGGGAGTTGATCATTTGGTATAAGAAATTTCCAAGGAATTATAGGCGGCGGGAAGAGGGGAAGAGCGATTTTGACTCGGCATATAGGTGGGACACATGAGACCATCTCGAAGTGCTGAAGACAAATCTTAAAAACTCATTAAAAAAATTAATGAGAGCAATGACTAAAAAAATAGAGACAAAGAATATTATGAGGATATTATTTCATGACTCCTGAACTAAGCCTTGAGACTTTAAAATCCCAGTAAATACCAAAGCATTTACAGGATTAAGTTCTTGATTAATTGCGATATTAAATTGTTCCAGCATCGTATTTTTATAAAAATGAAATTGAAGGCTTTATCCAAGAGGAAGAAATAAACTGAGACACGGAAGAATGTTTTTTATAATTTTTAATCCATACATATATTATTACAGTAAGGCTCGAAATCGGTTTTGTACCAAATATAAGCTCCTGTCATGCTCAAATACCATGAATGGGGTACCGTTGGATTCAGAATTTCACGGGGGGTTAGCGAATCGTATTCTCCACTTTTGTTTTTCTTTCTAAAATAAATAAAGTCGATACAAACATTTTGCTAGGCTTCGATACTGGAACGGTGGTAGGTCTGTAGATCGATATGGGACAAATTGGATCTTAAAAGATTTTGATGCATACAGCAAGACCCAGATAGTTCCTTCGGAACTATCGGATCCTGCGTTTTTAAGCCGAAAAACGTACTATTTTCGAGATAAAGCAAGGCATAGGGTTCGCATCCACACAACCTTACATTAATTGTAGTACTGTCATTAAATATATGTCTCATTTCGTTGACTTGAGGTCTCTATGATCGAGAGAGGGGGAGTTTATATTATTCATCGATGGTGTTTTTGATCGGCAAGCCATATCATCGTTAATTTTTCACCAAATCTCAAGATTGAGCCACCAATTTCCCATTATTTATTATGGTTATGCCCATAATTATATAAAAGATTACTAAATTCCCTACAAAAGGAAAAAAAAATCATAGCAATCAGACAATTTTTAGCAAATATACAGCTTACTGAAATTTGTATACATGTTGGTTCCAAACAAAAATGAAGATTTAAATAAATTTTTGTTTGCTTTGTGGATTATATTTATTGATAAAGTAACATTTGATGTCTTAATCTTTTGATAAGTTGCATTTTCTTATAAATTTGGCATTTGATAATAATATGTTGTGCGAATTTTTCGCATGGGCCTACTAGTTATTTTAGCAATGCGGTTCTCAAGATAATTTTATTATTATTTTCCTCAGCCATTGCTGGGAATATTCACCTACCCGGACTCGATGAGTCAAGGGTTAGCTCTGTTTAGGAAATATTTAAAAATTTCCTGACTATGGTGGCTGTCGCAAGCAGCACAGTTCTCTGACCTTCTTCTAGGATATAATCTGCAAGTCCCAATACTCTTTCTTCCTCCGCACCGAACTGCTGCATTTGACAAACCAACTGATATCTTGGTGTAGCGATTTTTAATTTTAAAAAATAAATAAAGAAAGAAATACATATGTTTAGAAAGATGACAGTTGATTTTTTATAATTAAGGTGAGTAAAAGTACAATTACAAATATGTATGTCAATGAGTTAAATAAAATAAATTATGAACTCACATTAATATACTTTACGAAAAAGAGATAATTCTCCCCATCGTCCAAAGCTGAGGAGTTACTGATAACATTGAGCCATTCATTTTCAAAATGGTGTCTCATATTGACTGAGCCAAGTTTTAACTGGACACTCATCACAAAAGTGTATTGGGTAAGAACAGCCTCCAAATTATTGAGACGGAATTGCAGAAGTTCTTCATAATGTCCATTGTTTAATACCAGAATATCAATAAGAAGCTCTAGAAGAAGAGAAAAGAAAAAAAGGATTCATTATTCATATGTTTTCATTCCAGAGAAATATGCATGGCATACCATTAGACTTGTGTCTGCTAATTAAATTTGATTTAAAGTATGTAATTATAATAGACTGTATAAAAAAAAAAAGTTTTCAACAAAAAATTAATATACTTTTTCTTTAATGTAACATAAAATTAATATTCAATAACACATTGTAATGCAACATCATTTTCCATCTTTTGGCCAGTTGCTTGATCCCATGCAGGTTTTGAATGACTATCGAGAAAAATCCTGAACCACTGTTTCAATTTTGTGAAATGTATTATATTTTTTTCTTTTCAAGAGGCCATGAATTTAAACAAATAAAAATCTGATGGAGCAAAGGCCAGATTGTATGGTAGGTGTGGAAGAAGTTCTCTACTATAAATATTTTAAGTTACCATCAAGATTTTAAATTTTTCTTGATCTATTGGGAAGTATACAGCCAGGCATACATATATAAAATATACAGGAATGTATATATATAAAACAGCTTCGGTCTTTCTATGTATCTTATAAGGTACAAAGTGTGTGGGCGGGGTGGTCGAATGGGCTAATGAGTGTGCAGAGCACCGCCGTTGCCCCGGCAACCTGACATATGAGAAAGACAAGGATAAAAATAATTCCGAGTTCATCCCGGTGCCGGGGGAGTCTTTTAAATCCCTGCCCACACTCTCTGGCCTGGGAGAACCCCGTATAGCCTTAAAGGCGAGGAAGGGGAGGAGCCAAAAAAAAAAAAAAAAAAAATGTACAAAGTGAAAAACTCAGCATAATATACAATGATTAATAGGATCAAGTGAAAAAGAATCAAATAGATGAAGTAAAAAAAAAACAAAAGCTTTCATTGGATCATAATAAAAAACATTTTCCTCTTAATAATAAAATATTCAATAAATAATATAGAATACCCGTGAGTTCAAACTTAGCATCCACTTCAAAAGCCTGCTTGATCATTTCTGTTTTTCTTTCTTCAACATCGAAATCCAACAGAGTCGAATGTCTTTCATAGCTGAATCCTGTTAAAGAAAGGGTACTTTGCCGAAATAGACTCTGAAAATAAGTTACAAAGAAATTATATAATTTGCTTAATATTCTCAAATTCACAGTAGAATCCTCAATGGTAACAATTTATTTTAATAATATAATTAAGTTTTAAGTTGAATAAGTTTAGTTTCTGTCTAAGTATGAAATTTACTGATGAATAAAGAATGTTTCGATAAAGTTCTCAAAAGTGATTGGCTAAAAAGTGAAATCAGTAACAGATTACAGAGAAGCAGCTACCAAGTTATAACGTGCTTCGGTTACAGATGATGATCCTTGAAAACATGTTACTTACGTTAAATATTATTAGTTTTTAAAAAATATTATTTACAATCTTTTTGCCAATCTCCATTTCCTTTTACAACTTTCTATATTCGATATTGTTTTTTTCTAAAATTCTCTGCTTTCCAACGATATATTATACGTATATCTTCGGACTAGTATTTCCAGATATTCATTTTTTATTTTTTTCTCCTTTATTAAATTATCAAATTCTTTCAAAAGTTATATTTAGCATTTTTTCATAACTTTTAATAATGAGAGATAATTGATTATTTAAAATAAACCATATTAAAGGTACTTTAGAGGAAGATGCATATGAACATTGGGCATTTAAGCCCTGTAAAGTGTATCAACGGGGATAAGACCTAAATGATATTAAAGACCACTTAATTATACAATCCTACACTGAGTTTAATCAAAATCGTTAGAGCCATTTTTGAGAAAATTTTAAAAATATGTTTCAGCGTTCATATAAAGTGGCACTTCCGGTAAGCCGATTTTAACGAAAAAGTTACTGTCACATGCGGCCCATATACAAACATTAAATACTTAATATCAGTTTCGTACTACTTTTCGTTTATGAGCTGACTGTTAACACACACACACATACACATACATACACACACACACACACACACACACACACACACACACACATACATACACACACACACACGCGCACACACACACACACACAGACCATTTTGCGACACTTGGGTATTTGGACTTAGGCGACCTCAAAACACATATTTCTGTTGAAAACTGAGATTCAAAAATTTTCACGATCGCAGTACTTACACTTACTATATATTTCATATATACGTAAGTGAAAGTAAAAAAGGATATTGAATAAATAATTAATTTGAAATTATTATAAATCATTATACCAAATACATATATTATAGTGAACAGCAGAGCTCTGTTACTGAAGTAGTATTTTCCAAATTTAATTTATTAAAATGGTGATGGTGGGAGAAAAATAATGAGAACTATACAGAATTTTTGAAAATTTAATTAAATAAATTACTTGATCATATAATTTTTTATAGAGTTTTTTTTGTTTGTTTTACATTTGAATCGTAAGTATGGCAAAATTCTAGATTCTAATTAATTATAACAAAAATAAAATAAATAAATTAAAAAAAAATTGGGTTGATAACGCTACTTATATGACACATATATGTAAATGAAAGGAAAACTTACCTCCTCAACTTTAGCATCTAAAGTAGAGGTGGTCATGGTTGGAGGTGGTGTTTCAGGCACTGGTACAGACATTAACAACGAAAGGCAATCCTTCAACCGTTGTTCTAAAATAGTATTTATAATTAATTATTAATTAGGGAAAGAGATGAAAAACAGTTTATTGTATCTAACTTGTCATATAATCAGATTTAGAATAATAAAAGATAATACATAAAAGAATAAATTAGTACCAAGCAGTATCTCAGGGGTAGTATTATAACTTGCGATGGGAGTTCAATCCAGTAAATGGATGTAGTCCACTATTAGTGAGTTCTTCAAGTCTGTTATCAGTGTTAAGGTTATACTGTTTTATCAACAAATATTGAATTTATTTTATGGATACTTCTTAAATAGTTTAATGCTATTTAAAATAGGGAGGAACGGGTTCTCTTCTCCCTGAACCCACCACCACAAAAATTTACATAAATATAAATCGAGGTATTGTCTGGCAGTTCCTCTACGTTTTTTATTTCTCCACTTAGCTGAGCCCCATAATCGTTCTGTTTTGAGTATGAACCTCAGTTGATGGATCAACAAAATTATACCGGTGATTCACCTGAAAATGATTATAGTTTGCTTCATTCAGTTTTTGGGTGTTGTATCCTTTCCAGCAGTCTGAATAAATGGTGCTTCCTCTTGTACATTGTTTTAATAAAGTTGTTGTCTTTCTGTTGTTTATTTTGACGATAAAACACTCATCCGTTTCTCGGAAAACTCTGCCAAACATCCATTGCTCAGGTAGAACTCTCCCTACATGATTGTTTCTTTTAGAAAAAAGACTCTTGTTTACTTTAACGATTGTATAACATGTTATGGGCACAAACCTCTCTTAAAAATTTGTTCCACGTTACCATAGTTGGCTGGGATAGTTTCAGCTACTCTTTGCCCCACTGTATTGTTGTTCAATTATGGGACCATAATTTGACGAAAATCACATTAATGGAACTAAAATAAACGGAATAACTCACAGTTTACACACGGAACAAAAATAAACAATGGAGTAACTCACATCTTACACGAGATAAGAAGGGAGATTATATGATGTGACATTAGATAACAAGGAAGGTTTCGTCCCGACCGGCTATTTAAGAAGTACCATTTTATGTATAGTTTAGTGAAGAGACTGTAGACTATATGGTTGGACTACATACTATAATTATAGACTAAATACTATAATTATATTTGTGGGTTGATGGTAGACTGTAGAGAATAATGAAGAGAAGAATAGTTGGGATGATCAGTCAAAACAAATAATAATATTTATTTTAACATTTTCCGACGTTTCGATCCGAAGTTCAGGCCTTCATCAGGGCTGATCGAATAAATCACTATGGATAGAATCACAACGGATTTTTTTAAACAATGTATACCCAAGATAATTTATTTTAACAACTATAATGCATGAATGTATTAAAATCTTATAACTGCAGGCTTGGTCTTCTTAATCTTCAGTGGAGTGGACTTCCCTCATGACGTCACGTCATTCCATCTTCACTTCCTAGCCTCAAGTGTCCTTCCCTAGTTCTTCTCCCTCACAGTGTCCCTCTCCAGCTGCTGCTACCTGCTGGATGATTTTTCAGGCTTCTTCATTTATTTGTTCTTCTGTACTTTTTGCATAAATTGTTTATACATTTGACACTTTTCATTCAACAACTTGTCCACTACACAATTGAATCCAATTCATAGTACATCCATTTCCTATACACTCTTTCTCATTCTCTCACTCAATGTAACATAAAGGAGCAAATAAAGGTCTCTACTACAGTTATTATTTATTAATTACTTGACATTAACCAGATTTGAACCCGAGACCGTAACCTTAACAGCCCAATGGTCTGACTCACTGAGCTACTCCTCTCCCAAACAACATATCCTTTTACAATAGTTTTTAAAATAATTTTAGTTGTTATTATCTTATCTTTTCTCAGCCCTAATTAAGGCCTGCAACTTAGGCTGAAACATTGGTACAAAATAAAATAAAAATCATTTAATTTTATTTGTGTTTATCTCTGAGATTAACCCAAACAACTTCCCAACCATATGTATACTACGAAATGCCGTAAGTAATTGTATTCATGTTTTATAAAACATAAAGTTATTATATGTATGGTGGTTAATAAAAAAATTATATAAATACTATGTTGATAATAACAGTAAGAAAGATGAATTATTAATACCTGCAATAGAAAAATGTACAGCTGTCAACCGACCACTGACTTTTAATTTCGGCAAACGGGCATCGTCTGTGATAACACATTTTCCTAGATTAATTGTCAATGATGTTGGTTTCAGAAAATACATATCTCTAGTTGGAACATTCCATTTTTCATCTGGCATTGCTAACACTACCTATAAGTAAAAATAAGAATTTATTTATTTTTTCAAATTGTTAGCTTACAAAAAAACTATTACACTAATAGTCCATCTAAAATTTTTAGTAAATATTTTTTTATATGAATTTAGCTTTTGTTTTTTTTACAAGTTTTATTATTTTTTTTCTTCTATCCTTACGCATTCATTTATATTTTACTCTTATCACCCACCTTTTTTGGGGAGTTCAGAAAATTTTTCTGAAGAAAAAACTGTGTTTCAATTGTGAAAGACCCTTCACCCCAACAATAATGCTCATAGTGCAAATAATAAGTCATTTTTAATAAAATTAAAAAATAAATATATACATATTAAACTGTAAGCAAGAACTAATTACCTGTAAATCTGACAACTGAAGAACAAAATTGTCATAGCTGTACTCCATTAGATATTCAGCTGATTGTATATCTGTTTCGCGGACAGCTTCCTTAGCAATGAATTCTTTTCTAGGAAGGGTCAAAATCTTTATATTACCTAATGTCACAGCGAGCATGCGGCATCCTCTGTAAGATAAATATGTTTATTAATAAATGATAAATCAGATGTGAAATGAGTTTTCTAAGAGAAACAACTCATGCTATAAATGTTGTAGTAATCTCCTGTCCATGTGATTTACTAAATCTCACATTTTTTAAATTTTACCATGTAATCAAAGAAACTTTCGTGGGCCGTAGTTTGGAGACTCCTGTTCAAGTCTATCATTTAGCATACAATTAAAATATCATAATTATAAAAAAAAGAGATAGTTACACGATTCACTTTTATGTCATGTTATTTTTGATTTTTTTCCTCTCAGGCCTCCCATCTCCATGTCATATTTGAACAAAATACTTGGTGTCAGATGAAAGATGAAAAACCAAACCAGGTAGCATTTGGTTACAAAATATGATACTTGTGAATGACATGGTCTCTGGTAAAACACTCCCTTCTTATCTTATCTGACGTCACCTTCTTATCTTATGTTACGTCACATAACCTGCCCTTTTATCTAGTGTAAGCTGTTGCATGTGCGTTTATTGATCGAACTTTGTTGATTGTGTATTATTGAAATGGATGTTGTTATATTGTGGGAGTTGCCGTCTTCAGAAGATGAGGCTACCAAATATTTTCAAGACGCCGGGATAATCGCGATCGGGATAATCGGGAAGGTGAAATATTGTGATGAAGGTTATGAAATGAAGAAGACAAAATTAAGATGCTTTCATAAGAGTTGTAAGAAAAACCTATCTATAAGGAAAGGGACTTGGTTAGAGGGGTCGAAGATTAACTTTTCTACTGCTTTAAAATTAATTTATGGGTGGTCTCATAATTAGACACCAATACGGTGGGGCAAAGAAATGTTATTGAAATTTATATTTCTTATTATTAAATTACAATATTATTATTATATTTATATTTTTTATTATGGGTGATAAATATTCAGGACGCAATCTTTTAAATTTTTTATTTGTTCCAACGTTTCAACCCAAACATGTGGGTCATCTACAGGGCATGGTTTGAGCACTGAATGCTTTCAAGTACTTGAAATGACTATGAGTACTTGAATGATGACCCACATGTTTGGGTTGAAACGTTGGCACAAATAAAAAATTTTTTTTTAAAGGCTGCGTCCTGAATATTAATCACCCATGATATGTAGAACAGTCGACTAGCTTCCTTCAATAATCTATATTTCTTTAACTTTCTATATTGGGCTATTTCACTCCATTTATCTGCACGCACCTCTATTGCCTCTTTGTTGATACTATCTATCCATCTGCTTTTTGGCCTTCCACTTGGTCTTTTTCCTTCTATTGAAGCATTGGTTGTTATGTAGAGGCTTCCAGATGGATTGCTACGAGCTACATGCCCCGCCCATCTTAACCTCCCTGCCTTCATATCATGAGATATTGATTGACCAGTTTCTGTAAGCAGTTTTTTATTGGTCTTTCTTCACAATGTGTTAGTACTCTGATCCCTGATCGCTCCGGTTATCATGCGGAGGATTTTTCTCTCAAATCTTTCAACACTTTTTTCTCGGGTGCAGGTTAGTGTCCAGGTCTCCAATTCCAATTCTAACACAAATATATTCTGTCATGCTAAGCCAAATTTCCTCTTTACCTAAGAGATATGACTTAATATTTGAACGATTCCTAAATTAGAATACATAAATTGGACAGTCAAGGCATATATAGAGTAGAATTAAGACAGAAAAAAAGGTTTAAAAAAATACAATTACTATTGTATATGTTATTTAAAATCCATAATAATAGACTCACTCGACGTAGAATCCCTTCTGAGGTAAAAGAACAGAGGATGCTTGTATGATGATACGGACCTCGATGGTAACGTGATGCTCCAGCATGTTCTGCAAACCTAGCGCTGATACTTCTTTAAATTCTTGCAATTTCGCTTGAGCTGCAGCTTGAATTCTATAAAAGCATGATTATAAAAAATTTATGTCTCTTTTCAGAAAAATACAAGATAATAGAGGTATTCTTGCAAGCTGTGGTAAGCACTCTACACCTCTTAAATGTATTAATATAGAAAAATGTATTTGTTAATCACACTAAATTTTAAAATAGTCTGAGGCTGTGATTGGCAAACTCATTAGTCAAAAGAGCTAAATATCGACATTATAACGAGTGAAATTTGTTTTAAGAGTCAATTTTTAATAATGTTAAACTGTATGGTTAGATGTATTGTTATTACTTAATTTGGATACTCCTAATTTCTGCAATAAGAGTTCTCAATCTTACTGAGCTGCGTTCCCTCAGGTCAACCACTCGCTACTCTCCCACCATCTGTACTCATCTTTAATACTTACATCAATATCATTATTTTTCTTCTGTTCATTATTCCTAGAATTGGTGTCTTGAGGTTTTATTTGTTATATAAATTAGACCATTATTCACCAACATTTTATTTATTAGCTATTTTATTAAGACAACATTTCGACCATCACTAGGGCCATTTTCAAGTCTTATTGAGTCCTCCATTAAATATCTATTATTAAGTGTCATATTAATTTTACAGAGAAAATTAAGTTGTCCTGAAAGTCCTTCCAGAAATGACATAGGGGAAGCTCTTAAATATCAGGACAACTTATTTTTCTCTGAAAAATTAATACGACACTTAATAATGGATATTTAATGGAGGACGCAAGAATTGAAAATGGCCCTAGTGATGGTTGAAACATTGTCATAATAAAATAGTTAATAAATAAAATGTTGGTGAATAATGGCCTAATTTATATAACAAATAAAACCATTATTTATTTTTTTCTTTCTCGATAACCCTACCTCGCCATTTCTGACATAAGGGGAGTTTCTAGAGGTAGCCTAACAAAATCTATTCTAACTAGAGTGGGAAGGTCAACATTCATTCCGTGGGTACGCCATGAAATAAATTTTAACCCGCTCAGGCCAGATTCGAATCGGTGTCATTAAACTTGAGAATGTTAAAGGATACGCCATCACAACCTCATATCAATACCATCTCAACATATATTTTTTTAAACATTGTGTGCGAATAATAATTTACAGATACATAACAGCAAAATACATTTCAAAATTACTATGTATATAGAATGATAATTAATAACTCATGCTAATAGTTTAACGCCATAACACATTGAGCCTTTATTACAAGTTACTCAAATACTCCTGATATCTATTATAAAAATATTTAATATTAATTTTAAAATACTTAATGAAAGTAAAGATATACTTACTTAGAAGTAACAGTATTTTCCTGAACAGTAAACAGCTTTATAAGGTTATTTATTGTCAAGGCATCGTATATGACAAGGAGAGGCTCAGCGAAAACGTGGATTTTTTGGTCAACACTTTTACTATCTAAGGGATTAGTTTCGAACAAAACCTAGAAAATAACAATAAATGAATACATTTAAAAATAAAACATACACACACAAAAAGGAAAAATAAAATACAGTGGACCCTCATTATAATGTGAACATATATATACATGGTCTAAGTTTGGCCCATACCTATGAAATAAATAATAAAATTTTTTTAATCCACAAAAAGTAGGAAAAAATAATATAATGCAGTGCATCCAATAACTATCCTACGTTTAGTAGAAATTAATTTTATAGTAACTTAATAGTAAAGTATGACAGATTAGCGCACTATTTATTTTTGCTGAAAATAAATTTTAAAGTTTATTTCTTATTTCTAAAGGTGATAAATACCATTTAGTTTCCATGGAAACATTTATTTTCCTTCAATGACATACAACAATAATAAACGTAAATCTAATTAATAACAACAATTAAAATCTATTGGATTTTTGTCACTTTGCCTTTTGCAACTTTATAACTGTAATGCATAGTAGTTTCCCTATAACCCCATTATAACATTCTGTTAAAAAGAAATATTTTTATGAAACTCGATGAAAAAGGATTTATTGTCATTGATTTTTATTGTATTATTTTACTTCAAAATATTACGAGGGGAAAACGATATTCTTGACTCCTCTTTATTTTTATTGGAGGGGTGGAGAGGTGATCACGCCCTCGCACCTCCCAAAATGGGTAGTGGAATAGGAGTTGCATAAAGGAATTTGTGGATGTGATTTAATGTATGGAGATGAATAAGGAGTTCCAAAAAGGAGGTAATATGAATTACGAAGGATTTGCAGAAGGAAATGGTTTTATGGCAGAGGATACATAGATCTATAGGTTGAGATCTGGTGTTAACAGAGTGGACAGAGGAACGTAGACTAACTTAAACATGATTTCCTGTCAATATTTAAGAGAAGAAGAAACATCAAATTGGTTCTGCAATCAAATCGATTGAAAGGAGTCCATTTTCATTGAGTTTTGTAAAAGTATTTCTTTTTGATGGGACATTCAACTGGAGTTAGAGCAATGACTATAATGCTTACCACCAAATATTTAGCTTTCCAATGGTACATAATACATCTATATTACTAACCAAATTTCTAGAAATTTGTTTTTAATTTGGAAAACATTCCTCTCCTTTTTCCTACAGATAAATATATAATTCTTTTATAGTTGATACTTATCTATTTAGCATTAAGTACTATTGGGAATGAAAAACCTTTAATTATTTTAAAAAACTAAATTTTCATTTTTTACCGACCTGTGTTATATTGAGGGCTCACTGTAATCTGTCTTACCTTTATCAAAGGATGTTCTTTAGAAACCGTTGTTTTGGTGGTAAGCAGAACTGGTATCGTACCATTCTGGTCGAGACCTTTGATTTGGAATTTCTCTATTGAAACATGTACCCTAAAAATAATAAAATTAGTTAAATATTAATTAATAATTCTTATATCATTTGATTATTAAATATCATCAGTGCTTGCATTAATTTTTTGAGATTCTAAAAAAAAAAGTTTGATATTAATATTTAGATTTCTCTGGAAGAAATACTATAGTGACATTAAAATAAATCTAGAAAATCCTTAAGAAAAAATATCTCAATGTGAAGCTAGAAAATGTTACAAGTATAACAGTCCCTTAAGGCACGAAATGTGAAATTGATGAAATAAAATATACAGAATTGATTTAATTTAAACGATGAGAGAATTTCACTCTAAAATGTGGTATTTCGAAGTCACCTCTTGTATTTTGAGCCTGAAGCTGAAAAATAGATTTCACTCTAAGGTTTGGAAAAAAAGATTTGTCACATATGGCTGTTCTGGTAAGACAGTTCATTAAAAAATATTGGGAAAGTATACAAGCAAAAGTAGTACATATTAATACCTTACTTTCCTTTAACTAAGAATTTGATTGAAGGATTCATTTTTGATACATTGACAAATCATAATATGTTTGCACAACTATAAGTAGAAGTAATGGATGGAATTTCATATTTATTTATTTGTGCCTTTCAGTTGACAGAATGACTAACCCCAATTTTAACATTTTTGAGTAATGCCATTTTAGTGATATTTCTAGTTGGAAAATTTATAATAACTGTACAGACAGTGAGTGAGTTGCTTCCAGAGTAGGTGATTGCAATGTTGAAATATATAACTGTGAATAAAGTTATAAACTTTCCCATTAGAAATATCACTAAAATTAATAATAAAAAATGTTGAAATTGGAGTTAGTCACTCTGTCAACTGAAAGGCTCACTTATTTCCGTCCTCCCTAGTCTCTCAGCAACATGGATTTTAAGAATTATTCTCAGATTCATCACTCTTCTGATTCATTCGAAAATGTTGAAATGATCAGCCCTTCTACTAGTATACGAAAGCTTCGTAAGTATGGGTAGTTATCCCTGCTTTCTAGCTGAGGGAAATCATCCTCCGTGATGATGTAGAATCCACTTTCCCTCAGTAGTTTGGCCCTTATTGTCTCAAAAGCAATGCAGATCATGATGAAATGCTCAGGAGTTTCTGGAATACCACAACAGGAACGCAAGGATTAATTTCCTTCCCTAAGGCATGAAGCTAGCACGAAACCCTCCATCCGCAGGACCCAGATTATTGAGTGTCACGATGGAATTTCATCATGGAGCCATATAATGAAATTATGGAATTTCATCATGGAACCATACAATGAAATGATGGAATTTCATATGGTACATCTAGGTATCAATGTGCATTATCCCTGAACAAAATACAAACAGTTGAGCAGAAATGCTTATACAGGATGTCCCCACAAGTATAGGGAAATATTTTTATTTTTATATAGCAGACATCAAGATTATTGAAAGAAGTTAGTCGACTGTTCTACATATCATGGGTCATAAATAATCAGGACGCAGTCTTTTTTTTTTTAAATTTACTGAAAAAAGTACTGAGGGAGTACTTGAACACCCTTAGTGCTCAAACCACGCCCTGAAGATGACACACATGTTTGGGTGGAAACGTTGGAATAAATAAAAAATTAAATTTTTTTTTAAGAAAAGACTACGTCTGGATTACTTATCACCCAGACATCAAGATCTACAAAATATAAACAACTGCTCAATTTCCAGCAGTTAAGTAGGAAATTTAAGATTTGTGTTTTGTATTTTTAAGCAAGTCACCTTTTTTTGTTGAATAGGAAACGATAACTTAAAAATATTTGATTAAAGTAATTAAACATTGCTCCATAGTAACCTAGACAAAATTTACTTTAAATGAAAGTAGAGTTTGCTATTGTTAAAACTATTTAAAGAGGACTTTTGAGCGGACAAACAAAGCTAAGTTCCATTTAAAAAAAAGACAAATTATTAATGATTTTTTTTAATCATCATACTGTACTACATTTGCCCCACTTATAGAAAAAATTCCTCATTTAATAAGCTTTGATTCCATATTAATTAAGTTGAGGTTCATTAGGAAAAATTTTGAGATTCACCTCAAGTTGTGTAAAGAAATGATGTGATTTTTTATGCAGTCACCTAAAAATACCTTTGCTTTCTGAAAAAATCACAACAATTAACTGTTGCAAAGATTTAATTTCTTGTTTTTCCGTGATATTGGATGTATTTTAATAAACATAATTGTCTAAAAACACATTTTATTTTTTAAAACAAAACATTTAAAAATGATGATTTTTCATGTAATGTGTTTATGAATTTTGTGTTCTTCTCTCAGATTTCCGTCATGAGAACTGATAAGTATTTATCAGTGAGAAACTAAATGTTCCTAACTAAAATTTATGTTTAAAATAAAGCAACCTACTGCTTTAATTATTTCCATGAAAATGCGAATATTAGGGCAAATTCATAAACTCAAAATTTTTCCTAACAAACCTCAACTTAATTAATATTGACTTAAAGCTAATTAAATGAAGAAGTTGTTTCTAAAAGTGAAGTCAATGTAGTACAGTTGAAAAAGATTAAAAAATAAAATAATAATTTATGACTTTTTTAAAACGGAACTTAGCTGTGTTTGTCAATAGTCCTCTTTAAATAGTTTCAACGATGACAAACTCTACTTTTGTTTAAATTAAATTTTGTCTAGTTTACTATGAAGCAACGTTTAATTATTAAAATCGCATATTTTTTAAGTTATCACTTCCTACTCAACAAAAAACGTGACTCGCATAAAAAAACAGAAATCTTAAATTTCCTACTTTTCTGTTGGAAATTGTGCAATTATTTATATTAACTTATTTGTAGATCTTGATGTCTAATATCAACCTTTTAAATATTTCCCTCTACTTACAGGATACTCTGTATACGTTGAAAGTTCTCAACTAATTACTTATATGTTTATGATATGCTTATACACATCATCTGATTACCCCTTCACACCTAAGAAGTTTTAACAAAATATAAGACAATTACTTAAAATAGACTATATTATTTTGACTTTCGACTAGTTGGCATCCCTAAAGATAACTCATCAGGCACTAATTTGACAGTACTATTGTGTTTTTCCCTATCCCACCGAATTTATTCCCTATGGTGCCTATCACATGGAATTGATTACAGATAAGACACGGAACCCAAATTGTTTCTTGATGTAACCAATACTTAAATGTAAGCAGACATTTTCAATTCTTAGCACAAAAACTATTTTAACTAGTTGCAATATATTATGTATAAAAATTCATTAAAACAAAAATATAAACAATATAAAATAGAATAACATACGTCAACGATTTACTGGCAGGCCTCTGCTGGACTGAAGTTACCCCTTCCGTCAACAAAATTGTCATCAAGTTAATTTTGTGTTCATCAATTAATTTGATTTCAATTTTGTGGATGATCGCAGATAAGTCAAATTCGACAAAGACTTCTGGATAATCAGTCGGAGTTTCACCTTCAGAGTAGCCTATGGCTTTGTACATGTCATCTCTCTCTTCTTGCGTTAAGACTTCTTGCATCTTTGTTATAGAAACTGAAACAGCGCATTAAACAAGCCTTGGGAATACATAAGTCCTTAAAAATATATATATATATTTCAAATTATATAAATATACCGGGTGTATAAATATGAAACTTGAATTTTCGTTTAGAAAAATAAACATTTATTGCATAAAAATATTTTCCATCTCTAGCCATACATTTTCCCCATCTATCAGAGGATTTATAATACCATGCCAAAAAAACTGTTAGTCTTTTATGGCGAACAGGTCATCAAACTATTTTCGAACATTTTCATGAGAAATGAAGAATGGCTGAGGCAAGACTGTGTTCCATCAATGTAAATAAATAGTAGTCGGGCAGAGCCAAGTCTAGTGAGTAGGCCAGATGCAGATCTTTTACTTGTTTTGTTGTGTGGAATGGGTTATAACAATAATTATCATTATAATCATGAAGCCAAATCACTGTTGTCTCTTTTGAATTTCTGATCGTTTTTCACAAAATAGTCAATTCAGATTGATCATATGTAATTGAAAGTGTTCAATATTAACGGTTTTACCAGCCAATAATAGATCATACCCATGTTTTACATTCTTTTTCATATCAAAATCGCCACTTTTGATTTTTTTAAACTACGCAAAGTACTGTGGTATATCAAAAGGGTGCTATCCTTAAGCTTTGACAGGCATCTGATCCGATTCTGTAGCAATTTTCTCTAAATGGTAAAATAAAACAAATGATGTCCGCGAATCATAGTCTAAAGGCACAAAACTTGACATGTTTAACACCACCAAAACAATGCTGTTATAAAAAATTTGTATTATTAGTTGAAAAGCTTTACCCGCTGTTGAAGAAACAAAATGGCACTAATAATGTGTTTTAACAGTAATTATTGGGTTGGCAAATAAGTCCTTTCGGTTCATCTGTTTATTTTTATGTTATTATGATACACTTCTTATGTGATGAATTAATTCCTAAGGTGGATTGTTTATCCTGTTTGTAATATGTCAACAACTATATCTGTTAACTCTTGTTGAAACTAGCTTAGTATTGTGTTTGATATTGCACTGTGTATATGAAAGAAAATATCATTCATTATCAGCATATTTTGATGTATTATTTTAATAAAGGTAAGCGTGCTGCAGAAGCTCATAGAAAAAATTGCATTATTTATGAGGATGATGCCTTAACCAAACGCACCTGTCAAATTTGATTTGCCAAATTTCATTCAGGAAATTTTGACATCAATGATGCTCAACGGTCTGATCACCCACATGAAATTGAAACGAGCAATGCTAAGGCCATTGTTGATCAAAATCCCACCCAATCAGTGCGAGAGAATGCTATGGCCCTATAAATGTGTCGCGTACAAGCGCAGAAAACCATTTGCACAAGCCCGGCTATGTTTCCAGGCTTAATGTTTGGGTATCTCACATAGTTTTTTTTTTTCAAAAATCACAAAAAAAATGTTATAACTTCAATGTGACTTTAGCTATTTACAAGAAATTTAGGGCCACATAAACTACACAAAATGACCTTCTTAAACAGACTACAAACGGAGATAAAAAATAAAAACCTATGAGTTTTTGTTTATTTATTCCTTATGTAGGCATTAAATCAAAAAACCATTCATACGGCTTTAAGAGCAATAATTCACCTTTCCGACGGATATAGTAACATCGAATTTGGAGAACATCCTGAAGAGTTATGAATGATTGGAAGGGTGTTGTGTTCCACCAAGACAACGCTTGGCACCACACCTTATTGGTCACACGCAATAAAATATTGAGTCTTTGATGGGACCTTTTGCCCCATCCTCCCTATTCACCAGATCTAGCTCCAAGTAACTACCACTTATTCCGGTCTCTGCAGAACTCCATGAATGGAAAGAAATTCCAAAAGGAACAGGACATAAAAAATCACTTGGATCAGTTTTTTCATAATAAACTGCAGTCATTCTATGAACAACGCATTTTGCAGTTAGTGGAAAGATGAGAAAAGGTCATATTAAATAATGGTCAATATATTGTAGATTAAAATAAGTTTTATGTCTATAATATATTGAGTATTATTTCATAATGGAAAAACAAAAGGAAATTTGCCAACCCAATGCATTAACAACTAGAGCTATCTATGGATGAATCCGGTTTCACATTTACACATGTAGTATCTAAACTGGGAGATCAAAGGATATAGTTCATTGCAAAAAATCAATAAGTATATTTTAGATGGAATTGAACTTTTAAGTACATATTTGTGAACGTTGATTATATCTATAAATGCAAAAACTTTTTAATTTCATTAAAATAATACAAACCCTATTATATGTCAAAAATAGTTACAGTAAGGGCAAAATATTGTGATTTCACAAAAGGGAAATTCAACAAACAATTTAGAGATACGTATATTATATAGTTTACTGTTAAATGAAATTAAATTGTAAAGATGAAAAATAGTCAGAATATGCAGTTAAAAAATTATGTTTATTGAGTTTTCCAATGTTCCGACCCACATGTTTGTGACGAAATGTATCAGCAAATTTGTGCTTGAATATTTCTTCAGAAATGTTTTTAAATGAATATCATGAACTTCGTTTTTTTCTTTGTTTACAACCAGACTTAAAACATTTTTCTATAACTTGTAATTTTATAAATGATTCATGAACGCAATCGAAAGATAGACCTGTTCAATCGATGACATATGTGAACATGATCGATTATCATTCAGAGGTGGCATCGCTTTATAATCACCATTATTATTTTTTAAAAAAATAAATTTTACAATTTAAAAGTAATTGTTAAGAAATTTACCAGTTAGTGAATCACCTGATTCCATTTCTGGAGACTTTTCGCCTCCACCGAAAAAGAACCTGGAAAAGAAACCTCCAGCCTTCTTAGCCTCTGCAACAGAAGCAACATTTTGAAGAGCAACCTAAAATACAATTCAAAGGCATTATAAAAACAAATCAAAATATATATATTTTTTTAAAAGCTTTTTTCATGCAAGATAAGAAGAGTCTTGGTTAGAGCAGATAATCCAGTCATACATCACATATTCCTTCTTTTTTTTAAATCTCTCAGACACCAGTTGATGGGTGTTGAGAGGAGACCAAATATTTATAAATTGGCATACGGTAGATCACTGATTATCCAGATACTTGTCCAGATTATAAAGTAGACAAAATAGGTAATTGAAAGTACAAATAAATGAAAAGATATTTCTTGGACAGAAGTATGGAAACTGGAAACACTATTATACACTAAAATGTATAAGATACTCAACAGTATTAAGTTGGCACTGATAGACAACAATATGGATCATAATTGATGGCAAGTTTGATTGGCATCTGGATAATCAATGCTCTTCTTTATTTAGTTTTCCTTCTTTTTTAAATGAATACTCCAAATAACAATCAAAATAAGTATTCAAGCTAATAAAATTGGGTTAAAATTATAATAAAATGTTAGATGCATCATATAAATTTTTACTTCTATAGAGAGTACAATCAGTGTGAAATGAGATAATTTTTTTTATTTAAATACATTAATATCTCAATAATAGTAATTTGTTATTAGCTAGGAAATTATTGAATGTAGTTTTAATTTAAGAAGTTAGTCGGGGGATGCGGTCAACAGTCGCATGCATTATATGCAGTAATATATAATATAAGTAGTTCTCCTAGCTTTCTTCCTCTTTTAAGTCATCCAATCCCCTCCCCTCCTTCATACATCCTTTGAGTTAATTCAATTTAAATCCTCTGCCCGCTCCTACAAAACCCGTTCCTGGTCTTCAGATTTGTATACAAGGACTCACCGAACAGCTGCTTTCGACAGATCTTTCATTATACAATCCTCCCTGCATCCGACACTCTAATACCCTCCCCACCTTTAAGTCTCGCCTATTCAATCAACTCCTATCCATTCAGTCCCCATATAATAGTAAATAGATGTAAATATGTATATAAATTATTAGCTCATTTTTAACATTTTTTATTCAGCCAGTTCCTTTTTAAACACCTTGGTATTTTCTTACCAAACATATTTTTTATTAATTTTTTTTTTCTCACATATGTGTGGCTGTTGAATACTCCCCAGACTAACTTCTCCTTAAATAACCAATAGAGCTTTTACTAAATGATTTAAAATTATAAGATAATTTTATATTTAGTTACCTCTCTTTCGGATTTCTGCCTTGCTAAGACGATATTGAGAACATTGAGTTCATTCTCGTACTGTTTACAAATGGCTTCTGCTGCCTTGCTTTGAGTTTTTAATTTATTAGCATAAGCTTTTACATATTCACGGAATTTATCCCGATGCATTTTTATATGATTCCAATCCCAATTTTTCTTTTTTCTATTAATATCATCCGTCACACATTTATAAGCGAATTGCCACCTTAAAATTATAAAAAAATAAATAAATAAAAACTGTAATAAATAATTCTGAAAGAGATAAGGCATAACAAATTGATTGGTACTGTGATATGAAGAAGTTTTACATTCATAAAAATGGCACTGGCTAAACTAAACATCATAACATTTAAAATAAGTAATTAATGTTAAATTAACATCTACATAGCAATATAACAATTATAGGAGAAAAAAATATATAAATTTTATTTTGGTTAATTAGAGATAGTTTCCCTTAAAACTACCAAATCAACTGAAGATGACTTAGCAGCCAAAATGTCACAACAAAAAAGTTTGAAGTGTTTTTCTAGTCTCAAGAAATCCTAATAAATTATGTCACTTCACCAAAAGATTTTTTTTGGATTGTTTTTTGGTGAAAAAATATACCACAATTTATTAATATGATTATTTAATTGGTAGTCAGCAAAGGATACCAAACAAAATAATACAAGTTTAAACTTAAATGGTTTTTTAAGTGAAAACTTCTTTTGCACTTTTTTGTGAAGAGTGACTTAGGTTGAGCCGTCAGATTTATTAAGTGTAATGCTCGGGTAAAGTCAGATGGAATAGACTAAGTTAAGTGTTTAGCATATGGATTAAAATATCTCAAAAACTAAAAAAATCGGACCAGCATATTGTTAGCGAGGGAAATGTTCATCATTTCATCCTCTTTGTAATGAGTTATTATTCAAGATTGTATCTTGAAGTGATTCTGTACTAGAGAAGCAAAAACAGAAAAATATAGTGTCAAAAACCAAATCATAACAATTCCATACTAAATATTGACATATTATTATTATATCTTTGTTATTCTAACTTTTGCGGATTCAAGTCAAACTACCTGTAGTTATACATTTTTTTTAGATATTTAAGAATTTTCAAGTAATTCTGGCTGTATCCTAGAGAACTGCTTGCTGAGCCTTTCTTAACACATTGAGGGGTAATAATTAATATTATTATTATGGCGCTACAGTCCTGCAAGAATACTCCATTACAGCTAACTAATCTCCACGGTCTTGTGCTATTTCCCTCCATCTTTGAATGTCCAGCCGCCTCAGATCGTCCTCCACATCCCTCAGCCATCAGATCTGAGGGGCCCTTTCTACTTCTTTTGCCATCTGGCTTTTGCCATCCTCTTTGGCATTCTTTCCATATGACCTAAACATCCGATTCTGGCTTATTTTTATCAATACCACAATATCAGATTCACTATAAAATTTCCACAGCTCCTCATTCTTTCTTCTTCTCCGAATTCCATTCTCAAAGATACCACCCCATATTCTTCTCAATACTTTCCTCTCCCAGGGGTTGAGCGTTAGTTCTGAGTTTTTGGTTAAGGTCCGAGTCTCACACCCATACATAACCACTGGCCTTAGCCTTACTATGGTTTTGCAGATGAGGATTTTGATTCTTTTAAAGATTGATCTGAATTTCAAGTCTCTTTGCAGTGAGAAATAGCATCTATTTCCTGCCGATATCCTTGCCTTTATTTGACTCTCTATTTTATTATTGCATGTGACCAGGCTTTCAAGGTACTTGAACTGGTCAACAGACCTAAAGTTGTGATCCCTTAAAGCTGTTTCCATATTCAGTTCCTTTTTCATTTTTGAACTTTATATTCAATATTAAATATGATAAATCATATTAAAATAATGAGAATATATGATCATCACATATTTAAGTTATCAAAAATCTATTGTTTCATTTTTAAAGTATGATACTGACTTAGTATGATCAGTCGGAGCAAAGTTTACTCGTGTAATTCAAACACAATTATAATTGTCTATATTATTATTAATTTTTGAATATAGAAAAAACAAAATTATATTTTGTATTATTGAGTCTGCCTTGTTTTCACTTCTATCATGTGGTCTTAAGCACACACTGTAATTTCTTTTCCTTTTTTAATTAACTAGAGGTCCTAATTTTTTTCTAAAATTCTTATAATATTGCTCATTAATATAAATTTAAATAATAATCTTATATTGGACTCACCAGATTTTTGCATTACCCTTATATGTCATAACATCTGGTCTGAATTTTCTATAAAGGCTCGCTGTTTTCATGAAGCTTAACGTCTCTAAGAATAATATCAAGTCTTGATACTGTTCCTTGGTCATACCTAAATAATTATAATTTTTTTTTTTTAATGAGAAGTTTAGAAACAATGGAAACAATGTTCAAAAAATTAAAGTATAGAACTCACAAATAAGCAATCCCTCCAAATCGAAACTCAGAGAAAATTTTGGGATAGCGAAGTTGGTACCATCCGATTCTGGGTGCATATTTATTCTTAGATTTGATTTTGCGTTAATAGGGCCCAACACTAAAAAAAATACATAAAGAAAAATATATAAAACAGTTTAATAATGAATACATAAGATATTTTACAATTTAAATAACTAAATGAATGACTAGATAGATAACTTTATTTCAAATAAATTTTATATTTTCTTTCCTAGATATTTTCTTCACAGTGTTTAATAGAATGGTTCAGATCCTTGGTTATGCGGATAATGTGGATATTGCTGGTAGATCCCAGGCTGCAGTTCGTGAGACTTCACTTGCACTGGAAGCAACAGCCAGACAACTGTAACTACATGTAAATGCTGCAAAAACCAAGTATATGAACTCCAAGTTTGGTATCTTGGCAGATAATGTGCAGTTTGACTCCTAAGGTTGGCTCTGGGAAAAATTACAGGCTGCATTTCTTTCGTTTCTTCTTCTCCACACCCTTCCAGCGGATCTTGAAGCGCGAATCAGTGGAAGAGCGAATCTTGACTCATCTGTAAAAAGTACAGCACTCCATTCGTCCATAGTCCAATGGCTGTGTTCTCGAGCAAAAGCCAGCCGTGTTACTCTGTGAGTTCTGGTCAACTCTGGTCCTCTTACTGGACGAAAAGCCATTAATCCATACTCATTTAATCTTCTCCGAGCGGTACGTTCAGAAATTTGCACACCTCGAACTTCTTCGAGCTGATGAATCGCTTGAACAACGATAAGGTGCCGGTTTCGTAAAATTCTCAAAGTCAAAAACCGGTCATCCCGTGGTTCTGTTGACCTAGGCTGTCCAGAACCGGGCCTTCTATTGTAGGAACCAGTTTCCTGAAACCGCCTGACGGCATCTCGTAAAGTTTCATATGGAACTCCGATGGCATTAACTGCATATCTAATGGATCCTCAGCACTAAGAGGCATTTTTAAACTTAATATAGAAAAAATTAAAAGCCAGAGACTAAGAAATGTGCTGTAAGAAACGGCACTGAACTAATGATACTGAATAAACATTTTGATTCCATAGAAAGTAAACATTGGAATCTAGAATCATTTCATTGAATTAGGGATTAAGGGTTATTGTCCTCTATATTAACATTCCTAATTGAAAACAAACAAAAAGATTACCTATTTATTCATTAAAAACAATAGACCAATCCGAAGCAAAAATATTTTTAGATGAAAACATGAAAAAATCAAGTGGGTAGTATTTTTTGCGTCAGTGTATATAAAACATATGTCGTAAATAATATTTAATAAATACATTAACAAAAAATAAACAATGTCTTAAATAGGTTTGATAACTAAAGCACTTACAATAACGATACTCTGGGGGTACATTCGATAGGGATCCAACGCCTTCCCTGAATTTTTGTTCCATTTCTTTTTTCTTATTTAAACTTGTCAGCTGAAATAATATGTCATTCGAATTCCAATAGAAGCAAAGCCAGCTGATCGTGAGTTCCTAAAAGATATGTAAATTATTACAGAGAATAAAATTAAGATGAAGAAAAACGTCTATTTATGAGAGCAAATATTTCATCACAAACATTTTATCAAATGAAAAATGGCAGGGTACATGTTTAAATCAATCCATGATCTACCTTCTGGTTTTATTACAGAAAGAAATTTACCTTGAAAACTAGGTTGAGTGGATCACGTACTGTTTCACCCCACGGAGGAACAGTTTTCACTTCTAGCGAACTGAGGGTGATTCCGAAAGAAAAGTTTTGTCCCGCATGACTGATCCTGGAAAAAATATAAATAATAAAATAAATGTTTCATTTTATCTATAAGTTAAAAAATGTATGCATGAAAAATTTTATTACAACAGAACTATTTACATAAATATGAAAAAAAAATCGATCAACTAAGCATGCATTATTAGTTTTAACCATGATGACAGTTCATATATTAAAAGGGTATGGAATTCACATATAATTATAATAAAAATTTCTCAAAACCCTTGTCTTTTGAAATTCTATGGTCTTAGTATTACATTCTTCTTCTTTCTTGGCACTTTTTTTTTTTTTTTTTTTTGTTCTTCCCTACCTCGCCTTTTAGGCTATATGGGATTTTCCAGGGGTTAGGGCGGGGAATTTAAAATCCCCTCCGGCACCAGGACACGAACTCGTACTTTTTAAATCTTCTCAAATCTGTAATCCGGTTTCCAGGCAACTCGCGGTGCTGTGCTTTAGCCCATTCGGCCACCCCACCCCCTTCTTTCTTGGCACTGCAACTTTTATAGAGCCAGGGCCTACTGCAATTTAGATCCCTTATTGTTTGACACACCATCCATCCATTGCAACCGTGGTCTTCCCACTCTTCTGGTAGCATAGATTTTTTCATCGAGTATCTTTCGAGTTACAGTAGACTCCCACTTAATTACTGGCTCTCCGAATTAACCGGCTATAATGGTAAAAAAACAAAACAAATTTTTTAACATCCTCTTATAACTGAAAGCACTTATAACTTTGTGAGATTTTCAACCACTGGTTATAAATTTAATTTTTGCTCTGTTGCAGTTCAATAAGAGTTTAAATAGATTGAAATGTAGACAAAAAGGTTTCTGTTTATTACTTTTTTTACAATTGACCGAACCTTAATAAAACAAATCTATTTGAAGTAAAATTGATTCTTGAAACAAAATCCTTATTCTCCATTTATTTCATAGAAAAATGAAAAAGTAATGAAGAAGAAATAGTCCGTAATGACCGACGCAGTATTGTAACTGCGCATATTACCGACTTTAGACATAACACATTTTCTTGGAAAGGTTTTAGTAAAGATTTTGTTTGTGTACTACGTTTTCATTTTCAGTTGTGTTACACCTTTTTTTCAATTAACAAGTGTGACAAAATAAGTTGTGTCATAGAAAGATAATTTTTTTAAGATTTTTCCGCAATATAGAAGTTAAAATAATATTGGAGTTTTTTTTTTTTAATGTTATACCCTCCTTATTAACCGGCTCTCCTGCTTAACCGATGATTTCTCGGTCCTAACGAGGATGGACAAGTAGGAGTACTGTATCTCTTTGGTGTCACCCTTGCAAAATGTGCAGCTCACCGGAGACGACCAACCTTGATAACCCTAAATTAGTTATTTTAATATTTGGGTTCTAATACAGTTCCACTAATTCTGGTTGTTCGCATCCTCCACATGCCATTACTATTCAAAGGGCCAAATATGTTTTGCAAGATACATCATTCAAATCGAATAACGGATTCTTATTCTATAGTTAGCGATCCAATCAGTCTTATAAATGCTTATCTTCGTTGTAAGGGAGATAACTACTTTTTAAATGCTTATTAAGACCAAAGTAGTGTTAACTGGCTGCTAACAGACTTCTCTGAATCTCCTCAGCATCGGCGACAGTCCATCTCTTTATCATGGACCAATTTGAACTTTGTAGGGTGTAGATACTTCTTCTTGTATCAGGACTCAACATTTCGGATCATTTGTACATTTTGCCTTATCCAATCTTACAAACTTTTTTGTTATGATTAAAGTTCAGTAGATTTTTTCTTTTAGATCCATTTCAAAAAAAATAAATTTTGATATTCTTTAGTCCCGTGAAACAAATACTGAAAACACTTGTTACAAACCACTCTTTGAAATAATTCAAATTATAATGGAACACATCATCTATAACACAAACTTATAATACAAACAGTACATTCAGTACAACAGCTACATATGATTGAGCACAGGATAAGACAGCGGAGGTAAATTAAATACTGATCTCGAAGGGAGCGACTCTATATTTTAAATGAATCAGTGAAAACAAAGCTTTTCAACTGCGAATAATTGGGTTAACTGTTTAAGTATGTAATTTAGAGATATTTAAGGTGTTGATTGAAAATGAATTATTTATAACATCCACTTTTAAGTAGTAATCATAATTTGATAAATTTAATATTATAATGATTTTATGTACATCAAAAGTTACAAAAATAAGGAAAAGGCACGACATGTTTGGCAATCAGTTTTCGACAAATGAGATTTGAGGGAATTGTCTAGTAGGCACTATTATCTTCGGTAGGCTATAAAAACCTTGCCAAGCACAAAAATATAAGGCCGTTTGGCAAAGTATAATGTCATTATTTCGACATTTTAGGGTGGGAGGGAGGGGGAGTGGCCGAATGGGCTAACGCGTGTGCACAGCACCACGAATTGCCCAGCAACCAAATAACCAAAGTCATGAAAGATTAAAAAGTATGAGTTTGCATCCTGGTGGCGGAGGGGATTTTAAATTCCCCCCTCGCCTCCTTCCCTTCTCCTAGCATGGAAAAACCATGAATAGTCTAAAAGACGAGATAGAGAAGACAAAAAAAAAACAATAAAAATTTGGAGTGGAGTTCACATAAAATGGACGATCGAAATTTTTGTATATCGATTTTTTTTTTTTTTCAAATTTTGTGATCATATTATCTTATGATTTAAGTGGAAAGCAAATGAGTATTCATGAGTTTTTGGTACCTAATTAAACAGACAAAGATTTCCTATCTCCAGATTGAAAACACCCAGATTCCGAGTTACAATTTTCTTAAATAAAATATTTGTAGATTATGATGAGTTGAAGCTATTTACGAAGTTTTAGGCGGATGTTAATAATTTGAGAAAAAGGGGTCTGTCTGTACCACGGACTATAAGAAGATTCTAGATGTTTGGCAACCAGTTTTTGACAAATGACATTTGAGGGAACTGTCTAATAATAGATAAAAGGGATTATTATCTTCTGTTGAAATGTTTAATACCCACAATGCATCCTGGACATGTATTATCCGGATCCTGTTATGGGTGTGATCGTGATGGTTGAGTGTGGTAAAACATAAAAACTTAAAAATACTTGAATATAGCAACGCCAGTTCAAACCCGGCCTCGGAGGGTTGGAATTTATTTAGTGAGGAATCCGTGGAATGAATCTCGACCTTCCCAGTCTGAATAGAATGGGTTTGGTTGAATCTCTAGAACAACTTCCCCTCCCAATGCCAGAAATGGTGAGGGTAGAAAGTAATCGAAAAAAAAAAATCTATAATATACAATAAAACAGTATATTAAAACTTATTTTAACTATTAAAATTATTAAATAATAACTTAAAAAATTATATAGAGGAATGAGATGATCAAGGATAGCGGCCATAAAAAGGGTTAAAATAGTAAAAAACCTATTTTATTATTTATGACTGCCACCCCGGACCATCTCCTTCCACTATATTATACAACAGTCAACCATCAAGTATTCAATTAAAAAATGAAGTTGAATTAAATAAAAAAAATTAAGGAATGAAGTCTGAAGGCTGATTTTTTATTGCTGAAATTTCTAAATTCAACATTAATTCATAAACTAATTGTGTATACAAAAACCAACATATGTACTTTTGTAAATAAAAATAAATAAACACAACATGTAATATTCATGATTCAACTAAAACTTTAGCTAGAAAGATGGTGGTAGATAAAAGGTATAAATAGATTCCATGATACACACACGATGTTAACGATTAATAATATATACTTTAAATGATAAACCAATATATTTTGTGTTTCCTATAATTTTGTTTTCTTCATAAATATTACACGACAAAAGAAATGGATTGTTATAATTGAATTTTTTTTTTCATTAATAGTTTTTAATAATAATGCATATTAGCCATGAACTACTATTTGAAGACTATAAAAAAAATATTTATATTGAAATGAAGATTTTGTACTCGATGTACCGTAAAATAAAATTCCTTCTTCGAGGAATATTATAAAAAAGATTAAGATTGTAATAAATATAAATAAATAATGTTACTTATAAAAAAAATAATAAAATCATGGATAAGTACCTATCTTCAAACCTCAGATGAATGTTTTTTATTTTCACTTCAATATTTTTAATAAAAGTCGACGCTATTTTTTCTACAAAAGATTTGTCTACTTGTGGTTTTTCGACACCTTGGGCTGAAAAAAGAAATATACATCTGCAAGTGATTTTTAAATTAAACACTAATTTAAAAAAAAAAAGAAAAATCCGTATAAGTATTATTAAGGAAGCCATGCCTGTTGAATTGATTACCACATTTCTGGCATGGTTGGTATTACAATACTCAGAATGTGTAATTCAATACTTATATATTATAGTATATGTATATATGAGAGCATGATATGAAAAACTTGCTATAATCCATTTATTATAAAAATTGAGATGGCAGTGGAAGAAAACTGGGCTCTGAAAAAATGTCCATTCCCAATTAAAATATATAAATAATTTTAATTTTTGCCGACGTTTCGACCCACTTTGTAGGTCGTCTTCAGGGCTACAAAAGATACAAACATGTTGAAAAAATAAATATAAGTATATATAAATTACGAAGAAGTTGTCAGATACAGAAATAAAAGATAAAGAAAATAAATACATGATAAGAAAATAGATAAAAGAAAATAAATACATGAATGTTAACGAATAAATGAATGTTAACGAATAAATAGATTGAAAATTGAATAACTATTGTTACAGTAAGTATTGAATAACTATTATTACAGTTATTCAATTTTCAATCTATTTATTCGTTAACATTCATGTATTTATTTTCTTTTATCTATTTTCTTATCATGTATTTATTTTCTTTATCTTTTATTTCTGTATCTGACAACTTCTTCGTAATTTATATATACTTATATTTATTTTTTCAAAATGTTTGTATCTTTTGTAGCCCTGAAGACGACCTGCAAAGTGGGTCGAAACGTTGGCAAAAATTAAAATTATTTATATATTTTAATTTTTTTATTTATTTGACCGCACCCTCGACTAACTCCTTCTCATATCATATCAACGGTCAACCATCTCTACATCATCGTCCATTCCCAATGTTTTATTAATAAAATTATTGAGTTTTGTACAAACAAAAAAAAAAAAAAATTATAATAACAAAATATAAATAAATAATAATATATTTTAAAAAAATCAACTCTTTTATAAACCAATTTGTTTTAAAAATAAAACATTAAATAATAAAATTAATTTAATAATGAAAATGTAAATCTGTTTTCTTTTCTTTTTTTTTTTTTGTCCAATGATAATCTGCAACATAATTTTAAGTATTTAATCAATAGTTGGAAGACAAATTTACATTTGTTCACTAGCAATTATGAATTCAACTTCAAAGAATCACTAGTTTGTCAATCAATATTTTTTGCTTTTTCCCAAAATTCAGTAAATCTGGATAAAGCAAGTTGTGCATATCACGCCTTGATATAATAAGAACCAAATAAATTTTATGAACATAACAAGAACTTTATACCTATTAATTTGCAATGAAATTTTCTATTTATTTACAACTACTTTTCCAGAGGTTCTAATTTCTGACATAAACAACATACACATAAGACAACAATTCAATAAACATCATAAAACCATCTTGACAATAGGACAAAATGATAAAGATTAAACTATAAACCAAAATAAGACTATGGGTTTTTATTCTACTATAAAATAAATTCTATTTCTCCTAACAATGATGTCTATTATAGTAATAAATCGAAGGCCTCAAATGAAAAACTCTCAGGTGATTTGTTTTTTTCTCCCAAAATTTAAAGGTAAAACTTTTTGACCTATAAATTATCAGAAATGAACATTAATGATAAAGAATACAATGTCCTTCCGGAAGAACATTTTAGTCCAGGCAATAAGCTCACTTTAATGATGGAGAAAAGGTTTTTCTACGATCACCGTAACAACCACCAGAAACTTCATAAAATTGTGAGTAGGTAGAAAAAAAAAACATATTCATAGAAGATTAGTGTATAATGGTTTATAATGTTTTATGGCAAACACATTTGTGATACACCATTAAATAAATAAATAAAATATTGTATGAATTATTGAGTTATCCAGAATATTTAGAAAATAATGCAAGATTTTGAGTTTTCTTTAAAATACCCCTCTGTATAACAAACTATTTATGTTTACTGGATTATTCATCTATATGAACGGCAATGTTTGTTTACCTCTGTATCATTTCGCTTCTTAAAAATAATTCAGTCTTTACTAAGATGTCAAGGCGTGATTTTTCGTATAATTTTGTTTTACAAGTTTAAACTCGGACGGAATGGGACCCAGACGGCCAGAAGAAACATCAATCAAGTCTGTGGCAAGAGCAGCATTAATGAGTATACTGTTCAACGGTGGTTAAAAAAAATTTGGGAGGGAGACTTCAGACTTGAAGACAAAGAAGGTCGAAGAAGGGCTTCCTCTCTTGATGACGATATTCTGCGGACTTTGGTGGAAGAAACCTCAGAACGACTGTTTGAGAAACTCCAGGGAAACTTAACTTTAGCAAATTGACCGTCGATAACACCATAAGGCGATTGGAAAGGAAAACAAGCTTGAAAGTTGTGTTCCATACACATTAAAGGACCGCTAAAAAAATCAGCGTTATGAAGTTTGTGCTACACTTCTTTGCTGAAACAAAACTACTCTTTTCTGTCCAGAATTTTTATTTTTGATGACAAATGGATACTTTACGAAAACAGAAGATGTTTTGGACAGTGGCTCGACAAAGAAGAAGCAGCAGAACATTTTTCAAAGCCCCAATATATCAGAAAAAAGTGATGGTTACTGTTTGGTGGGCTTCATTTGATTTGATACATTACAGCTTGTTAAATCCTGGGGAAACCATCAATGCCGAATCGTATTGTAATCAAATTAATGCAATGCATCAGAAATTGGCAATAATGAAGCTATCTTTAGTCAATCGGAAGGGGCTCATTTTGTTGCATGATAACGTCCAGCCATATGTCTCACGTGTGACATCACAAAAACTGTTGGAACTTGGATATGAAACTCTGCCCTGGAATTTAATGGACAAAGGGAATTAGAAAATGCCTTTTTTGGAGTTTATCAATTCTAAAAATGGGAAATTCTATTCTAATGTAATGGAAAAATTGCCAAAACATTGGCAGAAATGTACTGATACTAGTGGAGACTGTTTTGATTAAATAAAACAGTTGTAAATCTTTTTGAGCCAAAATCCTGCATTATTTTCTAGACAATCTAATACTATATAATAATGATAATTTTATATAAATGAATGATAAACTGTCCACAAAATGGGATGTGTTATCACATTATCAATTGTGGCTGTGGTCAAGTCAACTGACGTCCTCTCCATTTTCTTAGGTGTGTTTTGTAACTCACTGTTTTATGATTTATATCATTTGTGATGTCAGCTGTTTGGAAGTACTTTATAAGATAAATTTCCAGAAATGCAATGAGGAATTTATGCATAAAAATGAATAAAGCGAATGGCAATATGATACTTGATGTCTAGTTTCTATTAATAATTGTTTTTATTGACAAATGTTGGTAAATTGATACCTGTTTATGAGACAAGCAATATATTAATACTTAATCGTTGTTATTAAAACTATAATAAATCTAATACCTAAATGTTAACACTCTTGTAGTAGATGGCCTATAGTATTTACTCCTTTATGTGGCATTGTGAGAGGGAATGAGAAGGAAAATATAGGAATAAGATTTTGCACTATGACTTGTACTCAATTGTGCAGTGGACAAATTGTTCATTGAAAAGTCTCATATCGATAAACAATCGATGACGAAGGAAGAAGCCTGAAAAAGGACAGGACAGACAGCAGCAGCTGGAGAAGGACGCCGGTGAAAAAAGAAGGGACTTGAGGCCTAGAGAGGGAAGAGGAAGGAAGGACATTACCTGGGAAGAGAAGCCTACTACACTGAAGACTAAGAATATAAAGCCTACAGTTATAAGATTTAAATAGATTAATTTAATACAGTTGTCAAAATAAATTGTTTTGTTATACAGGAGTCAAAAGTCATTTTATTTAGTTGTCCTATATGCCTCACAATTGAAGAAAAACAAACCAGGTGAGTCAATTCATTCAAAGTGTGTTTACCCAGTCCACATTTCATATATATGTATATATATATATATATATATATATATATATATATATATATATATATATATATATATATATATATATTATTATTTCTTGTTACTCAATGTCACAAAAGGTATTAGATTTCCGAATTCCCAATGACAGTTAAACACCCCCAAAAAGTCTTTATCCAGTGCCGGGGTTTTGTTTTAATAATCACAAGTATAAATAACCTAGTTCCCCGATAAAGGGGAAGGAATATTCATAACTCCTGCCCAAAAAGAATATTTACTACTAAATATTTAATAGGTTATTTACAATATGTTTTTGATGGAAAATGATCATTTTAAGTAATTTTTTTTAAATATTGTGTGCGAACAATAATTTACTGATACATAATAGCAAAATACATTTCAAAATGACTATTTACATACAATGATAATTAATAACTCATGATAATAGTTTAACACATTGAGGCTTTATTACAAGTTACTTGAATATTCCTAATATCTATTATAATAATATTTAATATTAATTTTAAAAAGCTTAATGAAAGTAAATATGAACTTACTTAGAAGTAACAGTATTTTCCTGAACAGTAAAAATATATTATTATTATTTCTTGTCACTCAGTGTCACAAAAGCATTAGGTAGCCAAATTCCTAACAACAATTAAAAACTCTCAAAAAATCTATATCCAGTACCGGGATTTTGTTTTAATAAAATTAAATTCACGAGTGTAAATAACTTAGTTTCCCCGACAAAGCAGAAGACTATTCTCAATTGCTGCCGAAACAGGATATTTACGCTCTTTCGCTTCTTTTAAAGATTACAAATATTAATGAAGAGAAGAATAGTTGGGGTGATCAGTCAGAAATAAGAAGGCAAAAATAAATGATAATATTTATTTTGACATTTGCCGACGTTTCGACCTGAAGTTCAAGCCTTCATCAGGGCTATTGTCATTATTCTAACAACTTCATTTTACTTTAATTTTTTTACCTACACTATTTATGTTTCTCATACCTTGTTATCTGGTTCTTTTCTTAGCCCTGATGATAAATAGGCCTGAACTTCAGGTTGAAATGTCAAAATAAATAGTATCATTTATTTTTGCCTTCTTATTTGACTGATCACCCCAACTATTCTTCTCTTCATTATTCACGACAGTCAACCATTTACCCACAATTACAAATATTAATATTTGGATATTTACAATCCTAACTTTAAAAGTACAAACTTTTGATGCCCAATATATCAATATTTTCTGACCTATCGATGCATTAAAAATTATCGAAGTAATATGGTGATAAGCGTAATTTAATAAAGTTATTTTAAACAAAGATTGTAAACAGGAAAAATTAGAAAACAATTACACATAAAAATTAACTTATGCTTATCTTATCAATCAAGTAAAATAAATCAAGGATGTATCTTAATATAATATAAAAAAGGAAACCATCGTATATTGTGTATATTCCCTTTTTCAATCTTTTATAACTTCTTAAACGACAGTATCTCTCGTCTGCGAACACAACAAATAGGAAACTTCTCAGCAAAATATAACTTGTCCAATCACCTAGACGTTTAGGGCGATTAATAAAATCAAAATCTTTATTCCTTAAAAATTTCAACTGACAAGTCACATGAGTCAAAACATAATATTTGTAATGAAATGTTCTTTTGGTTTTTTTTTTTTCTGAGTCAATTTTATGATAAAGGCTATGAGTTATGTCTGAAAACTGTCGAAATAATAATAAAACTTTAACTTTAATAGGCTATTAAGACTGAAATATTGAAAGATAGATAAATAAATAATTGAGTGGCTTTGAAGATGTAAAATACTTAAAGCCATTTGGGAAGAAACTTTTTAGGAGTAGTGATATAATAAAATAATTTAAACCACGTATTTTATTTACTTTTTTCTTACACTATGAAATAAAAACAAGAAATAACTTTGACTCATTTGACTTTCAGGAACAGTTTATTTATAAAAATACTAATAATAATAAAAAAAAAATGTATAAAACTGAGTAATATGATTGAATAAATAAAGCAAGTTAAGTATTGTTTGTGTATGTAAAGATTTGATAAATGCTTCAGATATGACAGCAAACAAAAATTATTAGCAGATTAATTTAGACTTTTTTTTTTAATAAACACATCGATAGCTTATTAGTTGTTGAGACTAATTAATATTAGAAGGATGTTAACCGTTTAAAAAAATTAATTACTTTTGATAACGTCAATTTTGGCCCTCCTCCCCCTCCCCCCGGTTTCATTTGTGCAACTCGATTTTCAGAGTTGGAGATTGGTTCTTTTTGTTCAAATGTGCAGATCTTTGCATGAACATATTTATATTTTAAATACACTTATAAGGTTAAAAAAATAACCTGTACCACTACAACCCATGAAAGGTCTTGGGTTCAATACTATTTCAAGGCCAACGATTGCGCAGGGAGGTGAATGGGCTGAGATCACACTCAACCGCCAGGTTTTTTTCCTAATCAATTATTTAATTAACAGTACTCACTTTATAGAGGCTGGGTATGCCCCAAAAGAATCTTCCGGCCCCAAAGTCGATCCACGGCTGATAAAAAATTACTTATCAGCCAGGTTCGAACCCTAGAGGTTTGGAAGTCAGTGTTTACCTACTGAGCTACCCCATTATAAGGTTAAAGCAACCTAAAAATTATAGTTTAGGGCTTCTTATGCTCAACAAATCAAGTTTAAATCCTGTCTAAGCACAATAAATATTTTATAGCCAGGAAATAGATAGGTTCTACAAAAATAGAAACCATGATAAAGTAGCATAAAACCTGGAACTTTTTTTTTCCTCCCCTTTTTCGTCTTTTAGGCTATACGGGGCCAGGGTGTAATGCCAGAGTTAAAAGACCCCTTTGCACCGAGACGCGAACTCGGCATTATTTTATCACATAAATCTTCTATCCGGGTTGCCAGGCAACGCTGTGCACAGCCGTTAGCCCGCTTGGCCATCCCTACCCCAATATATAAATATATAAACTGGGACTATTAAAATTTAAACAAAAATTACCTGACATCAATCAGGAAATAAATCGGGAGATCAAAGTAGAATAATGAGCACCCTATAAGCCCTTCATAGGCTGTCGAAAAAATTTATTTATGAAAGCCAAAAAAATATATATTATTTTTATAATGTTTTTTTTTTTTATAAAATCATAAAAAGATATCTTTAACGTGTTTGGAAAAAATATAAATAATAATAACCATTGCGCAAAGTGTCAATTCTCTTTTTCATTTTTTTAAAATTGTTCGAATGTTTCCATTCCTTGCAACCATATATAAGCATTAAGAAGATTTTCTGTATGGTTTTATGCCACCAATCACCTATATTTATTTCATGTTTAAAAAGGCCTTAATTCTTAAGACCAGTAATAAATTTCAAAAAAATTCCATACCTGAAAGTCAAATCAGCCAAATTAATATAATATATACTTTAGTAATATGTGTACTTTTATATTTATTAAAAAATCTTCTCTTGACAAGATAGCCTCTATAATTATAGTCATTTTAAAGTTATATTGATTACTATACAAAAGTCTATTTAAACAAAATTATAACTAAATTTTTGTCTTAAAACTAAAAAATTAATGAATTAATTTTTTCTGTTTTAGAACTATATGATATTCAAAAGCTTTAATATTTATCAACGTTGAAATGCTGTATTATTGTTATTTAAACAAAATCTATGCACTTACATTATAACAACTACAAAACTTAAAAATTATTTTTTTAAAATTCCAGCTGCAAGTAAAGATGAAAACTATGCAAAATAAAATCATATTTAGATTTTTGGTAATATAATCATGCGAATACTAAAGAGATTCCCATCAAAACTTTTTATTGACCCACGCATCCAGTTGCTGCAATGACAAAGACCTACAATACCTTAAAATTTTCTTCTTTTTTTTTCTAATAGCTAACATTTGCATATGCATTTTGTCTTATAATATTCATGTATATGCATGAATACGACAAAACAAGATATCTGAAAATTTAACTATACATATAATCTTATATTTCACTATCATATGCCATGACTCTCTAGGATAGAGGCACAAAAAAAAAATATTATCTGAAAAACGGAGGGGTTAACAAAAATTTTGAAATTTAATTTGCTGCAGCTTAACACCTTTTATTGAAAAACTGATTAAAAAACTCAAATTTTGAACATTAAAGTTGCAAAACCACGGTTATTCAGCCTGTTATGTCAAAAAAATTCAAAAATAACAGTTTTAGTAAAGTATTACATATTTACAAACTAAAGTTTGAAACTTATTTTTTATGATATTTGCAAAAATAATTTCCTGATACAATTGTCTGTCATTATCTGACAACTTATTAAACAGAGCTCTAAAGCAATCCTGAAAGAAAAAGGAGAAAGGTTCAAGCTGAGGTCAATAGGTGTAGAGGATGACCTCCATCAATTAGGTGTAGAAAGCTGCTGCCAAAGGTCTTAGTAAACCGCAGTGTTTAAATAAAAAAAGAAAAACTATCTAAATATAACAAAAACTTTTTTTAAACTAATAAATCATTATTAATTCAGTAAGATATTGTTCTTGTTTGAATGAGGCAACCATCACCAAAAATATTCCTGTTTTTATAAAGCAAAGAGTACAGAAACGTGATGGAATATCTATTTTATTATCCTTACTAACCTCTCTTAACCATATACATAAATATTAATGAAATGTCAAGCATAAAATTAAACCAAAAATTGGTATTATGAGCAAGTTCCGTAATTACTAAAACAATCATTATTTTAAGTTACAAGTTTTTTTCCCCTCAATATCTGTTCTATTGGATGGGTATGTCACTGAAGTTACTAATTTTACAACTGACAGACAGTGATGAAAAATGTATTCTCCCTAAAAATTTGAAAATTTATTATCAGATTGATCAATTAATATCAGTGGAATATTACTGATAACAAACTAAAAATATTACATCATGCGTTTTGCACTAAAAATCAAAACAAAGTTTTATAGGAAGGCTGTCAAAGGTTGTTTTTTTAAATGTTTCATAGAATAATTAATCGTACCCTATTTTTAAATAAGAATACAAATTGTAACACGATTACCAACATTAAAATATTTCCTTCAAAAAACTAATTGTCAACACTGTTTTCAGTTAATTTCAAAACTGTAATTTGAATTTGAGGAGGGTGTGATCGTACTGTATGCAACACAATTATTTTAGTCAATATTCCATATATTTTGGATAATTCAATATAACATTTAGATAACTCTAAATTTTATACCATTGTATACATGGAAGATAAGAAAATACAAAAATACCTTTTTCCAATGCTTTCTTTTTTGCTTCTTCCACCTTTCGAAGTTCTGCTTCTTTAGCTTCATTTGCCTGTTTCTTTTCTGTCTCTTCATCATAAACAGCATGCTGATTCGGAACGACAAGTAGGAATAATTCGTCAATTTCAACAACAGACGGCGATGAAAAAAACTTCAGGTATGATAACCTAAGTGAAAATTTCCCTAAAAATAAAAGTTATTTTTTAAACAACTTTTAAATGGGCTATAATCTATTTGAACTGAAATCCTACCGATTTTTCCATATAGAAGTCTGACAGGTATATCTAGGTCATCGAAACAGTTGCTTTTAAGTTCCAAATTGTTAAACACGATATCTCCTATATAAATCCATTAAAATCAGTTAAAAAAATTTAATATTTACATCTGTTAACATGAAGGAATGAAGTATAACAAATGTACCAAGTCCAAGAGTGAACTGTGAGGAATCAAAATTTTCAACATATTTTCCCAAAGCTCTGTTGATGATGTTGGTTATTATTTCTTTAAGCATCGTAATTCATTGGTAATATTAAAAATAATGAATGTTTGAACCTCAAGTTACAGCGGTTGCCTTGATTATGTCATATCCCAAAGAGAACTGTGATCTCACACAGAAGTAGGGCACAACTAAACGACGCAGGTAATACCAGAGGGTGTCAGGTGAATCTAAAATAAATTAATCCATCTCATAAAAAAAATAAGAAACAAACCACAGATATTTGCTAGGGTGAGACACCCGACTAAGAATTTCAAAAAGGCCTAACCAACTATATCACATGTAAACAACTTTTATCTGCGGCGAAAGATAAGGGAGAATCGATTCATGTATGATGTCGATTCTAGAACCGGTTAACATTTTGAACATTCCTTCTTGCCCCAAAGATCAATTAAATGTTGTGAAAGATCATATTTCAAAAATTTCCAATCCCATTAGTTTTGAATGTTAATTAAAAATTGAGTTCAAAAGTAATTAAACTACGTAGAAATTGAAGTGGAGTACTTAAAAATATTTACATACAACTCATTTCTTAACATTGCCTTTAATAATTTGTACAATAAACCTTTCTTATTCAATAAATAACTTAAAGGTGTGATTAGACATTTCACCAACTATAAAAAACACAATTATCTAACTTAACTAATAGCAAAATTAGCGCTAAGCCAAACTTCTTATTCATTTCTCTTGTTACCAACTGCAGATGAAGAAAATCAAAAACAAGAAACCAGAACACTAGCATAGAGAAAACATATTTAAATATTTGTAAGATTATCTTTAAAAACTGAAAGAGTTTTGAAAAAACAATTTATTCACTGATAACGAAAAAAATTAAAATTTAAAATAATTTTTTTAGTATCTTTAATTATTATTAATATTTAAATATATTTCATAAAAGTTTGGAGCTCCCCTGTTTTAAATTAAGAATTCACAAAGTTTCATACTTCTTACCAGATTAAAAATGTAAAGGTAGGTTTAGACCATAGGCGCTGACTTATGAAAATTATTGGGGGGTCCAAACTATGAGATCACGAGGTGGCACAGGCGGATATACGGAGGGGGCTTTCGGGCTGAAGCCCCCCCCCCTCAAAATGGTAAAATGTAACCATGTTTTACAGAAAAAAATATTAAAAACTATCTCTTAAAGTATTCTTGTTCGTTTAATTACATTTAATAGGACTTCAAGAACCACTTAAACACCATTTCATATAGGTAGTTACTTTCTTTTTTTTTATAATTAATTATTGTTATATGTATATGAAAAAAAATCTTTCGGGCTGAAGCTCCCCCCCCTCCCGAAATTGAATCCTAGATCCGTAGTGCGAGGTGGGGGGCATAGAGAGTGGGGATATTGTTTGGGATGAACCCTATATGTCTATATGCAATATATGATATATACTTATATGAAAAATTAACATCTGAAGAAGGAATTAAGTTTTTTCAAATCGATGGGAAAAAGTGTTAAGCCACACAAAATACTTTAATCTTATTTAACGTGATATTAATTACTTTTATTATTTAATGTAATGAAGTGTACGTTTCGGGTTGAAGCCTCCCTCTCTCCCAAATGGTAAAATATAACCATGTTTAAAGAAAAAAAATTATCTCTAAAAGTATCATTGTTCGTCTAATTACATTAAATAGGACTGAAAGAACCATTTAAACACAATTTAATATAGTTAGTTTCTTTCTTTCTTCCGAAGTAATTATCCTAATATATACATATAAAAAAAAAAATCTTTCGGACTGAAGCCCCCTCCCCAAAATTAAATCCTGGATCCGTTAGTGCTCCAAGACGATGTTTCAAAGAATAGAACATAAAATTTTATATCAAATGAACTAAGTTTGTGATACCTAGTTTGAGAACCCCTGCGCAAGACAACTGTATAAAACTACTGAAATTATGTTTTAGGTTGTTTTCAGAATGCCTAATTCTCCTGTGTTTTTTTAATTCTGTAGAGTCTTCTTTCGTTTTGCAGACTGGTATTACATTAGACTATTAACACTCTACTAAAATCTGTTCGACTTCCCATATCCATGTCACTTTGAAGTATTCCGCTGAAGAACATGTTGTTTTTCGTTAATCTCCAACCTCGCCATTTCTGTCATACAGCAGAGGAGATGGTCTTGAGGTACAACCAATCCTACATTGGCCAGAGTGGAAAAGTCGAGATTCATTCCGTGGGTTCGCCATGAAATAAACCATTTGGGATACCATTTGTTCCTGATGTTTTGCCTTGGAATATTGTTTGAAAAAAATAAGAATCGAAGATTCATTGGTAGTTAATGCAGAAAGGAAATGACTCAAAGCTTACCGTCAGTAAAACTGAAGAATGGAGGCTACGTAATATTGGTTAAGGTTAATCCTGACAAGATAATGGTGACAATAGATTTGAGGTGTGAACTAATTCAAATTCCTTATAGATAAGGAAGTCTCCAAGATCTAAACACTAAGGATTTATAAATACTCTTTCCTTGCAATAATAATCTATTTACTAACATCCTGACTTCACAATATTGATTTACGAATGGCGGATAATTATAATTAAGCAAATAATTCAGATACAATTATTGGAAACGAGATTCATTTAGAAAATATTGTTCGAATTTATACAAGGAAAAAATATCATAGAAGATACCCCTTCCAAGAAGGAGAATCAATATTCTTATTAAATGACTTGGGCTAATACGAAAGAAAAGTCAACAAACACTTAAAAGATCTATTTAATGGGATAAAAAAATATGTATTAACTTTTCATCCTCATTTTTTTTTCTAGGATGGAAGATTTTGAGTTATACAAGGTGTTTCAGAATTAAGTGCAATGAACAAATTGCAAAAATGAACTAAGGACCTCAACACAAGAAAAAAATTTCCTCTGAGGGTATGTCCGCAAACGCTTTGTTTAGGAAATATTCACACCTAAAGATTTTCGTTGTTTTGAATTATTTATGTTATATGAAATAAATAAAACCTATTTATTTGTTCTAACTACTTTATTAATTACATTTTAACATTAATGTGTGGTTGGGGATAATAGAGAATATTTTAATAGGTCCATATTTCTTGCCACCTCGACTCAATGCGGGCACATTTCTGGAATTTCTTAATAATGATTACTATGATTTAGTTGAATATATTCCACTACAACTAAGAAGGGACATGTGGTTTCAATTAGATGGTTGTCCTGCACATTACGGAAGAGATCTACGACTAAATGTTAATTTTCACATTCAATGTATTGGCCGTGTAGGACCAGTGGCTTGGTCTGCACGCTCTCCAGACCTGACACCACTGAATTTATTGCTTGGGGTGACATTAAATAAAAAATCTATGCAAGTCCGGTCAATGATCTTAATGCCTTACAAAGAAGGATAATTGAATCTTGTGAAAAAATAACACATATCCAGTGCCGTTCTGCCACTGCTGCTGTTGAAGAAAAATGCCGAGACTGTCTTAATGCTCAAGGAAATCACTTTGAACAACATTTAACATGAATTTAATGTTTACGTTTAGTTGATAAAGTAGTTGGAACAAATAAATAAATTTTATTTACTTAATATAACGTAAGTAATTCATAACAATGAAAATCTTTAGGTGTGAATATCTCCTAAACAAAGCGTTTGCGGACATATCTTTAGTGGAAATTTTTTTCTTGTTTTGAGGTCCGTAATTCATATTTTCAGTTTGGCCACATAATCCTGAAACACACTGTATAGAAGCTCTCAAATTTAAAAAACAGTCCTTCAAAAGATTACTTTCAAATAAATATTTTAGAGTTTATATTTCGTATCCAATCCTTACAATCCAAAATCCTTCGTAAAATCCTCAATGCTCCCTACTTTGTCACAAATAAAATCATCCATAATGTACCATAATCATCCATAATGTACCATATGTTTCCGATTTAGCTCAATCCAGATACCTGTCCTTTCATAATAAACTTCTGAACCATCCGAACCCTCTCGTTTCCAACCTTGCTTCCTCTTCTATTCCTGATAACACTCCGAGGCGTCTGAAAAGAAGATGGCTTCGGAACCTTCTAATATAGAATTATAATTGGAGTGCTACCAATGGCTAGTTTCTCTTCATGTTGTACATGTCAAGTTACTTGTTCATATTTACTTGTTGTATTCACTAGCGGATCCAGGATTTAATTTTGGGGGGGACTTGAGCCCGAAATCTTTTTTTTCATAAAAATAACGATAATTACTTTGGAAAAACAGAAAGAAACTAACTACCTATATGAAATGGTGTTTAAGTTATTCCTTAAGTACTTTTAAATGTAATTACACGAACAATAATACTTTAAGAGGTATTTTTTAAATTTTTTTCACTTAAACATGGTTATATTTTTCCATTTGGGGGGGGGGGGGCTTCAGCCCGAAAGCCCCCCCCCCCGTAGATCCGCCCGTGGTTGTATTTATTATTAAATACAGTTGTAAATTTCTTTAATAAAAAAAGAGTTTATATTTATCTAAGTAAATTATTTATTTATTTTTATTTATATAAAACAAAGTGTCTATGCTGCTCATGTAATAATATATAAATTACTTTCTCTGGAGCATTTACATTATACGAGGGGTCTGAAAATTAAGGGCCGTAAAAATTTCTTAGATTACACAGTGATATTTTTAAAAGTCCTTCGTCATTCGTGCTATCTCATTCTGGAATTCTTTACCTATCACACTATCACATCTATACGGCAATCCTCATCCATAAATTCCTTCAAACAACTCTTTTTCCACCACCTACTTAATTTTCAAACTCCCGTACTTATATAATACTTATAGGATTCTGTAATTATAACAGCTCATTAACAATTAATCGTCAAGTTCCACCTGATTTTATTTCATTTATTATTTTCTTTGTATACATGTAAACAATATAAAATATACTAGTGTTGCTTTGTTTACTGTATCGTTCAAGTATGATTACAATTGCAATTGAACTTAACATTCAAATAACAATAACCTCTTTGTATTTTGTCAAGCCAGACTAATAAACCAATGTTTTGTATCGTGTTATTACTATTTTTAAGGGACTTTAGTCTCATAATAGAATTATTTTTTCATTTAATTATTTTTAATATTATTTACGAAACATGAAATTTAATAAATAACTAAACTTTAACTTAATAATTTATATAAATATATAAATTTGACAGTGTTGGTCAAATCCATTATTTGTTAGCGGTGGTTTTCGATCATACCATTTAACCAACATCACTAGCGGATCTAGGATTTCATTTGGGGGGGGGCTTCATTCAACCCGAACGCTTTTTTTTTTTTAAATATATTTAACG